CTATTTTAATAAAACTATTTCTTCTTTTAAATTTTTTCAGCTTAAAATATTAAACTGGCTTGATACCAATTTGTCTGAGGACAAACATCGGTGATTTACGAGGAATATAAACGTAAAAGATGAAATAGATCGCTTCAAGGCTTCACAATATGTAGTACATAAATCCATAGATTGTCTAATGAAAGTTTAGGCCTTCAATCCTTCAAAGTTAACCACTATTAATGAATAATTTAATGTATACTAACCAAGATCAAAGAAGAAATGTATTAAACATTAACTTTTGATCTTAATTATTAATACCTTGTGATTAATATACAAGGTACAGATAATTAAATATTTTTAATGTTTGTTGATGTATATTACTCAGTAATACTATCTTTAAGTATGTAGATAGTATCCTGATGACGAATTAAAGATTAAAATCTGATTCGATGAGAAAGGAAGAGTGACTACTGCAAGATTTAAGATGCAGTCTAGTTATACGCTGGCTACTGCATGAGTTATTATGTTCATATGCTTACGACATAACACTTGTCATATTTCTGTATCTCAAGTCTCAGATTTCTTCTCACATTTTTTATCATCTATTCATACATTCATTCATGACAACTACTGTAAATTATTTTCCTGAAAAATCTTAATTATCATTTTTACAATTAGTAATCATTTTTTTGTAATTTCAGCTGGTATTTAAAAAAATCAAGAAAAGATAAAATAGGAATTTTATCCAAAAATATAAAAGCTAATTAATTTTTCCAACTTTTAAAGGCAAAAAAGGTATCTAAATTTTTATTTTAAAAAAAATTTTTTATCCTCCTTATAAATAATTACCGAAATTTTTTTTTTAATCAAGAATTTTTCTCTTGATTGAAGTTAATTTTTTTTCTGTCTTCTGATGGCAGAATTTTGATCTATAAACAGTAACACTAATGAATATAATTTGTATTAAATAAATAATACTTACCTCTAGTTAAAATGAATATAAAGAGTCTTGAGGTAGTAACGCGTGAGGCAAAGCAAAGCCGTGAATCAGAATGATGCCAGGGGCGCTCTCGTGCGGGTACTGGGTACCGGGTGCATCGGCGTATATCGGTTGGAGGATTCAGGTTTGGTTGACCTCCGTAAAGGAGTATAGCATGCTGATGCCTAGAAGAGTATAAGAGGAGTCAGGGGTATCTTAAATGGTTTAGCGAACGTTAATCAAGGATCACGGCTGGCAATCTCGGAGGCTGTTAAAGAGAGAAGCTACACGATGAACTCTGGTTTTTTCTATCCAGTTGACTGTGGATTGGAGTAAGCTGGCTGGCTGGCTGGCTGGCTGGCTGGCTGGCTAGCTCCTTAGACAAGAGCCAGCACAATACAACAGGTTGGCTACCTCTCATTTGATGAACATTATCAGCCGTTGGCTCTCGGGGCTACAAGTGTTCCGCCGTTTAGATTTGGAGTAAGCCCCCGGGCAGGTTGGCCTTGTGCTCTACCTTTGGCTACTTGCCTTTTGCTCATCCTCTTCGGTGGCACCACAGACTGTACTGTATACTCACGCACTCTCAATTATTATATTAGTGGAAGCGGCCCCGGGCTATCCTTAAAAATAACAACTAAAAATCAACTCTTTGTTCTTAAATCTTACCTCTTGCCTTCTTGCTTTCTCACATTATCATCTTCTTTTCTTTTCTCATTCGTACCAGCCTCAAATATCCTTTTTTCATCCTCTGTTTTTTAGGCTCCCGGTTTTGCTATAGAATTACCCTCAACTCACAGCTCTCTCTAATCATACCTTGATAATGATTACTTGATAACAGATATGATTGTGCACTGAAAAAATAACCACTATTATTATTATTGTTATTAATATCAGGGAGAGACTGCAAAAAATTAAAGCTGCAAATTTGGAGTACATCGACATCATTTTATTTTTTTTTTTTTTTTTTTTTTAATCATTTTTTTTAATAATAATAATAACAATATTTTTTTAATGTAGCCCTTAATAAAAAATAATTATTTTATTTACAGGTGAGTCATATTTAAAAGACGTTTTTTTTTTTAAGACAAGGTTGCTGGTATAGTACCTCTGGTTTTGGCGCCGAGTAATATTAGAATCTGACAAAAAGCATTTCGAGTATGTACATACGCTTAAATTATATTTATAAATCTAAATACGTCTAAGTATAAATATATAAAGATGATTTAAAATATGTGTATAATATTAAAAAGTCAATTTGTTTTTCAGTAAGTATATCAAGAAGAAATATTTATGATAAACATATTAGCGATGATATGTTATAAATAAATGATTTACGAAAATGAGGTGAAGTAAAAAATATAAATATTTAGTTGAAAGATTGAAAGGATAAAATTAATAATGACCTTAAAGTCTGAGTAACGTATTAAACATATACATATACCTGTAAATATTATATATAACAAATATACAAATACAACTGAGGAATATCCTAAAATATACGTTTGTAAGTTTTTAGTTGCCGAAATCTGAAAACAGCTGTATTGCTCTGTTCACTGAATTATCCCGAAGATATGAGGTATATAAAAGATAAATATTTTTAACTATATCATGTCCAGGTTTTTTGTAAACTTTTCCTGTAAAATCCATAAACTAAATCATTACTATTCTTAAACTATATCAATACTGTAAACTATATATAAATATAGTTAATATATATAATTAATATTTAAGTTATTGTCCATATTTAAAATATTTAAAGAACCTAATCTTGGAAACTTGGACTGATTTATTCAGTCGCTGATTTATTTCAGCTTCATTTAAGAAAGTACACTGCAATTTAACATAAACAAGAAATTACCTTGTATCTTGTGAACAATTGACATTTTTAAAGATATAAACTCATCCCGATGTTACAATCATCAAGACCTTTCATTTGAGTACCCACATCAATTTTTCATATATTTATATATATTATATATATATGTATATATGAAAAATATATCAAAAATGCATGTGGGTACTCAAATGAAAGCTCTTGATGAGTGTAACATCGGGATGAGCTTATATTTTTAAAAAAGTCGATATTTAAGAAAGTACAGTGCAATTTTACAAAAATGAAATTTTTATCAATAACTATGAAAAATTTTTAATTTAAAATTTTATTCAACATTAAAGAACATATTCACAAATAATCCGAGGTCCTAAAAAAATATATTTTCTTTAAAAAAAAAGTTAAGCTTAAAGCATGTATACGCTTATGTATATAAATATATGTTATATATAATATTTATTGTAAAGGCGGATATAGGAACCCGAGCGTCTCGCACGAGCCAGCGGAGGATTATAAAGCCCCAGCGTTAATTCCTTCGCGGAAATAACGATAATGAAGACGGTGTGCACTCATTGGTCTCTGCTCATAGCTGGAATAACCGTATTAACAATAATATTACTATACTATTTACTTGCTTGCTGACTAAAAGCAGTTAAACTTATTTTCTTGTTTGGATTAATTAATTGTCAGGAGAGCAAGTTAAAGTAGTGAAAGGTGTTTTTCCATTTCTAACAATTAAATTATTAGACTTTTTATATTATCAGCAGCTTAATCTCTCCTGACAATTTTATTAAAATGTATTTTATTATAATAATTTATAAAAAAACATAGGCGTGAAAATTAACCGTCTTGTTTATATTCTTCCCAACGTAAACGATGATGGCTAGCTTTCGGGTGTCGATGTGATACCACCGCCGATAGGGACCCAAGACCCAACGAATTATTATTCGTTTCCGCTCACTAAAAAGTTTCAGCGCATTGCTGATCACCGTACAGCTACAAGCTACAATGATGATGATGATGATGATAATAATAACAACAACAATTAAATAACCGGTAGGCAGCGGAGCGATATAAACTTGTGATAAACATACGGCGATTGCACATTTAAAATTAAGGAAAGTTGTTGGTGCGTAATATAATGTCTCGAGGAACGACTCTACTCCTCGTAAAAGCTTCTGCTTTAATTTTAGTTGATCATCGCCCATAATAGTCTTGCCGCTTCCTGAACACACCATTTTTAATTGATTATAATTTTAGTCGATTGCATGTCACAGAGTTTATATTCACTGATGTATAGACTATAATGTGATAAAAAATATTCTTACCTTATTTTTATCCGACAAACCAGGGCCATAATTTACTTTTCGGTATTTTTGCACGCAACAATTAAACTCGTATCTTCACATCGGAAATTATTTTTTTTTTCTAATTAGTCAAAATGTTTATTTGGATTGTCTACCTCTTAATTATACGCTGTCATTTTATAATAATAATTATGATTATTTAATTTTTGTTTTGTTTTACTGATCAGAAGCTTCCTGAGATATTTGCTTTTTGACATTTTTATGTCATATATCTATAAAAATGAAATGAAAATTAATTTAGCAGATATTTAATAATTTTCAGAACTTTTTTTAACAAATAAATTATGGCAAAAAAAATTGACTTGTAGAAATTAAAAAAAAAATTAAAATTGCAATTTTTTTAAAACAATTTTTTGGAACAAATTTTTTTGTTAAATAAAATTAAAAAATTGTAAAGTGACTGCTAACTTAAATGTCATATAAATTTAATAAAAATTACAAGTGAAAATTTTTAGAAGAATTTTATTATTGTAATTGATTTGTTAAAGAAATTTTTAAAATTGACAGCTAACTTCAGTATTATTAATTTCCACATGTGGAATTTTTTTCATAATAATTTCATTGCTAAAAATTCTAAAAAAATGTCTTTTAACTTCAGTGTCAAAGTACCCTCAGCTGTCAAACTGCCAAATGATATTTCTGGGCATCTAGAAAGCTAGAAAGAAAAAATAGTTAAAATTGCATCGCCGCGCCACCTAGCGGCAAAATATAAAATGTTGACAGTAAGTTAGTGAGTTTGTTGTTATCAAAGAAACACTTTTTCATTTAAATAATTAGTGGATGGTTTAATTTAAGTGTAATTGCAATAAATATAAATTTATTAGATGAATATTTTAAAATGAGTGTCAGTGAAGCTGAAACGGTCGCAGATCTTGTGCAAAAATTAATTATTTCACTATGTGGACACCAGCAAAAGCCAGGTTAAGTGTCTTGTGTTTATTTATTTATTTATTTATTTACAGATTATAAAAATATAGACATTTAATAATATTTATTAAATTGCAGAGGTGGTAAGAAGATTGATGAGATTTTCTCTGAGTTTGTTTTCGTCTACCCAAGGTGTTGAATCCTTTTCTGAAGATGAAATCACTATTGCCAATGAAATTAAGAGCAAGCTCAATTCCAAAGAGTCTGTACACTTTGACAGGCTACATAATGATTTCAAGGACAAGGTACTTATTATTATTATTTAATTATTATCATTATTTATTGATTTGTATTTATTTTTCAGTCCATCAAAAACAAAGTAGGAATTTTATTATTTTTATTGCATATGAGCAAACAATCAAATCAAGCTGGAAATAAATTTTCTTTCCATGATATGAGATTAGGACTTTCTCCAGCGCCGTCAACAAGTGGTAATTATTTTTAGAATTTTTTTACTTGGAATTTTTATTGATTTAAAAAATTAAAAATTGTCAAATGTTAATTTTAGTATAATTTATTTATAAAAATAAAATCAGCTGATATCTGAAAATTTTTTTTAATTAAAACCACTAATAAAAAATTTGAATTAAAAGTATTAATTTGACAACTTTTAAAATAATCAATAAAATAAATAATACTAAACTTAGCCGACATTTTCAATTATTTATTATTTATTAAATTAAAGTTTTTAAAGTTTCTTACGAATGAATTTTTTTATTTTCTTTTTTTTTTTGTAACAATTTTTTCAATAAAAAAAATTCTAAAAATTTTTAGACGTCGGCTAACTTAATTATCATTAACTTTCTATATAAAATAAAGACTAAATAAATAAAAACAATTAAAATTGTAGTTTACACTCCACAATTGAGTTCTCAAGCGCAAATGATTGCCTTAAACACCCCGAACAGTTCAAGCTACCCCGACAGAACCGCCAACTCCAGCCGGATATTCGCAAACCAGGATTGTATATCAGAAAGCCTCTTAGTCCAAGACTTGATCTACTCATTCCAAGGTATAGAAGGAAAAATTTTAAAATTAGATTCAAATTACGGATTCCAGTTGGACTCGAGCGTGCAAATAAACCGTTCGCACAAACAAAGTGTGCTGAGATTGAGTGAATTGGGTTATTTGCATAACGTAGTAAGAAAGGGATTGGACAGGATGTCGTTGGCAGGAACGGGGCGAGTCGCTGACAGTTTTGTCGCCGCTCTGCACAAAGAGCTGTCCGAGTACTACAGATTTATTGCTATCATACAGGAGCAAGTGAACAGAGCAAACAGCAGCTCGAGCCCAGAGCACGAGGTGGTTACGCTGTCGCATCTTCACTTGTGGGCGTTCGACCCGCTGGAGAACTTCAAGTGGCTGGCGATAATCGTCAGAGCGTGCCAGAATGAGAAGGGTGGAGCTCTCGCCTCGGCTGTCTACGAGTTCAGCCACCATGGCGATCCCAAAGTCCAGAAACTGGTCAACAGGATCTTATCGAGCGTCTGCGAGCCGCTTTATAATATGTTGATCCGCTGGATCAACGACGGGGAGCTGGACGACCCCTTCCAGGAATTTTTTATTGAAGCAAGGACTGACGTCACTGGAGACAGGATGTGGCACGAAAAATACCACGTAAGAGACGCCATGGTCCCGACATTCATCACCAAGTCCCAGGCGAAAAAGATCCTAGGCACTGGAAAGAGCATCAATTTCCTGAGGGAGGTCTGCAAGGACTCCACCGCCCTCTACACTCGCCACGCTGACATGCTGATTGACGACCCGGAAAAGTGCAGCGTCGAGGCTTTCTTTAATATGGATCCCGACGGGCCGCTTCAGATGATGATGGACGCCGCTTACAAGGAGACTTCTACCAGAGTCGTTGAGATGCTCACCAAGCAGTGTCAATTGTTAGATCATCTCCAGGGGATCAAGGGGTATCTTTTGCTGGGTCAGGGACACTTCATTCAGCATTTGATGCACTTGATTGAACCCGAGTTGGCAAAACCTGCCAACTCGCTCTATCCACATAATCTTTCTTCGATACTGGAGACCGCTATCAGGGCCACTTGCACCAAAGCTGAGGATCTTGATGTTCAGAGGAGGCTTGATGTCAGATTATTGACGCCTTCGGATAAAGAAACCGGGTGGGATGTTTTTATTCTGGATTATAATGTCGATGGACCTATTGGAACGGTGAGTTTTGTTTTTTTAAATATATTTTTAGATATATTATTAAGAGGATAAGAAAAATTTTGTCTCAATGATAGTTTATTTATTATGATAAGTATTACGAAAATAACTTAGCATTCATAATTAAGAAATTAGCTTGTATCTTGTAAAATATTGACATTTTTAAAGATATAAACTCATCCCGATTTTACGCTCATCGAGACCTTTCATTTGAGTACCCACATCAATTTTTCATATATTTTATATATTTATATATATTTATATATCAAAAATATATCAAAAATGCATGTGGGTACTCAAATGAAAGCTCTTGATGAGTGTAACATCGGAATGAACTTATATATTTGAAATATATATTATATATATATATATATATATATGAAAAATATATAAAAAATACATGTGGGTACTCAAATGAAAGCTCTTGATGAGTGTATCATCGGTATGAGCTTATATCTTAAAAAATTTCAATATTTAAGAAAGTACAGTACAATTCAACAAAAGTCACTATTTAATAAAGCAAAATTTTATTTATTTATAGTTTACAAGTCACATAGTGACTGCAAAGTAGCTAGTAATTTATAATTTAATTCTTAATAATTGTTATTTTGATATTAATTTAAAAATATGTCGTTTAATATTAAAATTTCATAAAAAAAAATTCTTTAAATAATAAATAATTGTTTAAAAAAAAATACTCATTTAAAATATTTTATTCCAAGTAAAAAAATTAATAAAAAATCTATTTATCTTCCAGATATTAGAACCATGCAGGCAAACATACAGAACAGTATTTTTCTCACTGTGGCGAGCGAAGCGTATGGAATCAATTTTATCGACTATTTGGAAGCACCAAATAACGTCAGCAAAAACGCTCCGTAAAATGCCGGAGATATTGCCAATTCAAAATCACATTCATCTCATAACAAGCAGTATGGTACATTTAGTCCACCAGATGCAGTATTATTTTCTCTTCGAAGTTATTGAATGTTCCTGGGAAGTATTTGCCAAGAATTTGCGTCAAGCGGCTTCGCTCGACGACATTATTATAGCGCACAATAGCTTCGTCGAGTCGGTGAGACACGGCACACTTTTAGACGAGGATTCTCAGGAGCTTATGAATCACCTCCGTTCTGTCTACAATCCAATATTGGAGCTGGAAAATCTCGAGGAGACATTTCTGGCCCGGGCAACGCAGGAGTACGAAGCGCGAGTAAGTAGCAATAAATTCACCCAGGTGACCAGCGAGCAGACCAAGAGCTGGGGTAAGACCAACTTAGTCGACGCCGAGACTTTTGAGCGACAGACCGCGTTCACCAAGTACTTGACCACGTTGTCCCGGCAGCTGAGAGTTTTATCGCGGACTTATCAAGACCGCGTTAAAAAATTCCTCCTGATGCTGGCTTCCGCCGAGGACGTTTCTCTCCAGCTGCTCAGCGTCAGACTGGACTTCAACGAGCACTACAAGAGCGAGGACAGCAGTCTAGTTGCTCCCTTGACTTATCAACACCGTCGGCAAGGCGACAAGAGCTTCGGAGCAACCAAGTGACACTTACAATCCCGGGATTTAATTTTTGTTTGTGATAATCCAGAAAATTACAGTAAAATAAATTTTTATGAGTCTCCTAAATTTAAATTAAATGTTTCTTTACTCTCCAGGGATTTAAAATTAAATTTTACTCGGAGAATAAACTCCTTTAAAGGACAAAGGTCACTCAGTAAAAATAATCTAAGAATTGAATTGCTCGAGCGAGATAAGAATAATGATGATATTCTTCAGCTTTGTCAAGATGACGCTTGCGGAACAATATCATCTTCTGCTTCCGAAGTTAAATTTCCGATATGGAAAAATAATAAATCTCTTGGTAATAAACGAAAAATAATTTGCTGCTGTGCAAGTTAATTTTTTTTTAAATGTCTAAATTTAAGATTTTTCTTTCATTATATTGATTGCCAATATAACTTTAGTTTATTTTTTAAATAAAAATCTGTAAATGCTAAAGTATATTATTATAGTGTAAATATATTATCGTCAATTTAATAATATTTTTTTATAATAATAATGCTAATTATTATTAATCAATGCATATATAAATGTTATCACCTTGGCCGAAAATATAATTCTATGTCATATTTGTTTGATATGCAAGACTTTAACTAGCACAAATATGTACGCTTAGTCGCTGGAAGAGATGATAGTAATTTTAATTAGATATATGTTTTAGTTTTATCTACTTGGGAAATTCAATAGTTTTTTATTTTGAGAGTAAAAAAAAAGTCTTTTGTGGAGGAAAAATTTATTTAAAAAAAAATAAGCAATTTTTTAATGATCTATAGGGATACATAATTAAAAAATGACCTTGTATCTTGTAAAATATTGACATTTTTAAAGATATCAGTTCATCCCGATGTTACACTCATCGAGACCTTTCATTTGAGTACCCACATCAATTTTTCATATATTTTATATATTTATATATATTATATATATGTATATATGAAAAATATATCAAAAATGCATGTGGGTACTCAAATGAAAGCTCTTGATGAGTGTAACATCGGAATGAGCTTATATTTTTAAAATATATATTATACATATGTATATATGTAAAATATATGAAAAATTGATGTGGGTACTGAAATGAAAGCTGTTGATGATTGTAACATCGAGATGAGTTTACATTTTTAAAAACGTCAATATTTAAAAAAGTACAGTGCAATTTAACAAAATTCATTATTTAATAAAGCAAAATTTTAATTTCTTATAGTTTACATAGTGACTGCAAGATTGCTAGTGAGTTAATTAATTTTCTTATTAAAAAAATTGCTCATTTTTAGAAATAAATTTTTTTTAATAAAAAAAAGTAATTTATCTGATTTGTATTGGATTATAAATCCACAATAAATACTAATATATATCAGGGGATCAATACAAAAATATGAAACACTCCTAATATAATATTATATTTAGGTTCCTGATGATAAAGTCTCAATTTATTATCATTATCAACGTCATGAGGATTCCCTGAACAAATATATAAAATGAAACATAACATATTATATATAATTGGTGATATCAGATGACCATGAAACGCATACGTCGGTTGTTACAATAACGTGTCATGTGCCGTAGGAATAATTGTGTTTTAACTTAACAATAGACAGACAATTCTTGCTGCTAGTAACTAAACGCCGAGGGATGTCACCGTGACGTTACTCATAATAATAACAGTTTTATCAACCGATTGTCATGAATCAGAAATACTCTCAACAATGCCGAGTAGTCTGCACTCTAGAATCATCATAACAATTATTATTATTATTATTATCATTATTATTACTATTAAAAGCTAAAACGTACCCATAAATGTACAAAAGATCTCAACGTCACTCCATTTGTATTTATTATTATTTTCTTTTTCAGGCCTATCGATTAAAATAAAATGCGCGCATGTCTATCTGCTGAAAACTACTCAGGTCATCAAATCTTCAATTCACATTTACATTTATTTCTTCCTATTTTCAGATTTCTTCCCAAATTATTTATTGATTAAATTTATAGAAATTTTTTAGATTAGAAAAACATTAAAATGATTTTTTTAAGCTTAAGAAAATAGTAAGTCCAAAATAAAAAAATTTTTAATATTAAAGCAAAAAATATTGATCCTAGGTATAAAAATTTTTTTTTAAACAAAAGTTAAAAATTTAATTTAATAAAAAAAATGTCTTATAATTGAAAAAAAAAATTAATAATTTTAGATTTTTTGTTATCAATTAAATTAGAACAAAAAAAAATATTTTTACAAAATTGCATGTATAATTTTTAAAACTTTCTACAAGTGAAATTTTTTCAATTAATTTTTTTTAAATAATTTTTTTAATTACAAAAAATCTAAAAATTTTTAGATGTCGGCTAACTTTATTGTCATAAAATAATAAAATACATTTTTTTTTTTTTTTAAATTAAATTTTGTTACAAAAATTTTTTATAGGACCAATATTTTCACCATAATATCAAAAATTCATACCATTAGCTATTGAATAGCTTCAATGGGTAATTGATGGTATCAAAATAATGAACTTAAAAATAAATATAGTCCTCATCTATGATACTAAAGTATAATACTAAAGTTAGCCGACGCTTTTAATTTTTTTTTAATAATTAAATTAGAACAAAAAAAATATTTTTTAAAAATTGCACTTACAGTTTTTAAAGTTTTTTACAAGTGAAAATTTTTTTTAATATAAAAAAAATCTTTAAAATTTTTAAATGTCGGCTAACTTAATTTTCATCTAATTAATAGGTAACAAATAATTCCCCTAAATCCCTATAAATAATAAAAATTTTTCAGAAAAAGCAACCGAAGGTAAAGGTATAATGAATAAGTTTGTCATACTTAATACTTACTACCCAGCATCTACCAGAACAATATCCATTGTAATAAAGAGTGAAGGATGTACGCAATATACCGTGACAAGAGTTTGCTTTCAATTTGACGAATGGCAGTTGTGTGACATCGCTTATGTGTGTAGTACTGGCAATAATAGTTACGGAGTTAAAGCTGGTGCCGAGAGAAGAGGGCGAGTGTTCCAGCTTGACCTGAAAAAATAAAATAAATAGGATGAGCGAGCACCCATTTGGAAGTTTGCTGAGGGTGAGAGTGAGGGTGGCTTTGTGGGAGTGGATTCCGCTGATAACGACAAGGAACGAGATGTAATGGCTTGAGAGCTCTTACATCTTGACTCGGCGTCTCTCCTCTTACTTCTGCTTCTGCTCAGCCTCAGTTTCTACCTCGGAGTTCCGCGGGGTGCCAGTACTGCCCGTGCCAGTCTCATCCCCAATATGCAACGCGAGCAGTCGGGCACTTTACTTGTTCATCAGCGGGTTTACACGCCGGAACTTTTCTCATACCTTTAATTACAATTAATATTACACTTAATATTTTTTAAAAATTAAAAATTGTTAATGTTTAAATTTATTATTGTTAAAATAACTCACCATAATTTTTTTTTTTCTCCGCCAAGATGTCCAAAAGTGCGTGGATAGTTTAATTTTTTTCAAAATCGTTTGTTAATAATTATTATTATCTTGGGGTCACGAGAGTGCGTGGTGAGAAGGAACTTGATGAGCGGGAGCCTAGGTCATACACGGGCGAATCATGACCCAAATGAGTAGTCGTAGATTTTTTTGTATACGGAAACACGCGTTACGGCTTAGATACATAAATCTCCCGCTGACGATAATAATAGAATTTTTTTGACACGAACAAAAATATAAATAAAATAAATAACAAATATATATATATTGTAATCCTAATCGATTTTAAACTTTAACTAATTATTAGTTTTGTTATCTAATATTAATAATAATAATAATAATAATAATAATATAGCTCTAAACAATCAAAAGTTGAGCAATAAAATAATTAAATTCTTGACAATCACTATCACTATTTTAAATAAAATAACAATGAAGATCAATCAAGTCCGGTGAGTAATATTTTATGACAGACATTTAATAATAATTAAATTATTATTAAAAATAATTAATTAAAAAGTTCCACATGTGAAAATTAATAAAAATTACAAATGAAAATATTTATAAGCTTTTTTTTATTCCAATTAATTTGTTAAAAAAATTTTTAAAATTGACAGCTGATCGCTAACTTCAGTATAATTTTTTTAAATAATAATAAAGTTAGCCGACATTTTTTACTTTTTTATTTTTTGCTTAATTTATTAACTTATAACTAAAAAATATTTTTAAAAAATTGCACTTATAATTTTTAAATGTCGGCTAACTTAATTTTCATTTTTTTTAAGTTGATATAGACATGCATTAAAAATTGTTTAAGAATTTTATAGCAATTAAATTATTATTAAAAAATAATTAATTAAAAAATTGTTCATGTGAAAATTAATAAAAATTACACTGAAGTTGACATTAAAAATATTACTGCAATTAAATTATTATTAAAAATAAATTAATTAAAAAGTTCCTTGAGTAAAAATTAATAAAAATTACAAGTGAAAATATTTATAAGCTTTTTTTTTATTGTAATTGATTAGTTAAAAAAAAATTTTTAAAACTGCCAGCTGACGGCTAACTTCAGTAGGATAATTTTATTTTTTAATTGTTGTTAAATTCAGAGAAAAAAAAAACGTTATGTGCCTCCTGTGAGGTTTGAACTCACGACCCCTGGTTTACGAGACCAGTGCTCTACCACTGAGCTAAAGAGGCTCTTTGACATTTAAGCTCCCGTTTAATCTCTGATATAATCCATTATTTACTTTTATTTTCCCGGAATTATAAAAAGATAAACAAGATTTCTTCTAAATAAGGGATGAAAATAAAATAAATATTGTTTGCTTACTTATTTTGTATGTTAATCTTGCTCAGGCTATTTAGTCGCTTAATTTAAAATTCATAAAGGTCATGCTATTAATATAATTGTTAGCTGACATTCTGCACTTGATTTGCAATTAAAAAATAATTATAAATTATGAGTTGCACTAAATATTTAATATTAAAGTAAAGATTAATCTCCGTGATGATTTGTCAGAATTTTGACAGATGGAATATAAGAATAAAATATTTATAACAAATTGTGAATCATAATCATAAACATACCGTGTATATTTAAGTAGTGTGTGGTTATATGTTATATATATATAAAATAATAGTGATAAATATAAGTATACGACAGAAAATACAAGGGGTGATAGTATCACGTACGATGTCATCTGGGCACACGTAACACATACTGACAAAAATAACAGACAATGACAGCGTTATACAATATTGTACATTGTATTATTTACTTAAGCTCTTACGCACACACCGGATCTCTCAGTAGATAAGTAAAGTATATAAATATGTGATGGGTTGTAATTATAAATATTAAATAACGATTATGATTACCTGAAATATGTCTCCCCTGGATAAAAAACTCCGGTTACGATACAAGGTGATTAGAATTTTGTTTTAATAAAATAATTATTTTCTTTTAAAAGGTTAGGTTTTATTTTTTTGGGAATAAAGTTAATAATTATTTACAAATTTACATTTGACAGGTTTTTAAATATTTTTGGTAAATATGAAATGACATTTGACAGATTTTTAATTAATAAATTATAGGAATACATCCATAACAGATATTGAAAAATTTTTTTGTCATTTTAGAGCAATTTAATTATTATAAAAAAATTCCACTAGTGAAAATTAATATAAATTTTTATTGTAATTGATTTTTTGTGAGAATTTTTAAAATTGACAGCTGACAGCAAACTTCAGTATTATCAAAAAAAATTCCACTTGTAAAAATTAAAAAAAACTCAATAAAATTTTTTTAGAGTAATTTATTCAAATAAATTATAAAAAAAATTGACGTAAAAATTTTAAGTAATTAAAAATGCAATTTTTTATAAAAATAAAGTTAGCTGACATTTAAAAATTTTTTATTGAATAAATGTTAATTAAACAATTAAAAAAAAAAAAATGTCACTTGTAAAAAACTTGAAAAACTATAAGTGCAATTTTTTAAAAATATCTTTTTAGAAGTAATTTAATTTAAAAAAAAAAAATAATAGTAAAGTTAGTCGACATTTTTAACTTGGCAGATATTTAAGAATCATTTTTGTAACAAATAAATTATGACAAAAAAAAAATAAAAAACAAAAAATTGACATTTAGAAATTTGAAAAAATTAAAAATGCAATTTTTTTAAAATAATTTTTTTGTTAAATAAAATTAAAAAATTGTAAAGTGACTGCTAACTTTAATGTCACAAAAAAGGTCAAGTATTTTCTAATTTAAACAAAAATAAATACATTAATTAAATTATTTTATTCCCCAGGTAGTGACACCTCTTCGTCTGGTATTTTGTCGTGAGAGCAATCCCAGAAATTCAGAAATGGAGGAGTGGCTGAACGGAATGAGAAGTGCTGGCGACTGTCGAGCACCCAGCGAGCCTGGAGCAAGTGATTTCCTAGGTGGAGATCACCAGTGGTATGCTACAAGCCATGCCAGACCAACATACTGCAACGTCTGTCGGGATGCTCTCTACGGTACTGATTTTTATTTATTTTATTTTATTTTTTCATTGATAAAAATAATGATCACCAGGAGTGACGTCCCACGGGCTGAGCTGCGAGGTGTGCAAGTACAAAGTACACAAGAGATGCTGTCAAAAAGCAATAAATAACTGCAAATGGACCACCCTCTCGTCTATTGGGAAGGACATTATAGAAGACCAGGATGGGAACATCCAGATGCCTCATCAGTGGCTGGAGGGTAACTTGCCGGTCTCCTCCAAGTGCGCTGTCTGTGACAAGACCTCGGGCTCTGTTTTGAGGTAATTTTTATAATTTTTCTCGATTATTTTCCGACTTTTTTTGACTTTCTTTTTAGATAATAATTATAATAATCGACAGGCTTCAAGATTGGAGATGCTTGTGGTGTAGAGTTACTGTTCATACGGCATGTAGACCATTAATTAGTTATGTATGTCCTCTTGGACCTGCTAAGTTAAGCGTAGTTCCTCCCATAGCATTGCATAGTATAGGTAATCAATTAATAAGATATTTTTAATTATTATTAATAGTTTTTTTAAAACAGACTTTTTTTCTGGTTGATATTAATTAAGAAAAAATATTTTTTTATTCTAATTTTAATTTTTATATGATACTTGATTTAAAAATTTATGAAAATTTATTTAACAGATATTTGATAATATTTTTAACAAATAAATTATGGCAATAAAAAAGTAGAAAAAAAATTGACATGTAGAAATAAAAAAAAAATGGAATTTTTGGAAAAAATCTATTTTATTTGTTAAAAAATGATTAAAGAACTTAACTTAAATGTCAGTAAAAATTTTTTAGATTTTTATAACAATTGATTTATTTATTTAATAAATAAATATGAAAAAATTAAAGTCTGTTTTAAAAAATAATTTAAAATTAAAATTTTTATTTTTTATTAATAAACATTTAAAAATTTAATAGGAAGTGACGAAGCATGGGAAGCTGTCAGGCCTGTCGGATGTAGTCCACTGTTAGTATTTGTAAATAGTAAATCTGGTGACAACCAGGGTATTAAATTTCTGAAAAGATTCAAACAGTTATTAAATCCAGCTCAAGTATTTGATCTCATTAAGGGTGGTCCTGGACCTGGGTAAATATAATTTATTCTTAATTAAAATAATACTAAAGTTAGCCGATGTTTTTAATTTTTTTCAATAATTAAATCAGTACAAAAAAAAATTTCACTTACAGTTTTTCAAGTTTTTTACAAATGAAAATTTTTTTAATAACTTTTTCATTAAAAAAAAAACCTAAAATTTTTTAAATGTTGGCTAACATTTTCATTAATTAAAATTACAAACTAAAAATAAAATTATAACACCAAATCTATAAAATAAAAGCACCTAAGCTATCTAGGGATAACGCGATAAAAATAAGTTTTAAATTTTATAAAAAATGAAAATAATAATATAAAACAAACAGGCTTCGATTGTTCCGACATTTCGACCCCTTCCGGATTCTGGTCTGCAGTGGAGATGGGTCTGTCGGTTGGGTCCTCTCGGAGATCGATCGGTTAGGAATGCACGTGAGTAATAATAGTAAATGCACGGGTTATTTATACCACCTAATTTAATTAATTAAACTCGAGTATCTTGCTAACTAGCCTGTCAGTCTCTTCTTATCTATCAGCACACTAAATAATTATTTAAAAGCTAATGATGATTAAACCTCTTTTTATTTCTCATCATCACCTTCTCTGTTTTTAATGATCACTAATGTCCGTTTTTAACTGACGAATGACGCAACCGGCTATTTTAAACTGACATTTAACTGGCAACTAAATATTTTAAATGCGATAAACGAACGATATTAAATTATATAAGCTTCTTTACGAGCTTTTTAACAACCAGCTTATTGATATATATATATATCTTCTTTTTTCTTTTTTTACTCAATTCTCCGCATTTTATAGATCGTTTGGACGCTCTCGGGAAAACCCTTAACCGAGAGCGTCGCTATGTTTTCAATGCATGGAATTTATTAGCTAGAAAAAAACTACTCTGATGTATTTATAAAATTTTCCGATACATATTATTTATATTAATAAAAATAGAAATAAAAATAAAAAGCCGGAATTGAAGTAGATTTCCTTTTATGTTTATTATAAGTTTTTTTATAAATCATTATTATTATTATTATTTTAATTGTTACAATGGCACATTTATTTTCATCTTATATCTTTGGTCTCCAATTATTTCCTAGACAAAATAATTATTATAAAGTAACTTTGTTATTAATTATCTATATTATTAAGAGAATAAGAAAAATTTTGTGGCCAATGTATTTATATGATAAAATCTCTAGATACATAATTAAGAAATTACCTTGTATCTTGTGAAATATTGACATTTTTAAAGATATAAGCTCATCCCGATGTTACACTCATCGAGACCTTTCATTTGAGTACCCACATCAACTTTTCATATATTTATATATATTATATATATGTATATATGAAAAATATATCAAAAATGCATGTTGGTACTCAAATGAAAGCTTTTGATGAGTATAACATCGGGATGAGCTTATATTTTTAAATTAGTACAGTGCAATTTAAAGTACCCACACATCAACTTTTCATATATTTATATATATTATATATATGTATATATGAAAAATATATCAAAAATGCATGTTGGTACTCAAATGAAAGCTTTTGATGAGTATAACATCGGGATGAGCTTATATTTTTAAATTATATATTATCTATACGTATATATGAAAAATATATCAAAAATGCATGTGGGTACTCAAATGAAAGCTCTTGATGAGTGTAACATCAAGATGAGCTTATATCTTTAAAAATGTCAATATTTAAGATAATACAAAGCAATTTAACAAAAGTAATTACTTAACAAACCAAAATTTTATTTATTTATAGTTTACAAGTCACATAGTGACTGCAAGGTTGCTAGTTATAATTATTTTTTTTACAAATTTATATATATAAAGTTTTGAACCATATGTATATTCTGACTCAGCTCGTCGAGTTAATTTTTAAAAGTTTCTACTTAAAAATAAATTCACTAAAAATATAAGAATAAAAGTGATGATGATAATTGATTTATTATTTTATTAGAAGCAATGCCAAGTTGGAGTATTACCATTGGGAACCGGAAATGATCTTGCCCGAGTGCTTGGATGGGGCGCGTCCTGTGATGACGATACTCATCTACCGCAATTATTGGAAAAGTACGAGAAGGCAGGAACTAAAATGCTCGATCGCTGGAGTATTATGACATTTGAACGTAATATTTCTCTGTCATGTCCTAAATTATCTCCAAGCCAAGGCTCTGATTTGAATTTAAATTTGTCAATGGTTCAACAGTACGAGGATAATGTGACATTTCATATTACCAATATTCTACACGCTGATCAGAGCACAATTATTTTTTCGAGTGCTAAGTAAATTTTTTTATTTTATTTTTATTATTTAGTATTTAATAATAACTTTGATGGTTGAATTAATTTCATTTAAAATCAATACTTTATTTTCCAGAGTGCTTTGTGAAACAATAAAAGAGTTTGCCTCGCGTATATTGGAAGCGAGTTTCCATATCGGGGATGAAATACTCGAGAACAAGTGCGCGGTTCTCGAAGAAAAATTGGATTCCCTGCTCCAGACACTTAATTACGATGATAATTTAGTAGAAATGGCCCAGGACGACGGAAAGTTTAATATCCCCGGTGATAATCTGTCTATCAACACGAAGAACCTGGAGAAAGGAGTCCTAGAAAAGCCAGAAAAAGATATAACAAACCTGAAAAGAGTGCGTAAAAATAGAAATCCCGGTGAAAGAGATGCGGTGATGGCACGGGCGAATAGCTTGAAGCGAGCTATTAGGCAGCTCGTTGAGCAAACCGAGCTTGTTATTGACAAACAAAAAAATTCATCTGGAAAGCTTACGAATAAACTATCAAATTTAGCTATCAACTCCAAGGACTACGATCAAGCTTCCAATTCGTGGAATACTTGTCAAGATAAATCGATCAATATCAACAGTAATACTCTCAAGCCTTGTGAGAGCAATGCATCTATTATTGTGTCCTCAGCCAGTTCCTTTGATGTCTCTTCGTGTCCCAGCCCGACTCCCAATTTAGTTTCTCTCAGTCCGATGCCTGATTTAAGACGAGATTCTCAAGTTGATGAGTTGCTTACACTTCCTGCTCCAGATGGATTTGCTGATAGTCGGAGGAATAGTTCTAATCTTCCTAAAGAGTAATTGAATTTTTTTTTTATTTATAAAATAATATTAAATTTTAAGTCAAGATTATATATATATTATTAAGAGAATAGAATTTTGTGTCATAATTTAAAAATGACCTTGTATCTTGTGAAATATTGACATTTTTAAAGATATAAGCTCATCCCGGTGTTACGCTCATCGAGACCTTTCATTTGAGTACCCACATCAATTTTTCATATATTTTATATATTTATATATATTATATATATATGTATATATGAAAAATATATCAAAAATGCATGTGGGTATTCAAATGAAAGCCCTTAAAGAGTGTAACATCAGGATGAGCTTATATCTTTAAAAATGTCAATAATTAATACTAAGCTTGTATCTTGTGAACTATTGACATTTTTAAAGATATAAGCTCATCGTGACATTATACTCATGGCGACCTTGCCCTTAAAGAGTGTAACATCAGGATGAGCTTATATCTTTAAAAATGTCAATAATTAATACTAAGCTTGTATCTTGTGAACTATTGACATTTTTAAAGATATAAGCTCATCCCGATGTTACACTGATCAAGACCTTTCATTTGAATACCCACATGCATTTTTGATATATTTTGTATATTTATATATATATATATATCATATATATGTATATATGAAAAATATATCAAAAATGCATGCGGGTACTCAAATGAAAGCTCTTGATGAGTGTAACATCGCAATGAGCTTATATCTTTAAAAAAGTCCAGTGCAATTTAACAAAAGTCATTAATTAATAAACCAAAATTTTATTTCTTTATATTTCACAAGTATTATTATTAATTAAAATTTTTTAGATCTCTAAATTTTCCCGCTGACGAATCAACCCTCAAAAAAGCAGCAGCAGTATTATTAAACGAGCTCCAGTGCTCTGAATTGACCTCAACAACTCAGGTAGACACTTCCACGGATATCCAAGTGACAGTAACAAGCACGACATTGGACACCAGCTCAAAGTCAGACGACACCACCATCCAAGACGCATTAATATCTCCGTCAGACTCGGACATAAATATCTCCAGCGCGTTTGTCCACCGCACCGACTACGACGTAAGAACTCACGTGTCCCGAAGTAGCTGCAGCAACAGTATCGTCAGCACCGACAGTCTGGTATCCGAGACCTTAGACTCTAAAAGTTACACAATAAAACACAGTGAAAGCGAAATCGGTACGATCAATAAATGTCTCCTCATTAGAACCTTAAATTAAACATCTAACATAAAACATGGATGATTTATCTAACACTTTTCAGGTAATGCAGACAGCGACATCCTCGACTCCACAAAGCAGTCAGAAAATTACTCCGAGATCGGCCACATCGACTCTCCGGAAAACTCCGACCTCCAAAACTCCGAGAGCATGATTGACGACCTTAGCTCTCTTGGCCAGGATTTGATAAGCACCATGCTCGGTGAAAAGTATGACTCAGTCCGTGAGTGTGTTGAAACAGAACAAACTGACCGACCAAAAAAATATTGCAGTCTCGCCCAGTTTGTCGACGGAAGCGACATAGCAAGAAAGTCCTTCAAGCGACCATCACGGTACGTGTCATCTCTTTTGAAAGACACTTCACCATCACCTGACGAAATCTCCAAGCGTGCTACCTTGCCTACAATTACAGTCGACAACATGGACTCTGGTCAAAAGACGGACCTGCTCAGTCCAGTCTGCTGCTTCACAGTCACCTCAGACACAATTGAAAAAATAAACTTTCCTCCAGAGATAAATGTCATTGTAGACCCTCCGAGTCCTTCTATGTCAATTGACAGTCCTTGTCCTAGTCCCAGCCCTGACCAGGACAACAAGTTCGGGTTCAGGCGACTTAACAAAGGCAGTATGGAAAAACTGAGCGTGGAACCTCCAGAGCTAGGCTTCTCGCCTCAAGCTAGTAGAAGGATAAGCTGCGGAAGTCTTCTGAAGCCTTCCGAGGTGGTCTCTTTAGCAGCAACTGCTTCAAAGTTAGGTGGCTCTAACATCAGTCTAAGACACGACCGGGCCAAGTCAATAGACCGGACCGAGGAGGTCAAAAAACTCCCGATAATAAATCCACTGGTCAGACTTCCAATGTGGCCGAACATTGGCGGGGCTGCTGGATTCATCAGCCAGGCTTTGCTGGCAAATGCAGACGCGCTGTGTGCTGCTGTGTCGCCGCTGATGGACCCAGATGAGACGTTGATGGAGGGCTACTTTGAGAGGTGTGTTATGAATAATTATTTTGGCATTGGGATTGATGCCAAGATCAGCCTGGACTTTCATCATAAGCGAGAAGAGCATCCGGAGAAGTGCAGGTCCAGGGCGAAGAATTATATGTGGTATGGAGTGCTGGGGTCCAAGCAGTGGCTACAGAAGACTTACAAGAATCTTGAGCAGAGAGTCCAGCTAGAATGTGATGGGCAGAGGATTCCTTTGCCCTCGCTGCAGGGTATTGTGGTCTTGAACATTCCCAGCTTCATGGGAGGAACCAATTTCTGGGGAGGTACCAAGGAGGGCGACTTGTTTCTTGCTCCGTCGTTTGATGATAGGATTCTTGAGGTTGTGGCGGTATTTGGATCCGTGCAAATGGCCGCTTCGAGGCTGATTAATCTTCAGCATCATAGAATTGCTCAGTGCCAGACGATCCAGATTAATATTCTTGGGGAAGAAGGGGTTCCGATTCAGGTCGATGGAGAAGCTTGGATCCAACCGCCGGGGATTATTAGGATTATTCATAAAAATCGCATGCAAATGCTTTATCGAAATAGGGTAGGTTTTTTTTTTTTTAATTTAGGAGGAGTTGTGGTAATTATTGTGATGGTAATAATGGTTATGATTAATATAGGCGCTGGAAACTTCGCTGAGGACTTGGGAAGAGAAGCAACGCAACAATACCTCCAACGTATCGCAGTCTTCATCTTCGCTGAGTAATAATATGGTGCAGTCACGATCATACACACTGGGTGATAGCAAACCAATTCAACTCTACGAGGAGGAATTTAATATTCTACTCGGCTTAATTGAAGTTATTACCACGCTGGTTAAATGGGTTAAATTACTTACTATATCACATCCGAGTTTCGAGCCTGATCTTTATCAGATCGCCGATCGGACAGCGGTTAATTTGGAGAAAGTTCATCCGGATGGAAAAATTATTCAAGGGGTATTTTTTAGTTTTTTTAACTTTGCTTTATTTTATTATTGTTATTATTGGCAGAATCTATATCAAGAGAATAAGATCTTTAGATACATAATTAAGAAATTACCTTATATCTTGAGAATTATTGACATTTTTAAAGATATAAGCTCATCACGGTGTTACACTTATCGAGACCTTTCGTTTGAATACCCACATCAATTTTTTATATATTTATATATATTATATATGTATATGTATATATGAAAAATATATCAAAAATGCATGTGGGTACTCAAATGAAAGCTCTTGATGAGTGTAACATCGGAATGAGCTTATTTCTTTAAAAACCTCAATATTTAAAAAAGTACAGGGTATTTTAACAAGCATCTTGTGAACTATTGGCATTTTTAAAGATATAAGCTCATCTTGATATTACTCTTATCAAGACCTTTCATTTGAGTACCCACATCAATTTTTCATATATTTTATATATTTATATATATCATATATATGTATATATATGAAAAATATATCAAAAATGCATGTGGGTACTCAAATGAAAGCTCTTGATGAGTGTAACCGCAAGATGAGGTTATATCTTTAAAAACATCAATATTTAAGAAAGTTCAGTGCAATTTAACCAAATTTATTATTTAATAAAGCAAAATTTTAATTATTTAAAATAAAATTGCTACCAATAATAATAATAATAATTTTGAAAATTTGTATGGCACTATTATTATTTTTTTTTTACAATTATCATTAATAATTTGTTTTATTCAACAGCCAGGTCTACGACCTTTAGTTACCGAGCTGGTGTCCAGTGCAAGACAACTTTATGAAGAATCTTGCGAGTTACTTCGTGACAGTGGACAAAATTTGGTAAATATATTTTTTTTTAATACATTCTTACTACTTTGATACAAATATTAATAATAATTTTAATTTCCTAGCGATTGCGCTCGGATCTAGAAAATAAATTATCCGTATCACTGGCAGCAATGGAGCAAGAATTAAAAAAATGCGTGTTTGACGAAGCAGGCACAGGTTTAGTCTACCTCCAAAATATCCCCTCAGAAGATCAGGTAAAAGTTATTATTTTTCTCTTTAGTAACTTACAAAATTTATTCAATCTTTTTGACTTTTTATGTCCGGATGAGATTGTTAGTGACAATATTTATTTATTTAATTAAAAAAAAAAAGTTAGTAGAAAATCAACAGCATGATTGATTGATAGTCTTTAATTAAAATTGAAAAAAATAATCGTTTTTAAAATTTCAACACTAATTCACAAACACAAGAGTTAAGTATTAAAAAAATAATAGCAGAAAAAAATGAATAATTAATGTAATTAATTGACTAAATTATTCTATGCTATGATTTGGATTATCTGAATACTCGATTCAATTAAACTGGTAATAATAAGCTCATATAAATCATACCGTAGTTGTAGTGAATAGATAAACTCCCAGCAATTATTTATTACCTGACCAATCGATACTATCAATTACTACACTGAGCCCCAATTTAAGTAATTACACGATAATAAGCATGGATGTTGTTATTCAATAACCCCAACATTCATTGTTTCCCCGACTAGCAATTGTATGCTCCGATAATCCACGTGTACTGAATGATTTAAACCGCATGTCAGTGTTAGAGATTACCTCAAAAAAAAATAATAAAAACAATTTTTAGCTTCTAAAGGTGGGTTGCTAATTGATTGAATTTATTTTCTCTAGGGTGATAAGAAGAACCGTCATCGCGGTTTGTTTTGGTTAAAGTTCCGGCGCTCGGGGACTAGCAACAGCAGCAGCAGCAGCGGTCACCTGGCACGCGATCAAGTTACCACCTGGGGGGTCCAGGACGTCTGTCTCTGGCTGGAGAACCTTCAACTCGGCGAGTACACTGACCAGTTTATTTCTCATGATATTAGGGGCCGGGAATTATTGAGTCTCGCACGTCGTGACTTGAAGGAACTCGGGATCGTTAAAATTGGTCACGTTAAACGTATACTCCAAGCTATTAACGATCTTAATAATTAATTTGGTAATTATATATTAATATATATGATGAGAGGATAAATTTATTTTTTTATAAATTAGCTATTTTTTAAGAAGAAATTTATTTTTTTGGTTATTATTTACAAGTGGGGTCAAAACTATTTTTGGAGAAAAAATAGATTAATTGATGGATCATCATAATTTTTTTTTAAATTCTTTGTTTTTATGGCAGATTAATGGTGGTGATATTGGGAATATCAAAAAATTAAAATTATGATGATGATAATGATCATGATCTCGATAATCTTGATGTTGATCATTGTGATCATGTAGACCATGATGATCATGCTGATGATAATGATCATGGTTATCATGATTATCATGATCGCCATTATTTTCATCATCATGATCATTATCATGCTCAACATGATCATTATCATGCTCAATATGATCATGATCAGCATGATCATTATCATGATCAACACGATCATTATCAACATGACCATTATCATGATCATCTTAATAATCATCATCATCATCATTATTATCATCATGGTCATGATAATCATCATAATTATCATAATCTTGATGACAATGATAATCATGTACATGATGATAATAATAATTATGATCATGATGATATTTTTTACGAACATGATCATGATCATGATTATATTCAAATAAAAATTTCATTCAAAAAAATTAAAATTAAAATCATTGACTCCACTTATAAATATATACCTAATAAATTTTTTTTATATTAAATTTATTGTTTAAAAAATATTTTTTCAATAAAAATTTTATAAAAAATATATTTCTTTTAAAAAAATTGCTAATTTTTAATAAAAATAAATCTTTCCTCTAAAAATATTGCCACTGAATTTATAGTATGAAACAAACAGTATTACTATTATTAATTATTTATTAAAAATAATAATAATCAACGGAGTTACTTTCGCGTGAATGAATTTAACTTAATAATTTATTGAAATATCTATTAATGATCTCATTAATTTTTATAAATATCTTTTAAATCGATTTGTTATTAATGTCTTCTAATAAGTAATTTGGTGCTTCCTCTTTTATTGACTCCCTCAATATATACTGGTATATTTAAATAATATTAATAAAATATTGTTGATATTACTAGTACTTAATCTTCAGACCACTTTTAAATTTTTTACAAGTGCAAGAAAATAAACAAAGTATTTTTTAAAACGTCATTTTACGGATTATAAATCTTATAAAAAAATATCCTTTATTATTTATGGATAGCTCAATAAATAGGCTTTGAAATAATTGATAATAAAAAACAACGAATGGAGGTTTTGTTTAAATAAAATCCTTAAACTTGCACACTTATTAATAATATTAAATAAATAAATAAAATAAAACAACTTGTTCTTAAAAAAAAAAAAAAATAAATATTTAAATATATATACTTTAGTATTTTCAAGTGTCCTTATTTTCGTCATAGACGGAATAATTAAGCCGAGGAAGCACACCAGTAAATTTATTACTTTTTATTAACTTGTTACCGTTGTTTTATTAATTAAATTTAAACGAGTAATTCATAATTCTAGTTATATATTATCAGTACACTGAGAAAAAAATTTTTTTTTTAATTTTTCAATTATAAATTATTTTATTTATTTATTAAAAAATTATTAAAAGAATTTTTTTTAATTTTTTAATCATAAATTAATTTGTTTAAAATTTTAAAATAAGAAATAAAAAATTTTTTTATTTTAAATTTATTTATTTAAAAAAATTTTTTATAAATTTCTACAAAAAAAATTTTTTTTTTTATGTACAATAAATTTTTTTACATTAAATTTATTGCTGAAAAAAATAGTTATAAATTTTAATTAAAAAAAATGAATTATATTTTTTTTTAAACAATTTTTTTCTCAGTGTAAAATAGATAAAAAGTCAAAAAATGCGTCTAGTACTCTAAGCTTCTCTATGCCTCGTACCTCCAAAACTACAATTATAAATAACTACCATAGAAAGTAATCATTTATAACTAGTGGGCAAAAATTTGTCCCCAAATATTATTATTTATTATTAAAAAAAAAAAAATTAAAATACGACCAACAAATTTTTCGCCTACAAAATAAAATTTTGTCAGGCCTTTACAAGCCTTAACATCTATAACTCTCGCCTTTTCTATCACTCATAAAAAATTATCATTATTACTACTATTATACTATTAACTACGACGATTGTTGATTTTTCTAAGTGTTATGTTTTTTCTAATAAGATTAAAAATACCAAAAAAATTTTTCAGACTGAGTGTATTACTCTATTAAAACAGTGTGAAATTAAATCTTGATGTATGAAAATCAAAGCAATCTTTTGAGTCTCTCAATTAATTATTATTAATTAATAATTTTCTTGTTAATGTAAATACTAGTTAATTTAAATAAAAATTAACACTTGAATTTTTAATCACAATTATTATCACGTAGATTTAAAATTTAGTAAATATTTATTGCACTGAAAATTGTTATGTAACTTAGTTTTTAAATTTTCATCAAACAACTTCGAGATATTTAATAAATGCAATATTGTAATATTTAAATAAAAATTAGTCTAAGAATTATTTAGTTTTAATTGTAAGAACAAGTTGAAAAACTAAAAAGTAATAGATAGAACGTCTGGCCACAAATTAAAAAAAAAAAAATAAATTAAATTTGATTAGATAGATTAATCAATATAAATCTAAATATTTTTAGAACTCTAGCCTCTGATTCTATACACTAGACTGATGAACTTATCAATACAATTAGTCAACTTTTTAAATTCTGTGATAATTAATCTAATGTAAAAACATCTGTGTAATGTTTATTGTCATACATGCACATTAATAACTTTTTGTCTAAATATTGTTAATTGTGTAATAATAATAATAATAATAATAATAAGTTACCTCTCGTTTGTTTATTTTACTCTAAGGGTTTAACGAAATTCTTCCGACTTTCAACTGTGTATACGTATATTTATTTCAATAATTACCAATATTATTATTAAAAATGACTTTCTTTTATTTATATCACCCACAGTGCTTATTTAAGCGATTAAGTGTCTTGTCTTTTCCTAGAATTTCCATCATTTCAACTACGCTTGGGCCTTGCTGTAATTAAATAGAATTTTATAAGTATTTAATTAATTAAATAAAAAAAAAATTGTAGCATTACCTCAAGTCCGCTGAGATGACCTCGAAGCAATTTCATGAGCTTTGGGAACTCTAGATGATTAGTAGTGGAAAATTTCTTTAAACAAGTCTTTAAATTATTCCTATGAAAATCATTATTGTCTACTTGCGTTAATTCTGTACTCAGTACTTTTATTAACTCTGAAAAAATTAATAAATAATTATTACATTAATAATTAACTAGCAACCTTGCAGTCACTACGTCACTGCCGGGACTTGTGGATTATAAATAAATCAAATTTTGTTTTTATTAAATAATGACTTTTGTTAAATTGAACTTTACTTTCTTAAATATTGACGTTTTTAAAAATATAAGCTCATCTTGAGGTTACACTCATCAAGAGCTTTCATTCGAGTACCCACATGCATTTTTTATATATTTTTCATATATACATATATATATAATATATATATAAATATATAAAATATATGAAAAATTAATGTGGGTACTCAAATGAAAGGTCTCGATGGGTGTAACATCGAAATGAGTTTATATCTTCAAAAATGTCAATCGTTCACAAGATACAAGGTCATTTATTAATTATTGACATTTTTTAAGATATAAGCTCATCTTGATGTTACACTCATCAAGACCTTTCATTTGAGTACCCATATGCAATTGTGATATATTTTTCATATATACATATATATATATATATATAATATATATAAATATATGAAAAATTGATGTGGGTATTCAAATGAAAGCTCTCAATGAGTATAACATCAAGATGAGCTTATATCTTAAAAAATTTCAATAATTCACAAGATAAAAGCTAAATTTCTTAATTATGTATCTAGAGATCTTGCGAATGCAGCTTAAATACCGTCATAAAAATAAAAAAAACTTACCAGAATTTTCCGAAGTGGTAACTTGTGATTGAGGCATCACCCACAAAAATGAAAATTCTTTATTGACTAAATCTTTTAAAGTATGAATTCTATTTACAGCCCAATTTAATATCGTTACAATGTGATCATCATCTAACTGCAGACTGCCATCGTGTTGTCTAAAAATTTTATTAAAAAAAAAAAATAAATCACATAGTAACAAAATAATAACAATAAAAATTACCTGTCAGGAAAAGTTTCAAGGACTAATCTTCGTACTTTTTCCACTAAAATTTTGGTATTATTATTATCACTCAATAAATTAACTATCTCTAATTTATTCAATTCCATCAAAGTATCTCTATTGAGTTTTGACGAATGGGTATTGATTTTATTGATGTCAAACTAAAAAAAAAAAAAAACAATTAAATTACTGTTCCTAACATAAATAAATAAAAAAAAAAAAAAAAATATCTACCTGTTTGATTAATTGCTCATAACTGTAACAAGAAATCGATGAATCCCTATCAAAGCCACCTCCAGCATGAGTGATATAATTAATCAAAGCCAGCGGAAAGATTCCCTGTTCCCTATAAAAGTCAACTTTGATATCGCCCTGCCTCTTGGAGAGCTTTGAGCCATCAGTATTGAGAATGAGCGGCAGGTGAGCAAAATTCGGAGGCGTCCAGCCGAAAGCTTGATAAATTTCCAGGTGCTTGGGGGTCGATACCAGCCACTCGACGCCTCTGAGCACATGAGAGATCTCCATCAAGTGGTCATCGACCACGTTAGCAAAATGGTAAGTAGGATACCCGTCAGCTTTTATGATCACAAAGTCCGCTTCCTGCTGGGTGGGCTCAAAGTCTCCGTAAACTAGATCCTTGAATCCTTGAGGCTCTGTGCTCAACTTAAACCTGATACAGTGCTCGACGCCTTTGCTGAGCTTCTCCTTGACGACATCTTTCTCCAGGTGACGACAGCGGTTGTCGTACTTGGGAACTAGCCGAGCCTTCACTGCTTCTCGTCTCAGTAGGTCCAATCTGTGCTCGGTGCAGAAGCAAGGGTACGCTGAGTCATTTTCTATCAATTTTTTGACGTACTCCTGGTAAATTTCCAGCCGCTTTGACTGGATGTAAGGACCTGTTGGTCCTCCTCTCACTGGATCTTCATCCGGGATTATTCCTGCCCAGATCAAGTTGTTTCGCAGCCGCTCCATCGCTCCAGGTTGCAATCTGGTCTGATCAGTGTCCTCGATTCGCAGCAGAAAGTGTCCATTGTGCTGGCGAGAGAATAAATAATTGTACAAGGCTGTTCTTAGACCGCCCAAGTGAAGATCACCTGAAATTTTTTATTGTCATCATTATTTTAATAATTACTAACAACCTCGCAATCACTACTATAAATAAATAAAATTTTGCTTTATTAAATAATGACTTGTTAAATTGGATTGTACTTTCTTAATTATTGACATTTATGAAGATATAAGCTCATCCTGAAGTTACACTCATCAAGACCTTTCATTTGAGTACCCACATGTATTTTTGATATATTTTTCATATATACATATATATATAATATATGTATATATGATATTTATATCTTTAAAAATGTCAATAGTTCACAAGATATTTATTAAAATGTCCTATACTTTCTTAAATATTGACATTTATGAAGATATAAGCTCATCCTGATGTTACACTCATCAAGAGCTTTCATTTGAGTACCCACATGCATTTTTGATATATTTTTCATATATACATATATATATAAATATATGAAAAATTGATGTGGGTACTCAAATGAAAGCTCTTGATAAGTGTAACATCAGGATGTGCTTATATCTTTAAAAATGTCAATAGTTCACGAGATACAAGGTCATTTCTTAATTATGCATCTAGAGATAAAGCATTTTTGAATGCAAAAATACTTATCATAGATTGACTATTGATGAGAATGATATGAAACCATGAAAATGCATAACTCGAGGTCAAGAATTATCCAACTATATCCAATTTAACAGAAATTACAAATTTTTTTATAATTTTATAAAAATTATTATGAAAAAAAATTTCATTTATGAAAATTGAAAAATAAAAAATTAGAATAATTTTTTTAATTAAAATTGATTTTTTATAAAATTAAAACATTCAAGTTAGCTGACAACTATTATTTTAATAAAAAGATTTGTTCCAAACAATTATTTTAAAAAAATTGCATTTTTTATATTTTTAAATTTATAGATATCAATTATTTTTTTTTTTTTTGCTATAATTTACTTATATCAATAAAATTTTAAAAATTATTAAAAATGTGCTACATTAATTTTCATAAATAATTGACAATTGTCAGCTAATTGAATTTCAGTATCATAATAATAAACATAATTTTATTTACCTGTAGGACTTGGAGCGAACCTGACACGCACCAGTGGCTCGCTGTAGCCTCGCCGTTGGATAAATTGAACGGTTAATGCTCTCAACATATTCTACATCACAATATTTTCACCTTGGTAAGTTTATTATTTACATATGTCCACCACGTGCTGGTTTGAACTTTTTGCCAGTGTAATTTATTGAGCTGAGGGTTGCACGTCTATCGACGAGGGCGCTTCAGTGACTGAGACTAGAAAAACTCTGATCTGATCCGCAACTTAGCCCACACCGAATTAAATTGCAGTTAAGTGCAGTTTGTTGAACTTGAAAAAACCTGTATTGCAGTTCTTGATGACCTCAAACTTAAAAGTGGAGGGAGAAAATTTTTTTTACACTAAATAGATGCAAAATATGCTTGTACAAATTTTTTTTTCGAATGCATGGTAACGATAGAAGAAATTATTTTCCACATTATCTATTGTTGATAAAGTAAAATGGCGTGAGTACATGCCTTATTTAAAAATACGCGGCAACGCTGCCGTCAAGAATAAATTTCTTTGTTAATAAAAAATTAAAAAATGGTCAATTTAAATATAAAAAGAAATTTTAAATACATGATGATGTCATTAAACGTCCAAATTATTATAAGTCATAATTACATTTTTCTATCTGAGTGTCTGGAGTGTTCCAATTGTTCCAAAACGTTCGAAATCTTATTCTAAGTGAATAGAATTTACTTTTTAATAAGAAAAATTTCCAAATAATTTAATGCATTTACTTTAAGCCTTAAAATTTATGACTGAAAATTTTTCTGCTTTTAATAATTGAGATGAACATAGAAAAGCTTAAGGAGTGTTAGAAGTATTGATTTCATTTTATACTATTTTAAACAATAGCATATTTATTTTAAATCCTTCACTGTAAAAAATTATGTTACAAAAATGAATCTCGAGAACACTACTATACACCATTTCGTGTTATTTAAATTAATATAACGTAATAGTCATCTGGGCGAGCTGTAAAGCTATACTTAATTCCATAAATAAATAAATAAATAAATAATTAAATACAAAATGAATTAAAGACACGAATAATTTGAAAAGATATTATACTTACTGTTAGCCAAATTTCTGTTTAGAATTCCTTAAAATGATATTTCTGTGTAAATTTGAAAGCAATGGATTTTTAATTAGGTATTTATAGTCCTATTCTTATGCTGTATGTAATTGAAAAATTATATTTCTATTGTTAAATAGATTTCAAAACACTCTACTTGTAATTATTGTAAGCAGATGTTCTGCGAATTCATTCTCTGACTCTTTGTTAATTGTCAAATTTTATGTGTCTTTTAATTGCTCTGATGTCCATGTAATTGTAAGAAAAGAAAAGAGTGGGAGAGAATAGTGTCCATATAAATAGGACGTTGTAACTCAAAATTTAACAGTATATATATATACAGAATTATCTGCCGTACATACACTAGTGAGGTGCCTTAAACCGTGTTTTATATATTATTACCTTTTTATAAGTGCAAAAAAAATCATTATGTCAACATTAATGAGAAACTTGAAGACGGCGATTTTTTTTGGTGATGTTAAGAAGGTGAAAAAATTATTAAAATCATTAGCGCCGATACCACTCAGTAAAAATCCTTTGATCTTTGGAGGATACAGTTTATTAAAATTAGCAATTAAGCTCCGTAATCGTAAAGAGATTGCTAAATTGTTAATCAAGAAAGGTGCTCGAGTGAACAAAAAATATTGTGATGAATCAGTTCCTCTATTACACATCGCGATAAGGAAACAACACCCCGACATCGTTAAGTTGCTAGTCAAGAAAGAAGCTAATGTTAATTTAATGAACCAGATCGTTTCAAAATAACCCCACTGTTAAAAACGATTTTTATTTCTGAAAAATTGCGTAGAGTCTCTCCAACAATAGACATCATAAAATTTCTCATAAGAAGTGGAGCAGATGTATCTCAAACGATAAATTTATTACCGAAGAAATTGAAAAATATAGTTATTGCACAGCGTTGGATCTATCCTGCATTTATCAACAATTGAAAATGGCCAGATTATTTCTGAAACTTAATGACAAACCCAATTCCACGCCACTTTTCGATTCGAATTCGATCTCCATTGCAGTAATTCGTAATTTGTGGAAAGTAGTGCGTTTATTATTGAAGTACAACGCATGGGCAAATTCGACGATAAGTAAAATGACAATTACCCACTGCAGTCGTTATTATTCACGTGTACCACAAACGAGATTGAACTCTCTTGGTGAAAATCCGACATTGTTGCATGCTGCGATAGTTAAAAATAACGTTAAAATGGTCGAGCTGTTAATAAACCACGGGGCTAATATTCATTACAGGACTAAATCGTTCAAGAGAACTCCATTAATTTAATGCTGGCGATTGAAGAAAACTCTCCAGAAATAGTTGACCTGCTGTTGAAGAAAGGCGCCAGGATTGATGACTGCGACGAGTAGGATGGTATATTACCATTATATTTTATTACATTATTTGTAATCCAAATAACATCAATTCTCGTTTGAATCCGGAGATGATCAAAAGATATGGTAACTCGAAGGTCCTCATATTGAAGTCCCTAATTAAAGCTGGAGCTAATATCAATGAAACTTCAGAATCTGCTGGTACAAAACTAAAATTCCTGAGGATGGTTAACACCTATGGAGAAATAAATATAGTTGTATATTTAGTGGACAGTTTTGAGTTAGATTTCATGCTTGTTGATTATGAAATACTTGAAACAGTTATTAAGTTACATCCGACCTTGCTATCAAAAGAACAACTCGAAGATCAACAGTTTATGGTTAAATTAAAAAGAATATTCATGGTAATTGAGATTATCTTAATTATCGGACTATTGAAAAGACACTGGAGTGGTAAAAGACTAGAACCTGTCAATGATTATTATGGTAACCTTCCAAATTATATAAATCCAGTTAATAGTATAAATGACTATCTATACAAGTGCATTAAAGCGATGAAAGAACACAGGATAGGAACCAGTACAATATCGTTCTTTCATTTGTTAAATGCTCCATAGAATCAATTGATCAATCATGCCCGTAATGAAGATGTCAGAGCATTGTGTTCCCGCGATTATGCTGATAAATGTCCGATGTACAGCACTATGATTAAAAAACGCGTCGACACCGCCGTCAAAAGGAGCAAGCTGCTGGAGAAGTCTTCGGAAAAAATTTTCATTTTATTAAAAACGCTGCCATTTCAGTGTTGCCAAAAAATTTTAACTTATTTTGATGATAATCCCTGGCGATTTGGAAATATTCAATACTCAATTTGAGAATATCGATGAATATTTCTCTGAGATTTAATTAATATGTGTTTTTTATTTTCAGTGCAATAATAACTGATTGATTAGTGATTAATATTTATATTTATTAACTACATGTCTAGTCATTACTTTAACATTAATTTTAACTAGGCATCATAAAATAAAGAATTATTTTTGTTACAATTTTCAAGCTATAATTTATAATTTTTAAATTATGATTTATAATTTAAAGAATAATAAACTACAATTAATTGATGTATAATTAAGATAAACATTTAAATAAGTTAAAAATTTATATACTTGTAAAATAAATAAAATTCCACTTTCTTTATAAATTTTAGCGTATTCACTTTTTTATATATTTTTAGAATTTATAACTAGCTGTTAAGAAGTACATAAAAAAATATTTTCAAAAGTTTTTGCCGTGCCTGTGATAACTTCTCAACGATCAAGTACTTGAAACAGGTGACCAATTTTAAATTCTAATTAACTGGACAATTTTTATTAGCTTAAAAAGTATATAAGAATAGGAAAAAGGGCAATTAAGTTCCGCCCTTCTATACTGATTTAATCGTTTTTGATAGTAGAGGTCAGTATGAAGGGTACTCAAATTTGAACGTAGAAAAAGCTTTGGCGTCATTCGAAACTGAGATTAAAAGTTACGCTATTACCATCGGGTAGTAAAAAAAATATCCTAAAACGTTTTACCGTTTTTATTTTTATGTTCAATATTTTTTATTAAAAATTTCAATTTGAATGGAAAATAAATTATAAAAAATAAATTTTATCAACTAAATGGCTGTATTTTAAATAATTCAACTATTGAATAATTTTAGTTTGACATTCATAAATATATATTTTAATTATAACGCCTAATTCATTAAAAATTTTATATTCATACACCTGCTACAAACATTAAATTAATGATTATTATTCAGAAAATTAGTACTTAAATGTATTATAAAATAAAATTAATAGTCGTACAGTCGATAGTTGTTTTTATTTTATAAATATAAATAAAAATTTTTAGATTATTCTACGTCTGTCTTTGACTCAACAGATACAATTATAAAAATTTTAATTCTATGTAACTATTTTTATACTGCATTTAATTTAAATTTATCTTAACGCCTGAAATATCGAAAATTAAAAAATTAATTATTGCAAATAGTTAATGAAATATTGTATTTAAAAATGTAAATTATTTATAAAATTAATAATACATACATAGTAAAATAAATGGAAAATTGAAAGAAATTTAATTAAATGCATTAGGAATATTAGTTTTTCATTATTATAATTTAACCGCACATAACATGACGGACAAATTCTTCGTAATTAATATTTCCCTGAGAATCTTCGTGCCCAGCCAAGAGTGTTTCAACTTCTTCATCGCTCAGTTTCTCACCTATAAATAAAATTATTTTTTATTTAAATTAAAATCTTAAACAATTAATTAAACAAATACTCAATAATTTTTTCAATAAAAAAAAAATTTTTTTAAATAAATTAATTTATAAAATAATTAAAAAAAAAAAAAAATGATCAAGTAACTGCTAACTTAAATATAAAAAATAAATAAATAAAACCAAATTTCTTTAAAATTAATAAATAATATTTACCAAGAGTAGTCAACAGGTGTCTCAACTCAGCTGAGGAAATGATACCATTTCCATCTTTATCAAAGTGACGTAATCCCTCGATGAAATCATCAGCAGTGTCAGACGTGCGAGACTTGCTAATAGCTTGATAAATTGGCAAAAAAACTTCAAAACTGATGCGCTCATCTGGCTTGTGCTGGTGGGTGAATTTTTTGACGTCTGACTCGGTGGGGTTTTGCCCTAGAGCCCTTAGGGCATCGCCAATTTGGGACACGTGGATCTTGCCATCTCCACGGCTGTCAAACAACTGGAATGCTTCTTGGAACTCTAAAAAAATAAATAACAATTTTAAAAATTGCCACTATTTTCTAAACTAACTAAAATCACCATCCATTGAAGAGAGCATCCTGTTAGTCAGTTCTTGGTAATTAACTCCGTACATTTTAAAAAAAAAAATTTAATTAAAATAAAAAATAGCAGCGCAAGCAAGTAAAACTGTCAGCGTTAAACTGACTGAAGAATTTTTAAAAATTCAGCAAATGAAATCGCGAACCCCTCTACTGTCAGGTTAAATCAGAGCAGACAGTGCAGTATGACCACCTCCAGCGCAGTATGATCACCTCTGCTAAATTCTGTCTATAAAAGGTTATTTATTCGCAATAACGCATTTAAGGGATCAGTAGAGGGGTCAGTTAATGTCTGCTTACTGTTTCACCTATAAAAAGACACAAGTTCTACTCTTGACCTCATTTAAAGATCTCCAATGTCCAATGAAAGTATAAATTAACCAGCAACCACCTTACGTCTGACTTGTAATTGTTTTTTTTTTAAATTACCTGCGAGCTGGTCTTCGGAGTAAGATGCCTGTAAACATTAAAAAATTTTGTTTTATTTATCTTATCATGCTAATGACAATAACAATGATTATAATTACAATTGTAATTATAATTATTGTTGGGGTAATAATTAAAAAAACTTACCATGGCGAACAGTCTTGAAATAATAAAATAAACTTTTACAGATGAATAATCCGATGAATCACAGACTAACGCAATTTATTAATGGAAATTTTTACATTTAATACAAGAAAAGAACAAATGGCACACACAGATGCCACGGGCGTGGTATATATATGTATATATATATATATATTGTGTATTGTGTATTGGAAAAAAATTAACACGTAACCTCCCGGCAATTTATCGGTGGAAAAAATTAAAGAAGGTACAACTAGCGCCCTCGTATTGTTGTTAGTATATTTAAATAAATCACAGTGCTACAATTATAGGTTTATAAATAAAAGTATCATTTTTTAAGTATAAATAAGTAGAACTTGATATTTACAATTTAAAATGATACTAAAGTCAGCTGACAGTTGTCAATTTTTTATAAAAAATTAATATTAGAGTAATAAAAATGCTTTTAAAATTTTTCTTAATTTTCCTGGCATTAAAGTTATTAGCTGTCACTTTACAATTTTTTTTAATTTTATTTAACAAAAAAATTATTTTCAAAAAATTGCTTTTTTTATTTTTTTAAATTTCTAATCTAAATGTCAATTTTTTTTTTTGCCATAATTTATTTGTTATAAAATTATTAATTTAATTTTCACATGTGGAATTTTTTTATTAAATTTTTTTCATAATAATTTAATTGTTATAAAATTATAAAAACATTTTTATTATCTGTCAACTTTAGTATCATTTATTAAAATTAATTAAAAATACGTGACTGTGTGTCAAAATTCGGTCACTTGGCTCGGAGTTTTATATCTTACAATCGGGTAATTTGGAGTAAATACTATTATTTATTTATTTATTAAATGAAATTTTAGTTACTTTTATCGTGTGTGTTAATATATTTTGACAAGAGGTAGTGATGACAGGCCACCAAGTGACTACGATTGACTTGACTATAGTAAGTAATTATTATTATTATTATTATACAAAAAAGAATTTGTCATTGTTTAGATATGAAGTTACTTATTTATGATACTGAAGTCAGCTAACAACTGTCATTTTTTTTTTTATTTTTATAACAAATCAATTGTTATAAAATTATAAAAAAATTTTTAGTCAGTTAACTTCAGTGTCTTTATTTTTGGTCATAAAAAATTGGAACGTTGAGATCTTATGCAGAGAAAAAAGTCAATATACAAAAAAAATATTTAAAAATTAAAAAAAAAAATTCTTTATGCCAAAAAACAGATTTAGAAAATTGGCAAATAATAAATTAATTAATTAATTTAATCATCAGAACGTTCACCGTGAAGAAAAGTACAAATGGCGTTTCTCAGAGCAATCGCTGGAGTAATTGAGGTGTCGCTCAACGACGCATTGGTCATAGGACTGGTATACTTCCCGCAGAGGAACCACTCATTGATAGCGGCTTTCTCATAAATGAATCCATCGGAGCATTTCACTGGTTCGCGCATTATTTCGTGAGTTATTGGACAAACGTATTCATCTGGAACTTCTGTGTCTTCGAAATTATTGAAGGTATTTATGTCTTGTTGTTTTAACCAGTACAGCTGATTTTTAAATAACTTCATCAGCTAAAAAAAATAATTATAATTTATACATTAATTAATTAATTTTTAAATTAATTAAATAAGTAAAAAAATTACATCTGGATAATCGAAGACTCCAAGCCTTGCAATAAGAACTTCTTCAGGTAAAGTGAGTAAAAGTCTTCCATTGAGCCTAGAAGCCGCAACGCGGCCTTCTAAAATTCCTAAATCAACTTCAATCAGCCATTTAATAATATCCTCGGTTTTCCAATCGATTATATTTTTTCTGTTGTTCCGTAATTGGTCTATTAAAATACTTTGGGATATAAGTTGCTGTGGAAGCCGCCATAATGCTACTGTTTTATCCAGAGCCCCTAGATATAAATTAATTATTTAAAAAATTATATGGTAGTTACTAATATATGACAATGACTAATAGTAATTGATTATATTTACCTGTAGCAAATAACGCAGTATCGCCGGAAAAGGCACAACACGTTACTAAACTTTCATGATATTCTAATACGAAGAGACACATACCAGAATTCTGAAATAAAAATTAATAAATTTATTTTTAATTTATTATTTGGAAAAATTTAATTTTTAATTCAAATATTTATTATTATTTTTTGAGCTAGTTTTTAAATAATAATAATAAATAAAATAAATGATATATTACCACACTCCATATTCTAGCAGTTCGATCAGTAGCAACACTACCAATAATTTCACCATGAAAAGGAGCGAATTTAACATCCATAACATTTCCCCCATGACCAGAAAGTACTCGTTTTTCTCTATAAGACACTAAACTCGCATAAGAACCCTCTTCAGCATCTTCACAAAAATTAGAATCTTTATTATTCTTCGGATTAATTTTTATTTGCCACAATTTTACATAAGAATCATTTCCGCAGGTCGCTAAAGTAAAACTTTTTCTATCGTCATCGCGAACCGTGGGTGAATGTCTTGAACCTTTAAATAATTAACACCAAAAAAAATCAATAAAACTATAAACTTTAAAATTTTTTTTTTTTTAAATTATGCAAAAGACAAGTATGAGTATTAATTTATTAATTTATAAAATGAATAAAAAAGTATACCAACGACTGCTGTAAAAGGCGAAGAAGTAGCAGGACTAAAATCGCACCCTTGAACTCCAAGATCATGAGCGTCACAGACAACAATTGCGTTAGAGTCTCCGTAGATTTCAAATATCCTCCAGGAGCCTTCACTGCAAGCTGTCACTATGTAAGATGAATCTGATGTGAAGGCTATTGCGGTAATTGCGTCTGCGTGGCCTTCCAAAATTCTGCATTCAAAATTCCTGACATTATTTCCTTTTTAATTTAATTTAATTATTCAATTATTTAGAACAGTACTGTATTTCTTCCATAGTATTTATATCCCAAAGAGTTGTTTTTTCATCATCTCCAGCAGTCGCTAGCTTGGTACCGTCTGGAGACCAGCGACATACACGAATCCCAGTTCCTGAATTGACAAATGATTCACGCGCTTGTTCTCCAGTCTGTTGAATAAAAAAAAAAAAAAAATATTGGAATAAAATTATTAACAATTAAAATTAATATAATGATGATTACTTCAGTACACCAGAGCATAGTGGTCCCGTCTAAAGAGCAAGAAGCTAACATTGTCCCGCAAGGACTGAACTCGATGTAATTTACACTGTACTTGTGACCGTCAATAGGACTGAAAGGCTTTTCGACGAATTTGAGCTCCACGTGTGCTATTTGTTCTCCATCTTCTGTGTCTACTATTTCTTCTTCTCTTTCTGCAGTCCAGAGTCTTACAAGTTTGTCCCTATAAAATAAAAATATAAATTAATTATTATAGTTATTTTTGGTGAATTTGAATTTATAAAATTACTCACCCAGAACCAGACGCTAATAAATTATTACCGTAGAAAGCAACTCCATTGACCGCGCCGCCATGGTCATCCAAGGTTGAAACCAGGGTAACATCATTGCCAGAATTTTCAGCAAAATGCACAACTTTTTGCTCCTGAACCGCGTCCTGATTTTCTTCACTTGACTGATGAATCAGAGCGGCAGTTCGTCGCAAAAGTTTTGAGTCGAGGGTTAAGTTGTTCCCAGTGAGATCCCAGACTATTATGCTACGGTCGTTTGAACCTGTTGCTAAAAGATTGCCGTCTCTTGAAAAGGCACAGCATGCTACGTAACGTTTGTGATCTCTTAAAACTGATACTATTTTTCCTGTATTCTAAAAAATATTAAGTAAATTTCAAAAATATATTTATTGTTATTTAAATTAAAAGAATTTACTTAATTATAAAATTTTAAATATCAAATATTTATTAAAAACTATTTCTTGTTTAAAAATATTAATAAAAATAAATAACTTACTGTATCCCATATCACAGCAATTTTATCAAGACCACTACTAACAATATAAGCCCCATTAGAACTAAATTTAACACAAGTCAATGCACAGCTATGCCTTTGAAATACTTTTGAAAGCATTATCGATGCATTAATTGGCTGAGTTTGAGTTTTTCCTTCCACAACTTTAACATCCCATAATTTAACATCATGATCATTTCCACAAGTCACCAATTGATATGATTTTTCAATAGCCACCTGATCTGATCATAAAAAAATCCATTTTATTTAATTGCCTTTGTAGTTTTAACAAAAAAATTTACTCGTTATAAGTTGGTAAGAAGAAAAGTCACAACAAACAACCCCTAGATCATGAGCATCGTCGACTGTCGCGAAGACATTCACCGACTGGTCCAAGCTCTGGCTCCCACTGGTATCCACCATTTCAAATGACGAAAAGAGTTTTAAAACTCCTAGAGTGCACGACGTTAGGAGCCAGTTTGAGTCTGGAGAGAAGGTAACGCACTGGACAGATCCTTCGTGCGCCTGCAGAGACCTGTCAATTAATTAATTCATAATTATTAATATATTTTTATTCATGTTTAAATTTACCTTATCAAATTCCGACGGATAAGATCCCAGAGACAAATTTGTCCATTATCCCCCGCAGTCACCAGCAAAGTTGAGTCTGGGGCAAATCGACAAACTCTGACAGCTTCACCGCCAGTTTGCACCAGCGTGTGAATTTTTGATCCAGTCTATTCAATATTATCATTATCATTGTAGATAAATTTAATAGAATATTTTTTTTTTTATTATAATAATTAAAATAATCTACTCTTAAATTCCAGAGTTGCGTTGTCCCGTCGATACTCGCGCTGGCCAGCATCGTTGACTGAGGGCTAATTTTTACACAAGTTACCCCGTATTTGTGACCCATTAACGGAGACCATGACACTTGTTCATACCCAGTTCCTTGGTGCCATTTCCATACTCTAACACTTTTGTCCCTAGAAAAATAATTTTACTGGCATTTAATACTACTTCATATTTTTATGATATAAAAATTTTTTTTTTTTTTTATAAATTATAGCAAGAAAAATTTAATTAAAAATTCTATTGTTAAAAAATTATAAATGCAATATTTAAAAAAAAAAATTTTTAGACCTTGTTTATTTAAAAAAAAATATTCTTCTTAATAAAATAAAATTAACTTAATTTAATTAAAAATTCTATTGTTAAAAAAATTATAAATATAATATAATAATAAATAAAATTTTTAGACCTTGTTTATTTAAAAAAAAATATTCTTCTTAATAAAATAAAATTAACTTACCCAGAACCGGTGACCAAAGTGCAATCAGCAGCAAAATCAATACTATTTACATCATTCCTATGGACGGATAAAGTTTGTAAAATATGAGCATCCTCGATAGACGACTCCATTTCTAATACTGATTTCTTCTCTGTAAAATATTATACCATCTTTGAATTATTAACGCGCTTTTTTAGCAGTTAGCGCGCGAGATGATAAAACTTAAACACGTAAATAAAAGTAATAATGCACTAGGCCTCATTGCATCTATTATTATTCTATTTCTATTGTGTAGGCCAATGCTGCGCAAAGGCCACAATACAAATTAATAAAATATACAATGCTTATAAACTTAAAACTGACGTGTTATGTGACACGACTACCACGCGGAAATATCGATCATCTTTCATTGTAATCGCGAATGAATTATTTCTCAACGTTTATTAAATACCTGTTATATTTTTATAATGTATATTTTTATTAATTTTATAGAAAAATTATTTTTTTATATTTCTTCTTTCAAACGCGACAACTAATAAGATAAAATAAATAATTGATATATTAATTATTATGTGATTAGTGAAGAAATGTTAAGTAAAGTGGTTAAAATCTCAATACTAATGATAATAATAATAATAATTTAAAAAAATTAATTATATATAATATAAATTTACCTTACTATATGTAGAAAAATAAATTCCTTATAAAAAATGTGAATTTACAAATTGTAACCTGCTGTAACCGCTTGCAAAACTTAACTACTGACTATGAACTTAAACTAGAGTTAGAATCCTGTTCATAAATAATGATGATGAAGAAGCGCGTGTCTAGTTAAACATATATTCCTGTTTTTATACATTTCGATCGATAATCATAGTCCAGCCGAGTAGCTCTTGTTATGAATTATTTTTAGTAATAAAAGCATATTATTATTTTGCTCATTAGCAAAATACATTCAGAAATTTCGACCATGGCCCGGTTTATTTTCTAAAAAAAATAATATTCATTATTAATGTCGTGTCTGATCAACAATCTGGAATTTTAATTATATTTACTTGATATGTCTTCAGCGGAAATATAAAATTCTTCTTAATTAACAACCAAAAATTTTAATCTCCACTTATTACTTACAATACACTAAAAGTAATAAAGAAAGTGAAATTTTATTTTTTTTACAAGTCAAAAATTTTTAATGACTGTTCATATATATAAACAAGAAATAAATATTAATCAGTTATTATTGCACTAAAAATAAAAAACAATAATTAAATTTCAGAGAAATATTCGTTAATATTCTCAAATTGAGTTTTGAATGTTTTCAAATCATCATAAAAATAAGTTACAATTTTTTGGCAACACAAAACTGGCTTTTCCCGCTTTATACCCGATGACAATAGCGTAACTTTCAAACTTAGTTTCAAATAGCGCAAAAGCTTTTTCTGCGTTCAAAATTAAATACTTTTTCATTCTACCTATCAAAAACGATATCTTCGTCTGTGCAGAAAGGCGGGACTTAAATGCCTTTTTTCCTACTCTTATATACTCTTTTAACTAATCAAAATAATGAATGGGTCTTACACATAAATATAAGATACATTTTATATTTACACCAATTTTCTTAACTAGTATGCGTTTCTTGAATTATGCGCAAATCTTATAACAAAATCTGTCCATAAATATAAATATTATATAGTTTCACATTCCCTGCTCTGATAAAATTTTCCGAATTTGCCTATAAGGTACTCTAAACATCAGCATTATTTGGAGTTTTGATTGAAAAGAATTAAAAATAATGAAATTAAAATTCTTTTCAATAATTTCAATTGTTCAAAAGTTTTTGCAAATAATTTTTTTAATTTTTCGAAAATCGTAAAACGACAAAAAGATAATTAAACCCTGTAATTTTTTGACAGTAGCTCTCACAACAAATTGAACGTATACTTCTGTTCCTTTGTTTACTTTATTAGGTTTCAAATTCACTGGAACCCTCCCCAATTAAAATAGGAAATATTTTGTTAAACAGAGCCGAGACACCGAAGTGGTTAATAATAATTAATAAGGATGACCATGAGGAGCCTCAGCAGCCTGAACAACCTCACCAGCCATAGCCGATTGAGGAAGTCGATGTGGATGACAATGTAGGCGATGTTGAGAGAGGATGTTGAGGAAAATGAAAATCAACGACTAAAATTAAATTCTAAAAAAAAAGGTTAATATTAATTTATATTATATTTATTATTATATAAAAAATTAATATTAAATTATTATTTGTTTTTTTTTTTTTTTTTTTTTATTTATTTAGGTCCCACTATATCAAAAATTCATCAAAGATTATGGCGATGAAGAAGATTAAAAATTTTTAAATTTAATAACGGGAAGATTTTTATTATAAAAAATTATTTTACTTATTTATTTAAAATTTAATATCTAATAAATATTTAAAAATAACAGTTGTCAGTTTGTCAGCTAACTTCAGCTGAACAAAAACAGTATACCAGTTTTCACTAATATGTATACTTCTTTTCCTTTGTTTATTTTATTAGGTTCAAAATTCACCCGCCGAACCGTCACCGGTTAAAATAAAAAATATTTTACTGAACAGAGCCATGAACCCGAAATGGTTGATCATAATTAATAAGGATGACCATGAGGAGCCTCAGCATCCTCAAGAAACTCAAGCAATCTAGATAGCCAATAGTGGTATCAACCAATTGAATTACCCTGATATTCAAAATAAGTTTCGTGGCTTTTTTTTGGTTTTGAAAAGGAGTTTTATGTTAATTAATTATTAAATTTGAGTATTTGACACAATGGAAAAATATAAAATAATTAAAAAAACCAAAGCTCAAGTGTCTAACTAGAAGGAAGTACAAAGTGCAAGGATCCATTATCTAGTGTATACAAAAAAAATGGAAAACAATAAAGAAAAGGTAAATGTTTATTCAATAAAAAAATATGATTTTTTTTTTTTTTTTTTTTTATATTAAAATATAAATTATCTTAATAAATTTTTTTAATTTTTATAAACAATTATTTACATATAGAGATTTATACAAATATTGATATTTATACAAATATAATAAAATAAAACAAACATTTGTATAGATAGTAAATAAGGTAGTACATATTATTTTTTTTTAAATTAATTTAAATTGTGGATTGGGTGCAACAACACAGCAATAATCCAACCAGCGCGCATAACTGCAAACCGCTTAACCTTGATTATTTAAAAGTGTTGTTTTGTAGTAGATGAATATAACCTTTATTTTGTACTATTTATTTTTTCATTATTACTTTGGTCGATGGTTAATAATAAGAAAAGAATAATAATAATTAAAATTCAAGGTAGTAACTAAGGAATTGATTTACATAATATATGTCATGGAAAATTTTAAATAATAATTTAAAAAATATTGAATATTAGGGTAGTAAGTGATTTCGGTGATTTCATGTGTGATATGAGTTTGCGTGGTAATTATAAATAGAGTATATTTATAATAAATTGGTATAACAGTCTTCGTACAAGTCTCAATACTTTTAACAATTTCTTATCAATACATCTATGTTTAAATAATTTTTTTTTTGTTAATATCTTATTTGAATTAATTTTTTTAGTGACATAATTGTTATTGAAAATTTATTGTGAAAATGATTTTATAAATACATGCGATGGGTGTGGATTGTTTTCATCATCTATAGAGTAATTAAAAATAAAAAAAAAAATTGTAAGTATTTTTTTTTTTAATTTTTTATTAATTTTAAATTATTTATAACTAAAATAATAAATTTAAAAAATTTGAGGTTATGTTCAATGTAAACATAAAAATATATGAAATTAGCAGACACCTGAATGTCTCAATGATTTTTATAAATAATAAATTAGATCTAGAAAATTATTTTTAAAAAGTTGTGTTTATAATTTTTTTTAAATAAATTTGTTAAAAAATTTCTAAAAATTATCAGCTGTTTCTCAATTTCAATATCGTTAAAAATATACTTACAAATTTACATATATTTTAGGTATACATAGGTATAAATATAAGCTGAAAAATGCCTCTAGGAGTTGCCAAACCGCTTTGTATAAAGTGCGGGGGCCAAGAATCTCCTCTTTGGCACTCGACGGAGCTAGGGAGTCTTTGTAACAAATGTCTGGAGGACGAGAGAAACGCTTCGAACTCTGGGAAAAATGACGAGGAGGAGTCGGGGTCCAAGCCTTCTCGCAAAAGCACCAGGATCACCAGGTGGTGCAAGCCTGAGAAGAAAAATGAATCTTCACTGCCTCCAACTATCAAGACTGTCCCTAAAGGCAAAGGTCGAAGACATATTTTTAAAAAAACAGTAAGTAATTTTAATTAATGAAAAAAAATTTTTTTATTAATTAAATTAGAATTAAATTAAAAAAGTATTTTTTTTTAATGGCACTTAAGGTAAAAGACCCAGTTATTGACACTTGCAATTTTATTTTAATTAAATAAACTTTAATAAATTAATAAATGTAATTTTTGAATTGTAAATTTTAAGATAATTGATTTTTTGAGAACATTTTATTTGATTAATTAGAATAAAATTGCAAGTGTCAATAACTAGGCCAATAACTGCTGGGTCTTTTACCTTATAATTTTTATTTTTTTTATTGATTAATTATCAGTGAATGTTTTTTGATAATTAAAAATTTTTTTTCAGCCAACAAAAGCACCGTCTTCAGTTGCCACACCAGTCACAAGTAATTTTGTATTTTACAAAGGATCTTATTTTCAAGTAGGTGATGTTGTCTCTGTCCAGGATATTGATGACAATGGAATTTATTATGCTCAGATAAGGGGATTCCTTACTGATCAGTACTGTGAAAAGAGTGCTGCTCTTACTTGGCTTCTTCCTACGGTTACTAGGTATTAATTTTTAATTTAATATGATTTTTTATTAATCTAGTTTTTTACTAATTATTATTTTTAAAAAATTTTTATTTAATGTCATTGAATTTTATCAGAGTTTTAGATTGGTGTTTTTTTTATTATGCCAAGGCACAAGCCAAATTTTAAGTACATAATACAAATGTACATTTTTTAAAATTAAATACTTAGTAAAAAATGAGAATACATAATAACGAACATAATTTTAAAGTTTAGAAAAAAATATAAAATATAAAATAGATTCAACTCAACACTCCTATCACTATACAAGAGATCTCACTACTTATTTACTCACTTAGTAACAATTTTTCAATTAATTAGTGATATTATAATTAACAAAAAACTCCTTTATGATGGAAGAAAAAAAAATAATAATAATAAATAAAATAAGAAGATATGATAATATGGCTTGTTAAATTAATAATCTTAATGATCTAAAGCTGAGTACCATCAGACAATTTATATTAATAGTCCAAGTTTAATAATTTCGATTGATTTTTTATAAAAAATAAAAAAAAAAAAAAAAAAACATAATTTTAAAGTTTAGAAAAAAATATAAAATATAAAATAGATTCAACTCAACACTCCTATCACTATACAAGAGATCTCACTACTTATTTACTCACTTAGTAACAATTTTTCAATTAATTAGTGATATTATAATTAACAAAAAACTCCTTTATGATGGAAGAAAAAAAAATAATAATAATAAATAAAATAAGAAGATATGATAATATGGCTTGTTAAATTAATAATCTTAATGATCTAAAGCTGAGTACCATCAGACAATTTATATTAATAGTCCAAGTTTAATAATTTCGATTGATTTTTTATAAAAAATAAAAAAAAAAAAAAATTAGGTAGGAAATTTATTTAATTAAATTTTTTGGCTTTAAAAAAAATATTGTTAAAAATTTCCATAATTTTTTTTAAAAGTCTGCAAGTAAAATTTTCTATAAAATTATTTTTAAAATAATTGTATTGATTATTATAATTATTAAAAATTATATAAATGTCTCATTATTCAAAAAACAATCAATAATTATTTAAAAATAATTAAATTTTAATTAGCCCGCCTCCAGAAGAAGGATTCAGCCCAGAAACCTACATAATGGGTCCTGAGGAAGACTTACCCCGAAAATTGGAGTGTATGGAGTTTGTAATGCACGCACCGTCTGATTACTACAAGCTAAAAAATACTCCATACCCTCCAGCTTTAACTGAAAGCGCTACAGGAGGTTACATATGGACGTCTCTCGGAAATGAAGCTACAACTTTTTACAAAAAGTAATAGATATTATTTGTGTAAATACATATTTATATAATCTAATAAATAACTTATTTTAAAATACAGGATTATTTATATAAATTTATACCAGGATTATAAAACATTCTTAGAATTTTTATTTATCTAAAAATAAATGCATACAATATTTATATTTTTATCAGAACCTGTCAGAATTTAAGATCTTTAATAGCTTGTGGTAGGTCGGGAAGCTTCATATCTTTTATTTGCTGAGGGATGTTCATATTTTTAACCGCTGAGACTGCTCTTGCTGGAGCTGCTGTTATTCCGGCCTGCAAAATAATTTTATTAGAATATTAAATGACATTCAAGTATATTAAAAATAATTAATTAAATTACCTCTTGCTTCTCTAATTTATTCTGGTCCTCTATCCGCGTGAGAATCTCCGTCATGTTAGTCTCCAGGACCATACCGCCCATCACCAGCTCATTGAGGATATAATGGACTTTATCTACGTGGAATATCAGGTCTAGCTCGCAGACATTTTCAAAACACTTGTCCAGTGTTTCGACAAACACCTGAATTAGGTCAAGTATCCCTAACTCAGACTCCGAGCTGTCGACGCAGAACACAAAGTAGAGCGTTGCATAATGCCTGTAAATTAATTTGTAATCCGACCCACCGATTAAACTTCCTCCTTCTAAAAAATTACATACGTTGTCGTCTCTTTTTGATACTAGTTGAAATGTTTCTTTTATTATTTGTTGCTGCATATCTTCATTCTGTTAAAAAATTATTTAGTAAATTTTTTATTAGTTAATTTTAAAGACACTGACATTAAAAAATTTTTTTATAATTTTTTATGAAAATTAAGTTAGCCGACAATTAAAAATTTTTAGAATTTTTTTTTTTTTTATTAAAAAAATTATTGTAAAATAATAAAAAAAAATTTTCATTTGTAAAAAATTTGAAAAACTCTCAGTGCAATTTTTAAAAAATATTTTTTAGTTATAATTTAATAATTAAAAATTTAAAAACGTCGGCTAACTTTAGTGTTATTAATTTTTTATCAGATATTTGATAATTTTAAGGATTATTTTAACAAATCAATTATGGCAAAAAAAGTAGACAAAAAATTGACATGTAGACATTTAAAAAAATAAAAATTGCAATTTTTTTTAAATAATTTTTTGGAAAAAATCTATTTGTTAAAAAAAAACTAAGAAATGATCAAGTGACTGCTAATTTTAATGTCATTTTTTTATCAATAAAATTATTATAAAAACAAAAATCTAATATTATTAATAGAAATTTTTTTAAACACTCTTTTTATTGTGATTGATTAATTATATAAATTAAAAAAATTAACAGCTGTTAGTTAACTTTAATATCATTTAATTTTACAAAACTAAAATCAGCTGATATCTGACAATTTTTTATTTTTAATTTAAAAAATAAATTAAGACATAAAAAAATTCTTTTCTTTATAATTTATTAATTTAAAAATTTTTAAAAAAATTTGTAAATGTCAATTGACTCCAAAACTGTCAAAAAAAATCAACAATTAAATTTCAAAAATAATAACAAATATAAAACTTACAAAATAATGATAAAATTTAGACAATCTTGGTTTTCCATGGTTGTTAAATACCAAAATAGCTTTGATCATTTTTCTTCCCTAAACTGGATTAAATAATAATAATTAATTACATTATAAAATTGTAACAGGTTAAATTTTATTTTCACTCTGAATCTAAATTTACACAAAAAACTTAATTAAACACAAGTAAAAAAAAAGCTAAACAAAAAAAGATAAATAAATACTCACTAATTAATTTATAATGTGATTAAAAACCCATGATAAAAATGTATTTACTCCGGATAAATAATAATTCGCTCATAACTATAGCAAACACATAAACACATCTTGTACTTGACAACAAAGATGGCGTCATTTTTTATTGGAGCATTGTTCGGTGAAAGTGAGACTTAATAAAATTAATATTATTATTATTTAATTATTTTATCCTTGATTTTTTTCTGTCAGAAAAATTTTACACTTCCTAAAAATAATTAAGGAAATTTTATTATTGACAAGTTGAGTGTTAAATTATAAAAAAATAACACAACAATGTAAGTTTTATTTTGAAAACTCTCCTTTATAAATTTTTATATTTATTTTTTATCCGAGCAAAATTACACAAAATAAATTTATATCTATAGCAGCTCGTAAGATTTTAGGTTGTGTAAATATTTAAACAAATTTCCTGTCAATTGGCGCTGTCAATTTTTTAATTTATTATCACTATAAATATTTCTGAATCTAAAGTGGAAATATATGTATCGCAAGTGTTCATTTTATGGAGCGGGTTAAATTTACAAATAAATGGATTATCGAGCTGTTTACTAGTGAGTATTATTTCTGACTTAAATATTATTAATTATTGAATTCAAATATTTTTATTAAGAGTTTATTATTACAGTGGGATTGATATTTAACAACAGCAAGTAAATGGGGGCCATTATCGGAGCTGAGACAACCTTGCAAAGGTATTTGACATTTAGTAAATAAATAAAATAAATAAAATGTAACAATGGGACTTTAAATTCTATAATTTAAATTTAAGTGTGATTTTTTTTTTTTTTTATTTAGTTAAATAAATTACAGTGAGTAATTAATTAGGTATATTATTATAAGAAAATTATAATGTTTGTTTATTTATTTATCAATTATGTCTGATAAAAACAGTGCAGTAGCTTGAGCAGTAATAAAAGCTTTATCTCACTGAAGTTATGTCAATAAATTTAAAGAGAAAAAATGAAGATTAGGGATTAGTTTCAAGAAATAATTACTTTGTTGATATGAAATGATTATTTATTGATTTTATAATACCAAAATGAACAAATTTTAATTTATAAAAAAATTAGTTTAAATTTTTACCAGTAAAAATTATTTTTCGATTTTTTAAAACAATTAGTTATTTAATAAAATAAAAATTTTAAATTTCAGTACTATAATTAGAATAAACTAGAAACCTTGCAGTCACTACGTGACTGCTATGACTTGTGGACTATAAATAAATAAAATTTTGGTTTATTAAATAATGACTTTTGTTAAATTGCACTGTACTTTCTTAAATATTGACATTTTTCAAGATATAAGCTCATCCCGACATTATACTCATCAAGACCTTTCATTTGAGTACCCACATCAATTTTTTCATATATTTTTCATGTATACATATATATAATATATATAAATATATAAAATATATGAAAAATTGATGTGGGTACTCAAATGAAAGCTCTCGATGAGTGTAACATCGGGATGAGCTTATATCTTTAAAAATGTCAATATTCCACAAGATACAAGGTCATTTCTTAATTATGTATAATAATAACAATAATATAAGTTTTAAAAAATATTAACACCCTATAAATAAAAGCAGATGGACAAAATGCGATTGGTGGTGCCTTCGCAGCAGGTGTACATAACTACTAACCCGACAACTAACAATGTCCGAGGAAGAATGTCCTTCATACGTCGTCTAGGAGTGGGCTGCATCATCCTGGCTGCTCTGGGGCTGCTTTACGTTCCCGCTTACCACTCGGCGCAAGGTCCGCTCTTTGGAATTGGAATAGGTGAGGTTTCACCCCCTGCTGAAACATTAGGGGCAGGTTCGAACTACCTAGACACTTCTGTAGGTATGCATTAATAAAGCTAACTAATCTACTCCATGTGCATTGTCGTCAGTCACCACCAGTAGCTTTAATTTAATTTAATTTTATTTAATTAAATTAACAAGATTCAGCACTTGCTTTTCCTCCAAGCTCTGGCTCAGTAATTAGTATTAAAGCCTTCACCTCATCAATTTAATCTGCTAATAGAAATTTTATTATTAATTTATTAATATTAATTAAATAATAATAATAATAATAATAATTATAATAAAAAAATTTTTTGTTAAAGAAATTTTTATTTAAAATTAATTTATTTTTTATTATAATTATGATTAATAATAATTAGATTATTATTATTATTATTATTGTACAAGCATGCCAGAAGTATAGTAGATTTGAAACTATATTTCTTTTCTTATATTAATTACTGTAATAAAATTAATCATTAAAATCATTTCAGCTCAAATATCCGGCTGGACATTTAATACCTCTAGGAATGTTAATTTGTATATAAATCCGGAGAACAATACAACGATAACCAGCCCCGAGTTATCGTGCGCGACCTCGCCGCCTTATCTTTTGATAATCGTTTGCTCGGCGGTAGGCAACCAGAAGGCGAGAGTCGCGATTAGAAACACCTGGGGCAGCGAGCAAAATTTGTATTACCTGGCGACTTCTTCTACAGTCAATACTACGGTCAAGATTGTCTTTCTCTTAGGAGAAAGCACCAATGACACCCTCAATGCCGCCATCCTGGATGAAAATTATGAGTACGGAGATATTATTCAGGAAAAGTTTATCGATACTTATAACAACTTGACTGTCAAGTCTGTAATGATGCTTAAATTGGTCACTACTATGTGTCCGCAAGCGACTTTTCTCATGAAGACAGACGATGACATGTATGTCAATGTCCCTGCGCTGGTTAAAGTCATCAGGTCGAGGCCAAATAGCGCAGGGACACTTATGGGGTCACTTATTTGTAATGCCCGTCCAATATCTGACCCGAAAAATAAGTGGTAGGTTTTTTATTATAAATTTTTAGTATTTTTTTTTTTATTTAATAAATTTTTTGTTTTTAATTTTTATTAAAGTTAAATTTAAAATTTACTTTATTAAAATTTTTAATTAAAATTCAAAGCTATATTTTTAATTAAGTAAAAATTAAAAAATTTATTTTATTCAACTTTAAAATCAAAATTCTGGGTTAAATATTGAAGATATAAAAAAATTGTATAAGGTTATTATTTAAGGAAATTTTATTTTTTTATAAAAAAAATCCTTATAAATTTTTCTGGCTTTAAATAAATGAATTTTTATTTAAAATTCTAAGTAAGTAGATAAAATAAATGAATAATAAATAATTAAAATTTTCAGGTACACTCCCAAGTACATGTACGCAGAGAAAACATATCCAAATTATTTATCAGGTACTGGTTACGTGATGAGCTTAGACGTAGCATTAAAATTATACAAAGCGGCGTTGAAGACGCCTTTGTTACATTTAGAGGACGTTTATTTAACAGGTTTATGCGCTAAAAAAGCAAAACTTCGTCCAGTAAATCACCCGGGTTTTAGTTACATCCCGCGTAAGTTAGACTATTGCGTACTTAAAAGTGCAATTACTGCGCACAAAGTTGATTCTTCCAATATGTATGAGATATGGAACAAATTACAAAACACAAATGTATCCTGCTCTAATGCAGCTAACAGTGATAATACTTCTAAGAGTGTAGCTTTATTAAATAGGCATGGCAGGCATGTCAATTATTACTTCACGAAGAAGCGCGTAAACAATCGGTGCAGCTGAAAAACCAAATTTATTGTTTTTTAATGTTAATGTAAATAATTTTAAACCCGGCAACTATTAAACTCGGTACAAATACTTATCAAATTATTTGAATTTTAGCGTGCCAATATGAACAAAAAAAAAAAAAAAAAAACATTTAAATTAAATTATATGATCAAACTATTTTTGTGAACTCAGTATAGATATTAAAAATTATTATAACCATAATTTCAAAGTACAATAGAGTGTTTAAACAATTAGAAGTAAGTAATTTTTAAATTGATAGTTAATTACGCTTCCATCCATTGCTGTTTGTATTTCATTTTTTTAATTATTAATTACCAATTTAAAAAAATTATAAATATAATAAAATTCTTGTACAATATTTGTTGGTAAATAAATATGCTTTATTTATATTGAAAAAATGCTGAAAATTTATTTATAAAAATTTTTCTATTAAATAAATTACCAGTACAAAAATAACAATAATTTATTTTTTAGTTTTCTTTTTATCAATTTTAACTTTAACCAAACTCTCAGATACATTATTAACAATTTCATCAAAGTTTGTTAAATTCTTAGAGACCAATTCCAGCTTAGCTTTCTCTTTTTTCTTATGTTTCTTTTTTTTCTTCTTTTCAATTTTATGATTCAGAAATTCACAGTCAATAATTTCCTTTTTCTCTTTCTTCTTCTTCTTTTTCCTTTTGAAACCAACATCAGCATCTTTCTCAGAACATTGAGGCTCCACATGTATTTTATTTTTATTTTTTTTACCATTATCATTTGTCTCTTCAAGACAAAGTGAGCTGGATAATTTATGGCTCAAATCTTCTAGTTTGCGCTTTAATTTTCTGCTACTTTTCTTCGACACAGATTTGTACTGATCATCTTCATCGTTCAATTTATTGTCTAATGCATCATCAACAAGCTCTGGAGGTTTTTCCTTAACAACAAGACCATTAGCAGTACAGCCAATATGTGCTCTCTTCTTGCCACTTTTAACTTCCGCAAGATTGGCAAAATACAGCTCCTGCTGTTGAATCCTGGCCAACTTTCCACTGAGCTTGAGACCATGCCGAGCACCCTTGTGTGCAGTCCTGCCGCCACACGCCTTGAATAATTTATCATCGTCGACAATAAAGTCCTTGAACATCACCGGATCATCTTTCTTGGCACTCAGCTTTTTTTGGGAAGCACTCTGGACTTCTTTGGACCCTTCTAACGTAGAAGTTTTTACAAAATTTCCGTATACTAAGCCGTCCTTAGATTTTTTGGAATTTCCTATGTTTATATTAAGCTTTGCAGCAGCTATTTCAACCGCGTTGCTCTTAGTTACTTTAAAGACTGGCTTGTTTTCTGATGAACTGTCAACGTTGATGTTATTCAATGCTTGGTTGTAAACTGAATTCCACCATTGGTTCCCAGACGTGTCTCTATGGCCTATTCCACTGGTGTCGAATTTTAATTTTGGTCGCAGGGCTTCTGTCATTCCATCTTCATTTTTTCCTAAACCTTTACCTGGTAAAAAAAATATTTATTTATTTTTAATAAAATTAAATATACTGGTTAGCTGACAATTGTCAATTTTTTAAATTCTTACAACACTAAAAGTGCTTCTAAAAATTTTCACTCATAATTTTCTTTAATCTTAACATGTGGAAATTTTTTATTAAATTTATTTCATAACTATTTAATTGTTATAAGATTCTAAAAAAATTTCTAATGTCTGTCGACTATGAAAATTAAGTTAGCTGTTATTTAAAAATTTTTAAAACTTTTTTTTTATTAAAAAAATTATTGCAAAATAATAAAAAAAAATTTTCATTTTTAAAAAATATTTTTTAGTTTTAATTTAATAACTACAACAAATCAAAAAATTAAAAACGTTGGCTAATTTAAGTGTTATTGAAATTTAATGAGACGTCTAATAATTTATTTTAATTTATTTAATAAATTATTTACAAAAAAAAATTGATTTTAAAATGCAATTTTAAAAATGTTTTTCTAGAATCTTCTTAAAAAAAAAAAAAAAAAAAAAAAAAAAAAAACGAAATTTCAGTGTCATAAAAATAAATTATTCATTAACAATTCAGTATTTAATTTATAAAAAATTAGTAAATAAAATAACCTTAAAATATGTTTTGATAAATTAAATAAATAAAATAATTACCTGCAACCCAACCAAACTTCTCAAGCTGCGATTTAGCAAAATCACTCATAGTTTTTATATTTTTATCAAACAATCTGCATCATTTAAATTCTAAATTATCACCTTTAATTATTTATAAAAAATCCTAATTAATCACATAAAAATTAGCAGACTAAATAAACCAACGTGGTGCATTCTTAATTTTGGAGTGATTTATAGGTTATGTATTTTGTTTACAATCTTGTTGACCACCTCCACATTACCACACTTATATTAAACATTTTTATAACCTTCATAACTTTATCAAGAATATAAAAAATTAATTTTTTAATTAATTTTCAATAAAAATAATTGCAAATAATTGACAGACAAAAAAACAGTAGTGAAATTAGTTCAGAAATTAAAAAAATTTTAAATTCTCCCGCAGTAGCGCCACCTGCTGTCACATGACAAATACACACATTTAAAAATTGACACACATACTGACATATTTATTAGTCATCTGCACAGTAGATGAGGATCATTCGATAGTGTAAAAGTGTATGTAGTTTATAAAGTGTTTAAAGTGTATTAAGTGTATTACTCACCCTCGTTGCTCTGAGAGTGCGTAGTTAAAAATAATAATAACAATTAAATTACATCGAGCAGTAACCCTAACCCTGTGTGTGGCAAATTGCCAATAAATAATTAAATAATTTAACATTACATTGCCAATATGTAATTATAAGATAATATATGTGTTTATATATTAAGTATATAAAATATCACACACACACAGATGTACATTAAGAGTACGCAGTCGTCCAAATATTACTAGTAAGTTGGCATGTTTATGTAAAGCATTAAATAAATTTAAATGTGTGAGTGTCATGTAGGAAGAAGGACATACATACTTATAGGTGTGTACTCCAATTGATTGGCACTAAGGATTCAATATTAAATATATGTTATGTATTATATTGACTCACTGGTGTAAATGAGTATAAATACTATGCATAATTTATTAGTAATTGATTAAATTTAAGTGACCGATTAATTTTTTTTTTTTCTAGAAATAAAAAATTATTCTATTCCATGTGATGTCAGCCAGAAATTCGCGTTAGTGAAATTTTATTGATATGCGACTCGCCGATAAGACGTGACCGATATGAAAGTGATTTCAAAAGGATGATAATTGATAATTATCATAATTGATGGAGTAATAATAATGATAAAAAGGTGGAAGTTAATTTTGTGGAAGTAGAAGAGTCGTTTTGTGTGTCCGTATCACCCAGCATTACTTGAAGAGAAATCGTTACTACAACGTCGTGCTTTTATTACTGTGGTTAATGATATACACCCGCTACCGCTGACTTTTTAGTGATTGATAATTGTTTATTATACTGGATTATATTTGGTGAAAAATGTCAACGGCATTGCTGGCTGTCATTGCCGTTATTCTGTGTATTCTTTTCAGAATTTTAAATGTCAACAGTGCTCCTAAGAAACCGGTACTTGTTTGCCAAGACACTGTTTTTCTGTCGACTATCTTGAAAATTGCTCCAGTTATTGGTGAACCGTAAGTTCATGTGTCAATGATATTTTTTGTTTTTTTTTTTTATTAAAATTTATCAAAAGACAACTGATAATTTTTCGAATTATTAAATTTTTTTTTATGTCAAAATAAAAAAAAAAAAAGAAATTTTTTTAAATAAAATAAATTTAGCAGATATTTAATAATTCTTTCAATAAATAAAATAAATAAATAAAATTTTGCTTTATTATATGACTTTTGTTAAATTGCACTGTATTTTCTGAACTATTGACATTTTTAAAGATATAAGCTCATCCCGGTGTTACACTTATCGAGAGCTTTCATTTGAGTACCCACATGCATTTTCATATATTTTTCATATATACATATATATAAATATATAAAATATATGAAAAATTGATGTGGATACTCAAATGAAAGGTCTCAATGAGTGTAACATCAAGATGAGCTTATTATATCTTCAAAAATGTCAATATTTCACAAAATACAAGTTAATTTCTTAATTAAGTATCTAGAGATAGAGAATTTTCAAATGTAGCTTAAATCTTTAAAAATATTTTCAATAATAAAAATTAATTAATTAGATATTTAATAATTTCTTTAATAAATAAATTATAGCAAAAAAATTGACATAGAAATTAAAAAAAAATTTTTATATAATCAAATTACTGCTAATTTCAATATAATTTTTTTAAATAATAATTTATTTTAATTTTTCTTAATGATTCATAAATAAAATTATCTGTCTGCTGATTTCAATATCAAGTACTTTGACTTAAAAAGCCGATGTTATTATTCTAAAAAAAAATTTAATAACAATTTTTGTATTAAAAATAAAAGATACAAGCCAACAAGATTGTGGGGATTCAGCGGTCATGTGCAGACAATTGTCCATAGCATAATCGGGCGTGTGAGATGTCCATGGCCTATTGGAGAACGCGTTTACATAATTCTTGTTGACGGTACTACTTTGACTTATGATTTATATCAGCCGCTGAGTAACGGTCACGAAGGTCAGTAATTTATCAATAAAATATTTTTTTAAATTAATATGAATAACTTTAACTTCTATTAAACAATTGATTGCAGATGACATCACAGTGGCGATCGCCCCAGGAATCGGCAACAGCTCCGAGAGTGTTTATATCAGGACATTTGTACACTTTGCACAGTGTCATGGCTACAGATGCGCGGTACTCAATCATGTTGGAGCGCTTTCCAGTGTCAAGGTCACTGCTCCAAGGATATTTTCTTATGGTAATTAATATTAATAAAATAAAAGAATTTTATTAATATTCTCTGGAGAAAAATTATAAATATAAATATTTTATATTACACAGGACACACTGACGACTACCATGTAATGCTGTCGAGTCTTCTTGATAAGCATCCCAGTACAAAAATAGTCTGCGTTGGATTTAGTTTAGGTGGGAATCTTGTTACCAAGTACATGGGTGAAAGAGCGATGACTAAATCTCCTCAAATTATTGGTGGAATTTCAATTTGTCAAGGTTATAATGCTATCGAGTGAGTTTATATTTATATTTTATTATTTATAAATAATTACTTTTGTTAAATTGCATTGTACTCTCTTAAATATTGACTTTTTTAAAGATATAAGCTCATCCCGATGTTCTACTCATCAAGAGCTTTCATTTGAGTACCCACATCAATTTTTGATATATTTTTCATATATACATATATATGATATATATATATATATAAATATATAAAATATATGAAAAATTGATGTAGGTACTCAAATGAAAGGTCTCGATGAGAGTAACATCGGGATGAGCTTATATCTTTAAAAATGTCAATAGTTCACAATATACAAGGTCATTTCTTAATTATGTAGCAGACATTCAAAAATTCTTTAAATTTTTATAAAAAAATATTTTTTTAAATTTGTATTTGTAATTTTTTAAAATTTCTCTGTGGAATTTTATTTAATTGTAATAAAAATCGAAAAAATTATTAAATGTCTGTTGAATTAATTTAAAATTGTGAGTACAATGATTAATGAAATTATTCTTTTTACTCAGAGGTACTAAATATTTACTCAACTGGCAGAATTTTCGTCGATTCTACCTTTACATTATGACTGAGTCAGTTAAAAATATTATTCTCAAACACAAAAAAGTTTTACTGTCAGAGGAAGTTAAACAGCGACATAATTTAAATGAGAGAGAAATTATATCTGCTGCCACACTACCTGAACTTGATGAAGCCTATACAAGACGAGTTAGTAATAAATTTATTATTAATTAATTCGTATTATAATTTTTTTGATTTTTTGGATCCTTATAAACTTTAAATATTTAAAGAAAAATTTTTTTATAACATTTAAAAATTAATGACACTGAAATTAGACACTATTCAATTTTTTTTCATCAAAAATAAACTAAAAAATTGCATTCATAATTTTTTAAATAAATAAATAAATTTTTTAAAATAAATTCTTCCTGCTCTAATTTATTTTTTAAAAAAATTCTAAAAATCATAAGAAGTCTCTCAAATTCAATATCATAAAAATTGATAGCTTCTTTCTAAAAAAAAAAAAATTAATAATTATTATTTCAGATCCATAATTTTAGATCCGTAACAGAATTATATAAATGGAGTAGTAGTATTAATTATTTCAACGACATATCTACACCAATGGTATTTATAAATGCTTTAGACGACCCAATAGTTCCTGAAATGTTGCTTGTACCAATAAAACAATACTCCGGTAAATAAAATTCCTCGTAAAAAATTTTTTTTTCTCTACTTATAAATTTACTGAGTTTAAAGGCAATTAATTTTTTTTACCGTTTCAGCAATTAAAAACAATACTTTGTACATAGAAGTAGCTCACGGAGGACATCTCGGATTTTACGAAGGAGGACTTTTGTATCCAAATCCAATTACTTGGCTCGACCGTACTCTAGTTTCACTCGTCGGATCGCTGACGCTTGTCCACGCTGACCGGGTAAAAGTATCCTAAGTATACTAAGTAAAGCGTACAATAACAATTTTATAAATTATTATTCACCGCGTGTTTAAATTTAATTATTTGTTGTTTTAAAAAATCATTTTATAATTTAAAAAAAAAAAAAACTGCACACTAATAATAAAAATTACCGACCTGCATTTACGTTTAGTATTTTATGTAAATGGCACAAGTATGAAAACATATCCGTCAATTATTATTTTAAAGCATTTAATGCTGCCGTGCTAATAAAATGTACGTACTGGATATTAATTATTTAATTATATATATATATATTGGCTTACTGTAATTATTATTACTTTAAAGTATTTAATTTGTTGCCTAAAAAAGTACTTAGATTTAAAAGTATAAACGTTTTAATTAATTTTATTAATGTAAGATTTAAATGCCCTATTATATATAAATGTATTATTAAATAATGCGTACAGCATTTTATGCATAATTTTATGTAAAATACAAAAGCTGAATTTATAAATAATGAGTGTATTAGTAGACAATAAAAATATCTCTGATACGTTTAAATTTATTGTAAATAGTAATTAAAAAGTTTATTGTACAGTAACGGTGAAACTTTTATATTTATATTTATATTTATATTTATAAATAATTATTTAATATAAAGTTTGGTTACTTTTACAATTTAGACTTTTTTTCCATCCTTTAATTTATTGAAATTAATTTAGCAGGTATTTTTGAACCTAAATAAATATTATTTTATTAAAAAATTCTTTGATAGTTTTAAACAATTTAGACTTTTTTCATACTTTAATTTATCAAAATTAATTTAGCAGATATTTTTTTTATTTTGTAACAAATTATGAAAAAAAAATTGTAAATTCAATTTATTTAAAACAATTTTTTTGTTAAAAACAAATTAAAAAATGGGACTGCTAATTTTAATTTAATATTTATTAAATGTACAAAATAAATATTATTTTATTAAAAAAGTCTTTGTTACTTTTAAACTCTGACTTGAAATATATTTTTGATATTTATGAGTTAATTTTTTTTTATCAACTAACTGACTATTATTATTATCTTCTAATTTTCCTACTAAGGGACCTTCAAATGCATAGTACAATTTCGGTACATTAGAATATTTAATTTGTTTAACTTTTGAATTATTTTCAAAATTTCTCCTCTGTAATTCATTTTTTCTTACTAAAGACTCTGTAATAGATTTAATTCTCGGTTCTGTTGAATAATTTCTAACATTACTTCTTTGTAATTCATTTTTTCTCACTAAAGACTCTGTAATAGATTTAATTCTCGGTTCTGTTGAGTCTAAAGCAGTTACTTTAGTTGTAAACAAAATGGCGGGTACTGTTGTTGAAGAAAATGGCGTACTAGGTACTGAAGATGTCAAAATTTGGTAACTCTTATTATTACCACTAAAATTATCGATAAAATTACTTGTTTTGTTTTTTTTAAACGGATAAATTGAAGAAATATTAATTATAATTGTCGTAGAAGATATTTCCGAAGAATTAAAGCTATTTTTATATTGACAAACAACATGGCGGCGTTTGCCGCAAGAAGATTTCAAAACAGCGACTTTATCAAGATGACAGTCTAAAAACAAACATAATTTATTACCTTCGACTTTATTTACTTCTTCTGTAGATAATTCTTCATAGCCACCGATCCAGACACTCTCAATGGCTGTAAAAAATTTACAAGCGTCAATATTAATACTTTAACACAAAAAGTTAAAGAAATACTCACTAGGTCGGTGCTTGAGCATCGCTCGAGCTAGAAATTTAGCTTCAATAGAATTAACGTCGGCTATTTGAGAATTTCTATCCTCGCAATCTAGGACAGCTTCAAGCCAACTTTTCTTCACAGAATACATTTTGTATAATTTATTATTTACTTCAATAGAAATTACTTGGGATTTTTTTGGAGCTCTTCTGCAGTGTACTGACAGGTAAGACATTAAAATTATTGCCGTGCAAATTTTACAATTACTTAAATTCATTTTTTTCTATTTATTATTATTATTATTATTAATAATTTATCATCAATTGCAATGACTGTTAAATTACTTTCAATAGCTTGTATGTGTGATTTACGATGCTGATAAGCAGAAAATGCCAAGTAGATCTCGAATGAGATTTAAAATCTGACAGTTAGGTAGTGCGCATGCGCAAAAGTAAAAATGCGCGCGCAAATTTGAATTTAATTAATTTTGACGGCTGATTTTTTTTTAATTTTTATTACAAATTAATTAATTAATTACAAATAAATTAATTTATTGAAAATTAATTAAGTAATTACAAAAAAATCAATTAATTATAAACAAATTAATTTTTTTAATTAAATTTTAAAAAAAATTTAATTGCTCAAAATTTTGTTGAAATTTATTTATTTAATAAATTTAAAAAAAAAAATAATAAGGTAAAAACAATTATTAAATAATAATAATACTCATAATTTTAGAATTGATTATTTTTTTATTAATATAAACTTAAAAAATTATTTACGATCGTAATCGATTTTCGGTAATCTTACAAATGAAAATATTCTACATCAATCCATGATCAGCTTAATAAAAATCAAGTAAGATAAAAATACAATAAATGTATTTACACAGGAAGTTAAATGATAAAGTATCATTTATTCATTAATATTCGAGTAATTAATTTATTAAATATGAACGAAATAATTATTAAAGTTACAAATAACCGCTGGACTCATATGATTACCGGGACATATTTACAAAATAAAGTGGCCTGTGTATAAAATCGAATTAATAAATGTAAAAAATTAATTTACCTATTGAAAATTAAATAATTGATAAATTAAACTAAAGTTCTTAGTCTTATATTCTTAATTATGATCAGCGTAAAGAGTCATTGGCCACGAAAACCTTTTTTTTTATTTAAAGTAAAGCTGACATTACTTATTTTATTACAGTACACATATTTGATTATAACAATTGATTCTGTGTACTGCAACTGGAATTATCGTGGCAGCAAAGTCAATTGCTGATTTAATAATCTTAGAGAGATCTTATAAATAAATATAAATGACTTAATTATGAGAAGGGTTAATTTATTAGTTTAATTTAATTAATCCGCCTGATTTCGTCATCATCATGGATTATTTGGCTCCTTTTTAGTTTCATCACTTAATACACTAATTTTTTCTTCTTTTTCATCTGTAATTAAAAATAATAAATTATAATAAAATTACCCGACAACTATCAATTTTTTTTAAATTTTATAACAAATAAATTATGTGACTTGTAAACTATAAATGAAATTTTGCTTTATTAAATAATGATTTTTGTTAAAATGCACTGTCCTTTCTTAAATATTGACATTTTTAAAGATATAAGCTCTTCCCGATGTTACACTCATCAAGAGCTTTTATTTGAGTACCTACATCAATTTTCATATATTTATATATATTATATATATGTATATATAAAAAAAAAATATATCAAAAATGCATGTGGGTACTCAAATGAAAGCTCTTGATGACCCTAACATCAAGATGAGCTTATATCTTTAAAAAAATGTCAATAGTTAACAAGATACTGACGACAAAATTTTTTCAAAAATATAAATTATAAAAAAAACCAACCTTTCGCTTCATTTTTGATGTCGTCCTCTTTCTTAATATCAGTTTCCATAGGCTCCTGTCCTTTCTCCAGCCTAGGTCTCTTCCTCGAGCCCTTAAAAGACCTGTTGTCCCTCCTGCCGCCTTCGCCTTCATCCTCGCTGTCACTGTATTCATTTTCATGTTGGATCCTCTTGTCAATATCCCTCTGAGGCAGTCTTTCATCCGGATTAACCTTCTCTTCAGCCTCCGAGTCGTCAATATTAGCTCCGTCCTCCGGAATAGCCTGAACTTGAACCCCCGGAGCATGCGGCAGCATCCTCAGATTTTCAAACAGCCGGGTCTTGATTTTTTCCAAGTACTCAATAGTATTTTGATTTCCCATATTCGAGGGACTAATGTGAAGCTTGAAGTCGGGTCCGAAGTACTCAAAGTAGTCATTGTAGGGGAGCTCATTTGCAATTTCGCAGCCTAGGGCAACTGAAGTTTCATAAGTCCAGCATCTGGAGACATTCCTGATGGTGTAGCCGCCACCACCGACCATTAAGAAGGGCAGGTTGTATTTTTTGACGAACTCTACACACTTTCCGTGACCTCGGACAGTTAAATTGAAGCAGCCGAGTCTATCACCGGTCAGAGAATCAGCTCCACATTGAAGAACCACAGCCGAAGGCTGGAAAGTCTCCATAACTTTGGAGATAATCGGTACGAAAATAGACTCGTAGCTGTCGTCGTCCATTCCATCACGCAGGGGAATATTTACGGCGTAGTATTTCCCTTTGCCAGCTCCGATGTCCCTCAGGTCGCCGGTTCCCGGGAAATATTCTCCGTATTTATGGAAAGACACGGTCATCACTCTGTCGGTGGTGTAAAATGCCTCTTCAACCCCGTCTCCGTGGTGCACGTCTATGTCGATGTAAAGGACTCGCTGGTGGTACTTCAGGAGCTCCAGGATCCCCAGGACGATGTCGTTCACGTAACAGAACCCTGAAGCTTCGCTCTTCTTGGCGTGGTGCAAGCCTCCTCCCCAGTTGATGCAGATTTCTGAGGCGTTTTTGTTCAATTTGACCGCCGCTGCTACCGAGCCCCCTGCTGAGAGTTGGCAAAACTCGTACAGTCCGTCGAACACTGGGCAATCTTCGCCCACGTTGAACCTCTGCATCTGCTTGTTGTACTCTGACATGTTGTCCGGACGGATTGAGCGCAAGAAACGGATGTACTCGTCGCTGTGGAACTTTGTCATCTCGTCAGCTGTTGCTTTGTGCGGTCGGTAGATCTCCATTTTGCGGTAAAGGCCGTAGTTTAGAAGGAGGTTGTGTGTCATACGTATACGGTGCGGCTTCATCGGGTGGCCCTGCCCGTAGTAATAGTTGCCAATGTCACCTGGGAAAATTAATTAATTAATTTTAAATATTTTTAATGCTCCAAAGTTTTAATAATTTATTTAGAAGATATTTGAGATTTTTTTTTTAATAAATAAATCAGAGAAAAAAATATTGATATGGATATATTTAATACTCCGAAATTTTAATTATTTATTTAGCAGATATTTTAGAATTTTTTTTTAACAAATAAATTAGGAAAAAAAAATTGGTATAAAGAATTTTTAAGAAATTAAAACTCCAATTTTTTTGAAATAATTTTTTTAAGAAATAAAATTAAAAAATTGTTGCAATTGCTAACTTTAATGTTATAAATTATAATAATTAATTTATTAGATACTTTATAATTTTTTTTAACATATAAATTGTGGCAAAAAAAATTGACATGTAGAAATTTTAAGAAATTAAAAATGCAATTTCTTTTTTAAATAATTTTTTGTAACTAATTTTTCTAATAAATAAAATAAAAAATTGTCAAGTGCTAATTTTAATGTCATAAATTTTGATAATTAATTTAGCAGATCCCTTATAATTTTTTCTAACAATAAATTATGGAAAAAAAAATATCGACATGTAGAAATTTAAAAAAATTATAAATACAATTTTTTAAAAATTTGTTTATTAAATAAAATTAAAAAATTATCAAGTGCTAACTTCAATGTCTTTCTGAAATTGTTAATAAATAATAAAATAATAAAAATTCTATATGTAGGAATTTAAAAAAAAATAAATATACTTTTTTAATTATAAAAAATTAGTTTTAAGGTTAATTATTTTTTAATGCGGAAAAATCGGACAATCTTATATTTTTTTTTAAATAAATAATAATAATAATATAGAGTAATTTTTAAAAAAATATCTATCATAAATTTTTAATCAACATTTTTGAAGATAATTAAAAGAAGAGATAAAAAATAAAAAATCAATAAATTATAAAAAATACAAATTTTAAAAAGTTAACGCGAGAGATTCAAACTAAAGTACGGTCACCGAATCATGGCGTCATTTATCAGCTACGGTGCCTGTAAAAGTTCCTCGGTGAATCTTTCGCGTTAACATGATCAAAATCGTATTAATGTCAAAAAACAAACACTTATTAAAAAACTTTTTTTGTATTTAATTGAAACTCAAGTAATAAAAGATTTAATTAGTAGTCTAAAGGAAAAATATTGGAGAAAAGTATTAAAAAACAAAGTTTAAAATAAAAGTGAGTACGTGATAAAAAGCGTCACGTTGTAGGGTTAGTTTATTAACTTGAAAAATATATAAAAATCAGTGAATAAATTTTTTTTTCTACTCACTGTCATAGTAATAGCACACACGCTTTTTACTGTGTGGTTGGATCGACATATTTGTAAGTTTATTTATTTAATATAATTTAAATTGAAATAATTAGTCGTACAAAATAACGTGGTAAGACAAACACTGCTTCAAGTCGACTGATGCCGAGTGGGGCTCGAAATAGAGAGGGCGCTGCATTTAAAAAAGAACAAAAATTTTTTAGTGCGCATGCGCGTGTTTTAGGAAATAATTCGTGCGAGTTTTTAAAAAGTTGGCATTTTTTTACAATCTTATTATTATTATTATTATTTTTTTGTCACAAAAATAATTTTTTACAATCTTGTAAGTATTAAAAATTTTTTTAATTATAAAAATAAATAAAAAAAGTGTAAATAATAAAAGTTAATTGTTTATTAAAGTGAAAGTGACATTTTTATTAAAATAATAGTTTTATTGTGAAAAGTGATTAAAAAAATAAGATTTTTAGTGAAAATTAATTTAGCAGACATTTTATAATTATAAGAATTTTTTTAACAAGTAAATTATATGGTAAGAAATAATTAGAAAAAAAATTATGATAATTAAGTAGGCCATTTAAAAATTTTTTAATTTATTTTTTCTTGAAAAAGTGACTAAAAAAAATTTTCATTTGTAAAAAAACTTTAAAAACTGTAAGTGCACAATTTTTTAAAAATACTTTTTTGTTCTAATTTAATTATTAAAAAAAATTTTAAATGTCGGCTAACTTTAGTATTATAAAAAATTGATGAAAATTAATTTAGCAGGTATTTAATAATTTTTTTAACAAATAAACTATGACAAAAATAATGAGAAAAAAAATTGACATTTAGAAATTAAAAAAGAAATGCAATTTTTTATAAATAATTTTTTGGAAAAAATTTATTTGTTTAAAAAAAATTTTAAAATAATCAACTTCAATGTCATGTTTTCTTTTTAATGTTACCATTTATTTAAAAGTGACGTAGTGTTTGTGTATAATTACTACAATACAGACATATATCTATATACATACACAATCTGAGCGTTGACAGTTTATGATACGTCAAGTAGGAACACAAGCAGCCACGTTACACTTAAAAAAATGTTGGTAGGAATAAAAAAAAGGTATGTGATACGAATATCAATCAAAACTATTAAGATATTACCAAGTAATTAAATCCCGTTATTTATTTTTAGCCTAAATACAGTTCTAATGATGAATATAACCTCCAATTTATCTTGATGACCACGGTAGTACCTAAAGGAAACAATAACAATACAAATTTAAATGTAACAAAAAAGTCACCTGATTTTTTTAAATAGTCTAGAGTCGTGAATTAATTTAATTTAAAAAATTACTAACAAATAAAATAAACATGGCATACATAACGCACGTTATGACATTGGCTAACAGCATAATCGGCGTGAGTGTCCTGGCGATGCCGTTTTGCTTCAAGCAATGCGGGATTATTTTAGCAATTTTAATCCTGTTGTTCTGCAGCCTGCTGTCAAGACTGGCGTGTCATTTTTTAATAAAATCAGCTGTGATGTCTAGAAGAAGAAATTATGAATTTCTTGCTTTTCACGCGTTTGGACCCATGGGTAAGTTCCTAGTCGAGCTGTTCATCATCGGATTTTTACTGGGAACCTGCATCGCTTTTTTTGTCGTGACTGGCGACTTGGGACCTCAAATAATTGGGAAGATTCTTAATAAAAATCCTGAGGATATTCGTTTGAGTTTTTTGTTAACTACTGGATTAATTATTGTCTTACCTCTTGGATTGTTGAAGAATATTGACAGTCTCTCCAGTATCTGCACTGTTACAATTGGATTTTATTTGTGTCTTGTTATCAAGGTAATTTTTATTTAATAATTACATTTAAATTAAGTCTAAAAAATAATTTATTAAATAAATAAATTTTTTTTTTTTTTCATAATTTAATAGTTAAACATTTTATAAAAATTGTCAGACGTCTTTTAATTTCAGAATAAAATTTAATAAATAATTAATTATTAATCATTTGTAATTTTAGGTAATATCTGAAGCAATGACACATATTTTTGACGGTGATTGGGTGGATGATGTAAATTACTGGCGACCAGCTGGTATTTTACAATGCTTACCAATTTTTTCAATGGCTTTATTTTGTCAAACTCAATTATTTGAAATTTACGAATCAATTCCAAATGTTTCGTTGGAAAAAATGAATAAAGTCGTAAAAGGTGCAATAAATATTTGTACAATTGTATATTTATTCGTTGGATTCTTTGGATATGTTGCTTTTTGCAACCAATCATTCTCAGGTACTTTTAAAATCTAAATTATTTTTTACAAACTTCTCCATATTTAATTTGAACAATACAATTTTTTTTTTTAGGAAATATTTTAACGAGTTTTGAGCCAAGCCTTACATCTGATTGCATAAAAATAGGATTTGTATTTTCAGTATTATTCAGCTTTCCACTTGTTATATTTCCATGTCGTGCTAGTCTAAATTCACTTCTGTTTCGACGGGTAAGTTTTTAAAAAAAAATAGATTAAAAAAAAAATTTTATATTTATTGAAAGTAGTTATTGAAGTTAATTAAAAGTAATTATTAAAAATAATTATTAAAATTTTTAGAACTACGCACATGAAAGTTCAACTAACTACATTCCAGAAATAAGATTCAGATGCTTAACATCGATGATAGTACTGGTATCTTTAATAACCGGACTATTAATGCCGAACATTGAGTTTGTTCTTGGATTAGTTGGCTCGACAATTGGAGTCATAATTTGTCTGATATTTCCCGCTGGATTTTTTATCGCAATAAGTACAAAGAATACCAATGAACGGTTGTTAGCACAAGTGATATTATTTATAGGAATGTGGATAATGATTCTGGGATCTTATGCTAATTTGTACGCGATAGACGAGTCAAGTACGACGAAAGTTTCAATTGTTACTGACAAGCCATTTGTTCCGATTAATAATATTCATTTGAATGTTGATGATAATAATAACATTGAAATTCCTCGTGTGATTGATATTCTTCCTAAAGAAGGTAAAATTTTTAAATTAATAATAATTATTTTAACTAAAGATGATATTTTTAAAAAAACTTTTATTAAATTGCACTGTGCTTTCTTAAATATTGACATTTTTCAAGGTATAAACTCATTTTGATCTTACACTCATCAAAACCTTTCATTTGAATATCCACATGCATTTTTATATATTTTTCATATATACATATATATATATATAATATAAATATATAAAATATATGAAAAAATTGATGTGGGTACTCAAATGAAAGGTCTTAATGAGTGTAACATCGGGATGAGCTTATATCTTTAAAAATGTCAATAGTTCACAAGATACAAGGTCATTTCTTAATTATGTATCTAGAAATAAAGCATTTTTGAGACAAAATTCTTCTTATTCTCTTCATAGTATAGATAACCTTGACTCAAAATTTTATTATTATTATTAATTTATGTATTACTAAATTATTTATTTATTTACAGAAATATTGAATAAAAATGAAAAAAAACTAAACGATCTTCCCAAATCTTGGGAACCTAAGCTTGCAGACAAGCTTGAAAAAAAGATATCACAAAAACTTCCACCAAACTTAACTTCAATAGCAGACAATAAAATTCCCGAAGAAAAACCTAAAAATGAAGAACTAATTAAACTTCCAAAAGTTCTAACAGCGGAAGAAAAGTTAAAAGAAGTTCTTGCTGCTGAAGAAAAGAATACAATAATAGAAAATAAAGAGAAGGTCGAACCAGAGCCTGAAAATTCTATAAACGTTGATGCAATTAAAAAAGAAGAGTCTGAAATTGCTGAAGCGGACGTCAAGGATCCGAGTTTGCAGGAGCAACAGCGTGTGAAGGAGACGCTGAAGCAGCACAAAATCGAGTCTATTGAGCTTATGAAGGAGCAGAAGGCTATTTTGAAGAATATTGAGATCAAGAAGGTGGAGATGGAGGAAGATAAGAAGTTTTTGGAAAGTCAAGCTAAGAGCATGGATAAAATTAATAAAATTGATAAAATGGACAATAAATTAAATGAGGGAGAGAAAAGTGACGTACATATCAGAAGTGAAAATAAAACTCAAGGGATTAATTTAAATATTTTAAATAATTTAAATAAAAGCTTGAGTTTTAATTCAAGTGAAAAAATAAATCAAAGTAAAATAAATACAATTGTACCTTTAGACCCTAAAATAAATGTGCCTTCCAATGAATCTCGGGGTCCTGTTCTAAATGCTTTGACTAATTGGACCGTCAACCAAATTATCAATGCCTCGGGATTTGTTAATTCTGAAGATAATCATTCGGTTAATGAAAATAATAATAATATTAATTTAAAGTCGGTAAATGAGGTGCCAATTCCCCTGCCGCTAAAATTAAATATGTCAGCGGAAAATAATAATAATAATATTAATAGTAATGAAGACAAAGTTGGTCGGGATATTTTACAGAATCGTGGGAGAGAAAAGAGGGACGTTGAGGAGCTTGATAAAATAATTTTAGACGAGGCTGTGAAGAGTACAAATGAAGAAGAGTGTACGTCAAAGCCAAAAGAAGATAAAATTTTGAGCACTGAGTCGATTATCAAGACTAATATTAATTTATCGGATCAAGAGTTTCAGGACAAGGTTAATTCTGTGGACCTGGCTTTGGATCCACTTACTAATTCTGAGTACAGAGTCTTCAAGAAACGGGATCTCAAAGCTTTTAAACCTGGAAGAAGAAGAGATTAATTATAATTCCGGTATTTTTATTTTTTTTAATTTAATTCCATCTTAGGGCATTTATTATTAATTACTCTCTAAGTCATCTATTTATTAATTAGATGTGATAATTTTAAATTAATTATAAGTGTAATTGTAAAAATTAAAAATAAATATTTTTGAATCAAAGATTTTTACCTAAATTTGATTTAAAAATTTTTTAATAATTTACTAGTAGCCTTGCAGTCACTATGTGACTGCCGTGAGGTGTGAACTATGAATAAATAAAATTTTGATTTATTAAATAATGAATTTTGTTAAATTGCACTATACTTTATAAACTATTGACATTTTTTAAGATATAAACTCATTTTGATGTTACACTCATCAAGAGTTTTCATTTGAGTACTCACATGTATTTTTGATATATTTTTCATATATACATATATATTAATATATAAAATATATGAAAAATTGATATGGGTACTCAAATGAAAGGTCTCAATGCGTATAATGTGAGAGTGAGCTTATATCTGTAAAAATGTCAATAGTTCACGAGATACAAGGTCATTTTTAATTATTTTTGTTAAATTGCACTGTACTTTCTTAAATATTGACTTTTTTTAAATTATAAGCTCATCCCGATGTTACACTCATCAAGAGCTTTCATTTGAGTACCCACATGCATTTTTAATATATTTTACATATATACATATATATTAATATATGAAAAATTGATGTGGGTACTCAAATAAAAGGTCTCGATGAGTATATCATCAGGATGAGCTTATTATTATTATTATATCTTTAAAAATGTCAATAGTTCACGAGATACAAGGTCATTTCTTAATTATGACTTTCCTTGAGACAAAATTTTTCTTATTCTCGTAATAATATAGATAAATAAAATTTTTATTTTTAAAAAATTTTTTCAGACTGAAGAATATTTTTATGACAACTTTTTATGAAATAATAAATAGTTAGCGGAGGATGTTAGGTAAACAATTACCTGAATATTATCATCGATTGGAACGACATAGTACTAGTGACACGAAGACTACCCACACGACAACATTTGTACCACAAAGTCGCTGGCATCAATTGAGCTGTAGAGGTACATACAGGTTGTTTGATACTTCCCGGAGGAAAAGTAGTAGTAATGTTACTATAACTATTCTATCCGTCTAGCCCAAGGTAAAGCTCGTCTCACCTCTAGTGTACCTCACGATATTCGTGCCCACCTGATCATTTGTCCACTTTACTCAGTGCAGTGCAGTGCTCTCGAAACTATTTATTATTTACGTCGCTGCACATTTGCTTTTTTACTCTCTAGATAAAATGACGTTAGGTAATAAGACTTAAATAATCTATTAATTAGATTATATATTCTAACTCAGTATTACTGACGTTACCATGGGTTACGACGAGGTGAGTAATTTATTTTTTACTTTTCATATTTTTTGCTAATTTCTTTCAGATTAACAAAATTAAGTTTAGAATTTTTTTTTTTTTTATTTTATTTCAATATTTTGAGAATTAGTGAAGATCATTTTTTATGTTTATAATTTTTTGTTTGATAAATATTTTCGCTTGGTGAAAATTTATGAAAAAGAATGATTGAGCTGGTATCATAGCAGCTTATTGATCGACCTAGTCACCCTGTAGACCTACGTGGCCAGTTCTAGAAAGAACAACATATAATTTGTTGGAGTTTTTTTTTATTTATTTAATTTTTATTATTTTATTTCTTCTTTAAAATAATTTAATTAAGCAATTTTGAAATTAATTATAATTAATTTATTGAATTAATTTTTTTTTTTCAATATTAAGTATTTTAAATCACAATTTTTAATTGAAGAAATTGTTTTTTATTTATTAATTTTTTTGTTTCTTCATTCTTTTTAAATGAAGAAAAAAAAATAATTATTTATTTTTTTATTTGAAAATTACATATTTTAATTAAAATATAAATATGAAAAATTTTATTAAAAAAAAATTTTGGAGTAAAAAATTCAATAAATTTTTAAAACAAAAAAATTATGACATTTCGGCTGTCATTGAACAACTTTTTTATTTTATATAATAAAAAAATTTGTTCTAAAAAACTGTTTTTAAAGAATTGCATTTTTAATTTTTTATGAAAATAAAGTTAGCCGACATTAAAAAATTCTTAGAATTTTTTTTTATTGAAAAAATGATTACAAAAAAAATTTGCACGTGTAAAAAACTTGAAAAACTATAAGTGCAATTTTTTAAATATATTTTTTAGCTGTAATTTAATTAATAAAAAAAAATCAAAAATTTTTAGACGTCTGCTTCAGTGTCATCAATTTGTTTTGCATTAATTTATTTCTTAAAAAAATTCTAAAAATTATTGAGTATTATTTACTTTATTTTTAATAAAAATTTGAGGTTAAAAAATTTGTAAATAATTAAAAAAAATTTTCCAAATATTAAATCACAAAAAAAATATAAATATAAAATATTCATTCCAAATTTCTGATGAAAAAAAATAAAAAAGAAGAAATAAAATATCTAAATATAAATGAAAGTATCTGTCACATTTTTGACAGTTCGCAACTGTCAAACTGGAGGCCACGTTTGCTATTATTATGATTATTATTATATTTACACACGAAGCGCACTAACATGCGCATTGCGCACCTATACGCGCTGCCTGTCATGTATGCATATTAACTAGTCACAACATATGTATATACATATCAACAAGGTTTGACCCTTCTAACCAATAAAAAGCTCACACGTAATCGTTCAGAAGAAAAACAATTGATCGATACAGTAAATGAAAATAAGTAAGAGTGTTAAAAAATATTTATTGTGTATTAATTATCAATAATTAATTTATTAAAATACAAGTCTTAAATTTGATGCCGCAATTTTGAGGTTAGATTTTTTTTTTTATTGTTATCATTATAATAATGATGATGATTATTATTATTATTATTATTATTATTATTATTATTATTATTATTATTATTATTATTATTACTGTGATCATTACATATTTTATACGTATTGAATATGCAATTAAAGTGCAATAACTGATAAGTACACATATTTGTCGGCTTTTTGAGTAATCACTGTACGCAAAATGTCAGGAATTTATTTTTAAATTTGTTTGTAAAGGTGTAGAGATTGTTTTGATTTAAAATAAAAATTAATTTTAAAAAACACTTAACTAAATAATTAAAAAATTAAATTTATCTAAATTAAACAATTGAATTTTAATTTTTGGAAATAATTGTTACTTATTTAGTGTTTTGTGTTTTTAATCTGACATTTCGGCCATGAAGTTGCAGGAGGACAGCGTTAACGCAGAGATGTGGTTGACCACAGCGGAGGCTGCTAGCCTCGGTGCCGAGGAAGTCGCGGCCAAGTTCCAGGTTGACACGAGAACTGGGCTCTGGTGGCAAGAAGCCGATGCACGTAGACAGAGATACGGATTTAATGAGCTTACTGTCAAAGAAGATGATCCCACGTGGAAGAAGTATATTGAACAGGTATTTTTAATTATTTATTATTAATTATTAATTATAATATTAAAGTCAGTTTTATTAAATTCAATTTTAATAAAAAAAATTTTTTTATAGTAATTCAATAATTTTATTTAAGTCAGCTGACAATTGTCAATTTTTTAAATTCTTATTGTAATTCAATTTTAATAAAAAAAATTCTAATAAATTTTTTTTATAATAATTTAATTGTTAAAAAAATTTCTAATGTCAATTAATTATATAAATTGTCAATTGTTAATTTTTATATACTAAAACCTGTAATTTTTTTTTAGTTTAAAAATCCGCTGATTTTATTACTACTTGGCTCGGCACTTGTAAGTGTCTGTATGAGACAATTTGACGACGCCATCAGTATCACGGCCGTAAGTTACAATTTTCTTGTTTATTTATTATAATTTATAATAATTGTTTCACTTTTAATAGTTATTGTTGTTATTGAGTTTAAATTTTAATGTTGTTATCTTTGGTGTAATTACAGGCAATAATAATTGTGGTAACAGTAGCGTTCGTTCAAGAATATCGTTCCGAGAAATCGTTAGAAGAATTGAATAAATTAGTACCACCGACATGTCATTGGTAAGTGATTAATAATTCAAGCTTAATAATTTCATTTGCCATTTTAAACTTTCTAATTTATTCAATTGAATTTTTTTTCTAATGTATTAATTTTTAAACGTGGAAAATTATTCAGAAATATTGAATTTTTTAAAAGATTAACTGAAAAATAATGCCAGATTTTATTACAGAATTTTTATGTTGTATTTCAATAGTTTTGTTCGGTTAGTCATGTTAAAAAATATTCTTTATTATTATTATTATAGATAAAAATTATTGAATATATTTATTTTATTTTAACAATATTTAAAATAATATAAAAATTCAATAAATTTTATTTTTTCAGTTAATTATCAAAACAAAAAAAATTAATCGTTTAAAATAAATATAATTGTAATTTCTTAAATATTGACGTTTTTAAAAATATAAGCTCATCCCGATGTTACACTCATCAATAGCTTTTCATTTGAATACCCATATGTATTTTTGATATATTTTTCATATATACATATATATATTTTAAAAATATAAGCTCATCCCGATGCTACACTCATCAAGACCTTTCATTTGAGTACCCACATGCATTTTTGGTATATTTTTCATATATACATATATATAATATATATATATAAATATATAAAATATATTAAAAAATTGATGTGGGTACTCAAATGAAAGCTCTCAATGAGTGTAACATCAGGATGAGCTTATATCTTCAAAAATGTCAATTGTTCCCAAAATAAAAGATCATAATAAATTAAAAAACTTAATTTTCTTTAAAAAATTTTTTTATAAATTCCAGCTTGCGAGAAGGCCGAGTAGAGTCCTTCCTAGCGCGAAGCCTAGTCCCCGGCGACATAGTATTCCTCAACATCGGCGACCGAGTCCCAGCAGACATCCGAATCTTCGAAGCAATCGACCTGGCCATCGACGAGTCCAGCTTCACCGGCGAAACCGAACCATCTCAAAAATCTACCGCTCCCCTCCTAAAAAGCAATGGCCACACCTCCAAGCGCAACATCGCATTCATGGGCACCCTAGTCCGTTGCGGCAACGGCAAGGGCATCGTCATCAACACCGGAGAAAAATCCGAGTTCGGAGAAGTCTTCGCAATGATGCAAGCCGAAGAAGCCCCCAAGACTCCCCTGCAGCGTAGCATGGACATCCTGGGCACCCAGCTGTCCTTCTACAGCTTCTGCATAATCGGAGTAATAATGCTCCTCGGCTGGCTGCAAAACCGCAAGTTACTGGAGATGCTGACCATCGGAGTGTCTCTAGCAGTAGCAGCGATTCCCGAAGGGCTGCCCATTGTAGTAACAGTGACCCTGGCCCTCGGAGTGATGCGGATGGCCAAGCGGAAAGCGATTGTCAAGAAGCTGCCCACTGTAGAGACTCTGGGATGTGTTAATGTAATCTGCTCGGACAAAACCGGGACTATCACCAAGAACGAGATGACCGCTACGATTCTGGTCACTCCCGAGGGGTATGTGGCGGACATTACTGGCACCGGGTACAATGACCAGGGCGAAGTTCGCATCAGGAAGTGCGACAACGTCGAATTAGCGCGGGCAGCGGTCAGCAGTCTTCTAGAAGTCGGGTCAGTTTGTAACAATGCAATTCTTCAGAACGATATTCTGCTTGGGCAGCCAACAGAGGGCGCTCTAGCTGCTGCTGCGATGAAGTTCGGGATGTACGGGGCAGCTGAGAAGTACCTTAGGCTTCAAGAGTATCCTTTTTCTTCTGAGCAGAAAATGATGGCCGTAAAATGCGCTCCCAAGTACACTGAAGACAGAGAAGAAATTTTTTTTGCCAAAGGAGCGATTGAAAAAATTCTAGCACAGTGCACCAAATATTCGGCCAATGGGCAGCTCTACCCGCTGAACCAGAAGAAAGAGAAGGAGTTTGCGACAGAAGCTTACGAAATTGGGCAGCAAGGCTTGAGAGTGATCGGGCTGGCCCGTGGATCCTCGCTCCAAGACCTGGTTTATGTTGGCTTGATAGGAATCTGTGATCCTCCTAGAGAAGGGGTCAGAGATGCTATTTCTCTGCTGCTTAATAGTGGGGTCAAGGTCAAGATGGTCACTGGGGATGCTAAGGAGACTGCGGGAGCCATTGCGACGATGATTGGGCTGGACACCATGCACATGAGGCTCATTTCTGGGGATAAGATTGACACTATGACTGAGGATGAGCTCCAGGAGGTCATTGATAATGTCAGTGTCTTTTATAGGGTCACTCCTAAACACAAGCTGGCCATTGTTAAGGCCCTGCAGAGAAACGGGAATATTGTAGGGATGACTGGAGATGGCGTTAATGATGGAGTAGCGCTTAAAAAAGCGGATATTGGAATTGCGATGGGGAAAAATGGAACGGATGTTTGTAAGGAAGCGGCGGATATGATTTTAGTTGATGATGATTTTAATACGATCATTTCGGCGATTGAAGAGGGCAAGGGGATTTTTTATAATATTAGGAATTTTGTGAGGTTTCAATTGAGTACTAGTATCGCGGCGTTGGCGCTTATTGCGCTGGCTACTATGATGAGCATTCCCAATCCGCTTAATGCTATGCAGATTTTGTGGATTAATATTATTATGGATGGACCACCTGCTCAAAGGTATTTTTTTTCATTTTAATTAGCAATTTTGATTTATTAAATAACTTTTGTTAGATTGCACTGTACTTTCTTAAATATTGATGTTTTTTAAGATATAAGCTCATCTTGATGTTACACTCGTCAAGAGCTTTCATTTGAGTACCCACATGCATTTTTGATATATTTTTCATATATACATATATGATATATATAAATATATAAAATATATGAAAAATTGATGTGGGTACTCAAATGAAAGGTTTTAACAAATGTAATGTCGGGGTGAGCTTATATATTAAAAAATGTCAATATTTCACAATTAAAAGGTCATTTCCTAATTATTATTATTAAATAATATAAATAATTAAATTTTTAGTTTGGGAGTTGAGCCAGTGGACAAAGACGTGTTGAGACAAAAGCCCAGAGACACAAAGGAGCCGATGATTACACGCAGTCTTATTATAAATGTTTTACTATCAGCAGCTATTATTATCCTAGGAACGCTCTGGGTATATAATCGCGAGGTAATAATTTAAAAAATTATTTTTTTATTTTTAATTATTATTATAACGTAAATGAAGCATTTTATAGCTGATTTTAGCGTTAAGTTAATTAGAGTGTTAGTAATTATTTTTATACTGATGAATTTATCCTTACAGATGACCTCCAATGGAATTACAGCGCGAGACACCACTATGACATTCACGTGTTTTGTTTTCTTTGACATGTTTAATGCCCTTAGTTGCCGATCACAAGTAAATTACTCCTGTTTTTTTTTTTTTAATTAATTAATTTATCTAGTTACTGAATAATTATTGGTAGCTTATGAGGTATTGATTTTGAGGGTTTATTGGTGATTTTCTTTTTTTCAGACGAAATCAATTTTCAGCATCGGGTTGTTGAGTAATAGGATGTTTTTAATTGCTGTAACTTTGTCTATTGTTGGACAAATGCTTGTTGTATATTTTCCACCGTTGCAAAAAGTATTTCAAACTGAAGCACTTACAGCTAAAGGTAATTTTTATTATTTTTTTTAAACTAATAAATTAATTAAAAATTTCTTTTTTTTTATAGATAAAATAATTTTAATTTGAAATTTTATTTTCTTTTAACTTTAGAAAAAATAATAATAATAATAAAATTTCATGAATTTTGTTAAATTGCTCTGTACTTTCTTGAATATTGACATTTTTAAAGATATAAGCTCATTCCGATGTTATACTCATTAAGAGCTTTCATTTGAGTACCCACATGCATTTTTCATATATTTTTCATATATACATATATATATAATATATATAAATATATGAAATATATAAAAAATTGATGTGGGTACTCATATGAAAGGTCTTGATGAGTGTAACATCAGGATGAGCTTATATCTTTAAAAATGTCAATAGTTCACAAATTATTTATTAAATTGAACTGTACTTTAGTTCTTAATTATTGAAATTTTTAAAAACATAAGCTCATCACGATGTTACACTTATCAAGAGCTTTCATTTGAGTACCCACATCAATTTTTCATATATTTCATATATTTATATATATTATATATATGTATATATGAAAAATATATCAAAAATGCATGTGGGTACTCATATGAAAGGTCTTGATGAGTCTAATGTCGGGATGAGCTTATATCTTTAAAAATGTCAATAGTTCACAAGATACAAGGTCATTTTCTAATTATTATTATTATTATTATTATTATTTAATAAGATTTTTTTTAATTTCTTAAATTTTCTTTTTTTAAAATAAAAATAAATTAAATTTTATAGATTTGGTATTTTTAACGGCATTAACATCAAGCGTATTCATAATAAGCGAAATAAAAAAATTACTAGAACGTCAGTGGGAGCGAAGACGAACATCAGGCTGGAATTACCGTAAGTCCGACTGCGATTTTGTATGACGTTTGTCATCCGGCGAGGAAAAATTACATTGATACTCGCGCGGAGTAATTAAAAATCCAATAATAAACAATTATCAATAACAATCTAATCCGTAACAATATAAGACACCAAAAACATAATATTTCAAAATTACGAATCATCTCAATCATTTTAAAGATTGATTTGATTTCAACCAAGTCAATTTACTAATAAATAATAATAATTAATAGAGTAAAAAAAAAAAAAAAAAAAAAACGTTTGTAATTGTGTGTTGTTTGAGTAATAGTAAGCAAGGTTGTTCAGTAAAGTAAAAAATTTACAGAGGAGAAGAAGAAGACAGTTTCAAAAGTTAAAAAAGGGAAAAAAGTTCGTGGAAAAAAGTAAAGAGTGCATGGATACAGACATGCATGATCTTCAGCATAAAAAACTCCTGTAAATAAAATATTATAATAATAATAATAACAACAACATCACCAACAACAACAACAACTTTGATAACTACACTTATAGAATTGATAACATTATGCTGGAAAAGGTCTAGTTTATCATCAATCAAATCGACACCTTACAAGATTGATTATTTATTAATATAAATCCATTTACAACAATTTATCGAGTAAGTTGACCGTGCTCCGGAATAATTAATTTATTTATTATTCCTCTAATTGTTTTAAATCATGAGCAATGATCAACTTAGGGTAATTATTTATAAGTGGGGTCCACCTTATTTATAATTTGCTTATTTTTAAGGCGCATTTATGATAAAAAGTATCGCGAAATAAAAAAAAATGAAGATTATGATAGTTTTTTTGCATTCAAAAATTGGAAAAAATTTTGGCTCTTATGTTTTTGGATAAAATTTCTATTTGATCTTTTTTTGATATATTTTTTTTTTTTTTTAAGTACATAAAAAAACAAACAATTTAGAATAGAAAGTTGAATATTACAATTTTCTAAAAAGTTAATAAATTTTCTTGAAAATTTGTAAAACTAGCAATTTTGCAGTCAATAAATTGCACTGTACTTTCTTAAATATTGACATTTTTAAAGATATAAGCTCATCCTGATTTTATACTCTTCAAGAGCTTTCATTTGAATACCCACATGCATTTTTGATATATTTCTCATATATACATATATATAATATATATAAATATACGAAAAATTGATGTGGGTACTCAAATGAAAGGTCTTGATGAATGTAACATCGAAATGAGCTTATATCTTTAAAAATGTCAATATTTGACAAGATACAAGGTCATTTTTTAATTATGTTAAATTTCACTGTACTTTCGTAAATATTGACGTTTTTAAAGATATAAGCTCATCTTGATGTTACACTCTTCAAGACCTTTCATTTGAGTACCCACATGCATTCTTGATATATTTTTCATATATACATATATATAAATATATAAATATATAAAATATACGAAAAATTGATGTGGGTACTCAAATGAAAGGTCTTGATGAGTATAACATCAAGATGAGCTTATATCTTAAAAAATGTAAATCGTTCTCAAGATAAAATCCATTCTTTTTAAATTGTTCCTTTTTTTGTATTAAAAAAAAAAATTAAAATTAAAATTACTCCACTTGTAAATAATTACCCAACTTAGCGCTTAATGTATCGAATCACATTCAATTATCATCTTCATCAATATTTTATTTTAATTAATGAATTAAATTTAATATAACTACATGAAATTAATAAATAAATTAATTAATTGAATTTGTCGTCGAGCATGCTAGCACGTACCGACTTGAAACACAAAACAATTAATTAATCACTTGAATAAACAAATAATAAAAACGAAAATCGCACTGCATTTATCGTTCACGTCAAAACATTTAAAATAATCATTATAATTATTATCTAGATCTTTTTTAAGCTTGATTAATTATTTTAAGCGCATTTTAGTGTTTAATGCTGAGTAGAATTTACGCACAATTGCTAATGTTTTTTTTTTTTTTTTTTTTTTGAGAGTTTATTGATTGTATTTATGATTGTTTATGTTTATTGTTTATTATTGTTTGATTCCGTCTATGCATTTTAATTGTACAAAAGTTATTGATATTTTTTTAATCAGTTTGCTGTAGGTGCTTGAATTATTTTTATTTTTAAAAATTGACAGCAATAACTAGGTCGTTTTAAATCTTTGCAATAAATTTTGTATTATATAATTATAAATAACACTTGTATTAATATTTAATATAAGGAACAATTTAATCGTTTAAAATAAATCAATTAAATTAGGTGATTTGCTACTATACTGTGATCGTATCTGTCGATTGTCTAAAGTCTTTTAATATTTAGTCAATGGGTGCTAATCTTATATATTTAAAATATTATATGATAATTATAATTATAATTATCTCTATCTTCAAATTTAATACAATGTTGGTTATATTGATATATTAATTAGTAATTTACAATTACTTTTATTTTTGTGCCCATGACTTCTTTATATTGTGAAAATAAATCTGAGTATTGAGTAAAATTGAGCTTTTATTTAATATTTATTTTTTTAGGTAATTTTCTTTTTTTTTTTTAGATAGCTTCACTATTTTTTTCTGATAAAAAAATTGACCTTTATATACATAACTAAAAAATTACCTTGTATCTTGTGAAATATTGACATTTTTAAAGATATAAGCTCATCCTGATGTAACACTCATCAAGACCTTTCATTTGAGTACCCACATCAATTTTTCATATATTTTATATATTTATATATATTATATATATGTATATATGAAAAATATATCAAAAATACATGTGGGTACTCAAATAAAAGGTCTCGATGAGTGTAACATCGGGATGAGTTTATATCTTAAAAAATGTCAATAATTAAGAAATGACATTGTATCTTGTGAACTATTGACATTTTTAAAGATATAAGCTCATCCTGACATTATATTCGTCAAGACCTTTCATTTGAGTACCCACATCAATTTTTCATATATTTTATATATTTATATATATGTATATATGAAAAATATATTAAAAATGCAAGTGGGTACTCAAATGAATGCTCTTGATGAGTGTAACACCAAGATGAGCTAATATCTTTAAAAATGTCAATAGTTCAAAAAGTACAGTGCGATTTAACAAAATCCATTATATAATATAGAAAAATTTTATTTATTTATAATTTACAAGTTAATTAAATTTTGTTATTAAAATAAAAAAATTTTTTATTAAAGAAGAAATATTGATTAATTTTTTAAATAAAAAAAATAGTGAAGCTTCAATTTTAATTAATTCCTATATTTAATAATATTTATTTGAACTGTATCTATAATCATAAATGCTCTAAATAATTTAATTAAAAATTAATAAATTAATGAATGCCTTCTAACGGGCTGTATGTGCGGTATTGGAACAGTTCCGGTCCACCATATCCGTACAACAGTTTTCCACGTCCATTTTCGTCGTAATATGGATACCGATACTTAGGTCTAATAAAAAAAAACAATGTAATAATAAAAAAATTAAATACAAATAAATAATAATAAAATTTACCTTTCGAAATATTGAAAGTTAGGAGCCTGAGGTGTCGCCAAAGTTGACAAACTTTCATGGAAGAAAACAAAAATTAAGATGAAGAAGAACTGAAAATTAAATTAATTAAAATTAATAAATAAATAAATAAATAAATTAATTAATTAATTAATTAAGTAAAGAAGAAATAAATACTTACAAATAATCTAGCCATGTTTAAAGATAGTAACTATCTCGACTAGTCACGACTGGATTGGTACGACCGTGAATGTTTTGTAAAAAAACTGCTACGCAATAGTCTCAGACTAAAGAGCAAAGAGTACTGAGCATGATGTGAGTCTTGGAGTGCTCGAAAGCCAGCTACAGGTGAAAGTATACTTTCCTGTTTATTATTATTTTAAATATCTACCGACGTGTCTTTGATGTTGTAAGTTGTGAGTAATAAATTTCTGGCTTTTAATCCGTTTATTTTTTAATTAAATCTCAGAAGTTAACATGCTTATTTTATTAATTAATTGTAATTATGAGTAACGCAAATTGGGTTTTAATTTGGACACTTTTAAACCCCACGGTCCGTTGAAATTGTTCATTCCGTTCCCGAGACGGTCTATAAGATCTTTTCCTAATGGACCATTTAGTGCTTCGTATTGTGCTCGACGCGCTTTACCATGCTCTGGATTGAAATCCCATTCTGTATGCTGTAATTTATATTAATTATATAAGTTTAGTTTTATGAAGAAATAGGTGTAGTAAAAAATTATCTTCTTTTTTGATATTTTAATAATTAATTTAATTTTTGGACAATATAATTTGAAGTGAAGAAATATTAAAAATTACCTGGTGAACTGTTGGTATTCCTGCAATGTTATTTTGGATTGAATCGTGGATCAATGTCCAAATAGTTGCGTTTATTAATGACACATTTATTAATATTATTCCTAGGATCTAAAATTAAAGAAGAAATGTTAATAATTATTTTAAAAAATTTAATTAATTATTTTTAATTAAAGAAGAAATATTAATAATTAATTTAAAAAGAATTATATTAAATATCTTTAATAAAAGAAGAAATATAAAGAATTGTTAAAATAATTATTTTTAATAAAAGAAGAAATTTAAATAATTATTTTAAGAAGAATTATGTTAATAATTTTTTATAAAAGAAGAAATATAAATAATTATTAAAAAAAATTAATTTAATACAATCATACCTGAAAGAAGAAATATTTAATATTCATTTCTTCGAAAAATAAAATAAACAAATAAAAATATACAGATTTGGCAAAAGACGAGGAATAACTGAGTGTATTTTATCCCCAGCGACTCTTATGAAAGTGAAAGTTAAAATAAAATCTCAGTTCGTGAAAACTGACAGTCATCCATGTCATTAAAATCTCGTTTTTTATTACTTTGACATTGAGATTTAGTTACAAAAAATTATAATAGATGATAGATTACTTTATTAGAGAGCCCACACACGTATGTAATCAATTTTGAGATTTTTATCGTCTTCCGACCATGTTTTTGCCCATGATTCTGTCGAGTTGTAAAAATCAAAGAGCGCCTAAAAAATCAATAACAATTATTTATTAATTAATAATGAAAAATAAATTTTCTTCTGAGGAATTACCTTGGATCCAACATTCCTCCAGGGCTTACTGTATCCATTACTCACAGTACCATCTGGAAATTCTTCGTGACCTCCTACTGCGACTGCTAGTGCAATGTAAAACTGAAAAAAATTAACAATAATAATTTTATTTTTATTTTTAATTGATAAAAAATGGACAGAAGAAATAAATTTTTAATAAGAAATTTATCTAAGGACAGAATATAATTTTTTCTTCTTAATTAAAAATTAAATAAATAAAAAATTAATTAATAAATTTAAAAAAAACATACAGGTCTATCAAAAGCTGGATTTGTATCCATAGTCCCGTACTCTACATTATCAACCTTAACAGTTATCTTGGAGCTAGTCCACTCCAGCTGATAAATATGATACTCGTCTGACCAGTAATTGGCGGCGAATCTTTTGGGCAGCTCTAGAGAACCGACTCGTTGATCAAGAAGCCCCTGGCCATCGTTCCTTTGAATTTTCCCTGCAGTTAGAAGATGCCCGCTCAAGTCTGCGCCTCCACTTGACACAATTACTGTGTTCCCTAAAGACGCTGCGACCCTCAATTGAGGGTAGCTCATCGCTTCAGCGTCTTGCAAAGGCTCCAGACTGATAACTGCATGTTTAAAAATACTAGTAAAATTATCCTTAAGTTAAGTATTATTAATTAAAATTAATAATTATTTACTTGGATAAATCCAATCTCCTTTCGGCAGCTTTGCGCGTACTTCTATCTTCCCGTAGACAAATGAAAATGATTTTTTTGTGTCCACGTATCCTGAAGACACCGGAGGTAAGATATAGGCACCTCTAGCTTCTCTTTTACAGTCACTTGAGTCCATTTCTTCAGTACACCTGTAATTTTTTATAAAAACTTTTATTTTTTAAGAAGAAATACTTGAAATCTAATTTTTAAACGCATTAATAGCTCTTTTTTATATTTCTTCTTTATAAAAATAATGATGTTTAAAATTTTTTTTTAATAATCACATGGTTATTTTCTTAAAGTTCATAAAAAATAGAACAATTTACAAAAAAAAATTTTTGTAAAATGTTATTTCTTAACTAATAAAACTTAATTTTTCTAAAATACCGCTTTTAGCCGACAAGATGGAAGGCGCGTTACAAAATGGCGGAGCTGCGCGCGTGCTTTTTAAAAAAATTTATTGAATTATTAAAGAGTTAACATTTTTAAAAAGTTTTTTTTTGTAATTTCTTTGTTTTTTACTTCTATAGAATATAAAAAAAAGTACTAGAGCTTTGTAACTAATTAAAAAAATTTATTTTAATTAAAAAAATTATTTTAAGGTTATTTTTAAAAATTTTCTTTGAAGTTAAATAATTTAAGCAAAAAATCTTAATTTTTTATATTGCAAAAATATGAAATTAATTATAAATTACTTACATTTCAAGATTTAAACTTCCATGGCGGATAAAATCTCTTCCAAATTCGCTTTCGATTAACATCGGGCATAAATTAAGCTTACCTTCATTAACTTTAATATTCTTCTCATTATTTCTGTACACAACAAATGCATAATCCTATTAAAAATTAATTAAAAAATAAATAAGTTAATAAATAAAATTATTAAAAAAAAGAAGCTAACTTACAGGAGCAGAAGTAAATCGTTCAACAGCCCGCCATTTTGAAGTATTAAACAATTCAAAGTGATCTTCAAAAATCAGCTGTCCTTGACAAGCTTCTTGATAAGTTTTACCGACCGAGTCATACAATTTTGAAGCCGATGGCGTGCAATGTTGTGTTTGATCGACAACAGGGTTATTAACGTTCGCCCGAGTTCCATCTTTGTTGAAGAAAGCGTTGACCTTATGTTCCTGGAACAAGAGGTTATAGCCCAGACCTTCATAGACCACGTGGACCCAATAATAGACAGTGTCTCCGAAGGTAAGTTCGGTAGTATGATCTTCATAGGCCCAGCGGCCATTTTTAACTCTCAAAATGTCACGGGCGATTGTTCCGGCTTCAATTCCTTCGAATTCTTCATTAAATTTTATGTGGAACGCCACTAGGCTGATTCCTTTCTCATCTGGAATTAATTATTTTATTAATTATCAACAATTACTTATTAATTCATTTAATTATTAGAATTAATGTGTTTTAATAAAAATAATATTTCTTCTTAATACTTAATTCATTTAATTAAAATTAATATTTTAAGTAAGAATTTATTAATGAATTTAAAGAAGAAATATAAATATAAATATAAATACCTGGGATCGATATCCTTATGCCCTTGGGATAAAGCGGCTCGACTTTGGCTTGAGGTGGAGTGTACCGTCCATCAGAGTAATTAATAATAGCCAGGGAAATAATTAGCACTAGTACACTGGACATGATGAATCAAGTATGAGTCGCGTCTTGTAAATTACGCAACTATTAACGCTCAATCTTGAATTGATAATACACTGGGGCAATAAAGCAGTTTAGTGAAGAGATTATAGTTGTAATGCTCTGTTGACTAAGTCGCGGATATTCCAATAATGGCAAATGCATTTTATCTTCAGACGGAGGAGGGGGACTGGTCTTCCTTGCGTTTTTTTTTTTTTCTTATTCTGGTATAAACTTGTTTTTGTATGTGATCTCTAATGTGATACAATAAAAATTTACAAATAAGAATATTATTTCTTCTTAATTATGAAAATTATTATGTTAGAATAAAAATTAATGAAGAAAGATACTATTTCTTCTTGATAATTAATTTAATGATATAAATTTATATCTTAAAATTATAACAATATCTATTTCTTCTTATTAATTCATTAAATTATTAAAATTAATGTATTACAATAAAAATTTATAAATAAAAATATTATTTCTTCTTAATAATTAATTTAATTGTAGAAATCTATATCTTAAAATTAGAATTAACTATTTCTTCTTATTAATTCATTGAATTATGAAAATTAATGTGTTACAATAAAAATTCTAAAGAATTAATTTTTTTAAATTAAATATTTACAGACAAATAAATTTGCAACAACAAGTATAAGTAGAAAGTTTGAATACCTAGAATAAATAATTACACAGGATAGATTGATAGAATAACATTGAATGAAAGCAGTATCGTAGAGTAATACAGTAATAGTAATAACAATATAATTGAAGAGTCTTTGGGTAAGTGGGAGGAGTAATATCGCGTCGATGTACGATAATGTGATGTGCAATATTAAACAATACAATCAATTGGATGTATAGTACTACATACATACATAGTAGTACATATAGTACACATGAGTGCACACCAGTGGTGTTAATATTAAAGCTGGCTGAAAACTGAATGGCGAGGCTGTTCACCCTTAGCCCCTATGATGCATATTCTATGGATTATTCTCACCGTTTGAGGGATAATCGATCGTGGTTATTTTAGGATAAATATTCATTCCCTTTCATCAGACTTTACTAATCAACCGTATGTGATACTTTTATCAGTATCTTATCTGGTAATTTTTTTATAATATATATTAATTATAATTATTTTATCATTCTCTTAGAAATTATATTAATATTTTCCTTCTGCAAAATTAAAAAAATCAAATAATAATAAATAAAATTTTGTTTTATTAAGTAATGAATTTTGTTAAATTTCACTGTACTTTCTTGAGTAATGACATTTTTAAAGATATAAGCTCATCCCGATGTTACATTTATCAAGAGCTTTCATTTGAGTACCCACATGCATTTTTGATATATTTTTGATATATACATATATATACATATATAAATATATGAAAAATTGATGTAGGTACTCAAATGAAAGGTCTTGATGAGTACAATAATGGAGTGAGCTTATATCTTTAAAAATGTCAATAATTCACAAGTTACAAGGTCATTTCTCAATTATTTTTGTTAAATTGCACTGCACTTTCTTAAATATTGACATTTTTAAAGATATAAGCTCATCCTGGTGCTATATTTATCGTGACCCTTCATTTGAGTACTCACATCAATTTTTCATATATTTTATATATTTATATATATTACATATATGTATATATGATAAATATATCAAAAATGCATGTGTGTACTCAAATGAAAGCTCTTGACGAGTGTAACATCAGGATGAGCTTATATCTTAAAAAAAAATAAATATTTTACAAGATACAAGGTCATTTCTTAATTATGTATCTAGAGATAACGCATTTTCGAATGCAGCCTACTATTTGTAATATGCAGCCTAATATTTATAATAAATTGACCTGGAGAAAAATTTTCCTTATTCTCTTAATAATGTAGCTAATAATAATTTTTAATTAAAATTTTATTATTATTGATTTAAAAAATAATAATTTAAAGAAAGTAAAAAACTTTCTAAAAATCCAATCATTTAATTCTAAAATAATAACAAGTCTTATAAATTGTAATATCATACAATTTTTTACAAAAATTGTTATCCAAACGAATGTAGACATCAATGACAAACATAATAATAATACTGACGCAACAACCTTGTATATATAATTTCTGAGGTAGAAATATTAATTTTGCTCAGTGTCTCAAGAGCTACAGCAGAGAAATATCGTGACTGCTACTTAGTTAAATTCACAGGTGAGAGTAATAACTAATAATTAAAATAAATTAAACCGATGCCCAGTAGAAGTGAAATTTACCGCTGGGTGGTTTACTTGCTCAGCCTTAGCCTCAGAACGGGGTATAGTAGTTAAAACTTTGGCTTACATTAAAACTTTAAACGTAAATAAATAAATTAAAACAGAAGGGTACCAACAAAACCGAGATAGAGAGATTTAGATGAGAAGCTAGAAGCTACCCGGTGCTATCGACAGGTGTGGTTTTATTTTAACTTCACCAACTCGTGTAAATCACCGCCCTTCTCACTTAAATAAACTCAACACAAGTTAAACGTCCTAATGACTTACAATACAAAGAAGAAATCTTATTATCCTTATTTCTTCTTTTACTGAGCAAAAATATGCCGCCTTTTTAACGGCAATAAGCCCAAATCATCCTTACTAGTCACGCAACACTCACTTATATTATAATGTATATAAATAAAAGAAGAAATATATAAATATCCGGCTGATTTAAATTCAAGCTTTCTTCTTTTATTTATCGAGTGTTGTGCGCAGTAAAAAGGATGTATAGAAATTACCGGACAGAAAATTCCACCCCGGTTTTGTATGAAAATACATATGTGTAATATTACAATATATTATATATAATATGAGGGGACTTTGGACACTTTTATCGATGGATATATGTCTTTTTATACAATAGACATTTAAATTGCATTTAGATTTTGTTTTGGTACTTAATCTTCTTCATAAATGTTATTATTATTATTATTATTATATTCTTCCCTATAGAAAAAATTTATTAAAAATAAATTAATATTTGTATTTTTAATTGTTAACTTCTGGTAAATTATTTAATATAATTTAAATAGTTTAAAAATATATTAAAATTTTTTTGTAAGAAGAAATAAAAAAATCTTTTTTTTTTTTCTGAGTTCTAAATATTTTATATAGATTTTTTGCACTCCAATATATATTAATTATTTTTATAGTAGCATATTTCTTCAGAAGAAATCTAAATTGATATTTAATATATAAAAATATTTATATAAAAAATTTTTTGCAATCATAAATTTATGACAAGACAAGAGCTTAATCTTCCTCATAAATATTATTATTATTTTTAAAAAATATTTTATATTCTTCTCTATAAAAAAAAATTTATTAAAAATAAATTAATAATTTTAATATTCAAATATTTCTTCTGAAGAAATATAAATTGATATTTAATATTTAAGAATATTAATATGAAAAATTTGTAGTTGCAATTATTAATTTATGACCAGACAAGAGTTTAATAATAAAAAAAAAATAATTGCAGCTCTTTAAAGTACATAAATAAATCGAAAGTGATGAGTGATGATTATCCTGTTAAATAAACCGAGTATGTGTACTGTTGCAGACATGAAATCATTATTATTATATTTTAAATTATTATTTATCTGCTAAATTGTTATCTTATCAGCTAACCTTGACTCGCAAGTCACTATCTAATATATAAATATATAAATAAATAGATAGATATTTAAATGTTTAAATAAATAAATAAAAAGCTAACAAATATGTCTTCTAGGTCTAGAATGGCGGGGATAAATAACCTAGCATTGGAGCTGTCGGAACAAATAGTAAGTATAAATAATTTAAAAGTAATACGTACCTGAATGTGTTGGTAACTGGAATTTAGAGTAGAGCGAGAAGAAATATCGTTGGCTGGTTGCTCTAAATACGGGTTGAGTGTTTCGGATAGCTTCTTGAATCGGCTATGTGTAAAACTGAAAGCAAGTCTGGGATTAAAAAATGTTTAAAATCAGCGCAAATGCGGTATAGGTGAAGTATATGGAGAGAAAGAAGAAAGAAGAGTGAAAAGGTACCTCCAGGCGGTTCATTTGCTGATGGCTCGGCTCTCTGTTCTCTACTTTTGTCAGAGTAAAGTGATATAATAGAAGAGAAGAGATGCTTGGGAATTTTTTTGAATCTTCGGGGTGCATTGTCGTGTAATTAGCGCAGTAGTCTTTTAAATACTTCAATATTTGTGTCAATCTAAAAATATAATAAAAATTTGGTAATAATTATGACTAGCAACAGTACAGTTACTATGTGAGTTGTAAACTATAAAAAATTAAAATTTCGCTTTATTACATAATGACTTTTGTTAAATTTCACTGTACTTTCTTAAATATTGACGTTTTTAAAGATATAAGCTCATCCCAATGTTACACTCATCAAGAGCTTTCATTTGGGTACCAACATGCATTTTTGATATATTTATCATATATACATATATGTAATATATATAAATATATAAAATATATTAAAAATTGATGTGGGTACTCAAACGAAAGGTCTCGATGAGTGTAACATCGGGATGAGCTTATATCCTTAAAAATGTCAATAGTTCACAAGATACAAGGTAATTTCTTAATTAATTTTGTTAAATTACACTGTACTTTCTTAATTATTCACGTTTTTAAAAATATAAGCTCATCCCGATGTCACACTCATCAAAAGCTTCCATTTGAGTACCCACATGCATTTTTGATATATTTATCATATATACATATATGTAATATATATAAATATATAAAATATATGGAAAATTGATGTGGGTACTCAAATGAAAGGTCTTGACGAGTATAACATCAGGGTGAGCTTATATCTTTAAAAATGTCAACATTTCACAAGATAAAATGTCAAGTATTATTTATTATAAAAAAAATTATTTAGAAAATTTAATAAAAATGTTAAAAATTTATTAAATTTTCCCCGAATCTAAGAAAGAAAAAATTTAATAAACTGACAAATATTTACCGTTAAATTGTAAAAAAAAAAAAAAAGCGGATGTTTGATGAATAAAATTTGACAATTGACATTATAAATCCGTGAGTCTGTCAAAAATGAAACACGATTAAAAGCAGCGAGATTGAGTATAACGATCGAAAATCGATTATCCGAAGCAGACGGCAATTAACGTTTGATTCCGACGCCCACGCAGCAAGGCAAGCACCCTTTGCTCCACTCTCAACTCGACACACGACAAAGTTCAACAATTCGACTTTATCATTTTTCTCTCTATCTCGATCCCCGCTGCTCGTTCAAAGTGCAAATAACGAACCGCAAGTCACCCTACACACTATTGCTATTTGGTATTTGCACGAGCGTTTTTAAAACTCAGCCTCCGGCCTCCGGGCCCATCAACCTAAAATTATAAAATGAAGCAAATAAAAATAAAAAAACGCCCCGGCTATCTCCGAAAAAAAGCGTAATTGCATATTCGTTTATATAATAGTCCGTCCGGATAAATTAGTTAAAAGGGTCCACCTACGAGTATATGTCACGCGCTCGCTCCTCATCCTACTCATCCTCGTAATCCCTCTTTTTACTCAATGGGTCATATATTTACATAACAGGCTTTGTATACACCTATTCATATGTATAGCTGTGTACATATAATCATTAATATGCAAAACGGAAGCAATAGATCTTTGTATTAATTCTGGTAAATTTATGGACAGTCGCGTGGCATCTACCCTTTTCTTCTTTACTATTTCTTCCTTGTTGCTCTTTGTTTTTTTTATTTTTTCATTTCTTCTGTTTACTTTGGGCTGAGTAAACCCAGCTAGACATCTTCTTAGTTTCATTTCAATTTTTATATATTTTAATTTTATTTAAGGCTGGGTATTTCTCTCAGGAGTCGGCTTAATGTCTCACGGGTTATACTAAAAAATAAATATTTCTTAAAATTAATTTGTAAAAAATTAAAATTTTGGTTTATTAAATAATTACTTTTGTTAAATTGCACTGTATTTTCTTAAATATTGACATTTTTAAAGATATAAGCTCATATTGATGTTACACTCATCGCGGGCTTTCATTTGAGTACTCACATGTATTTTTGATATATTTTTCATATATTTATATATACAATATATATAAATATATAAAATATATCAAAAATTGATATGGGTACTTAAATGAAAGGTCTCGATGTGTATAACATCGGGATGAGCTTATATCTTTAAAAATTTCAATATTTAACAAGATGCAAAGTCATTTCTTACTTATTTTTGTTAAATTTCACTGTAGTTTCTTCAATATTGACATTTTTAAAGATATAAGCTCATCCCGATGTTACACTTATCAAGAGCTTTCATTTGAGTATCCACATGCATTTTGATATATTTTTTATATATTCATATATATATAAATATATATATATATATATATATATATATATATATATATATATATATATATATATATATAAAATATATGAAAAAATGATGTGGGTACTCAAATGAACGGCCTCGACGAGCGTAACACCAAGATGAGCTTATATCTTTAATAATGTCTATATTTCACAAGATACAAGGTCATTTCTTAATTATGACTATCCTGGAATCATAATTTTTTTAATAATATATTAATAAAAAATAATTGCCTTAATTTTAAAGAAGAAACTTTTGATTTTTATTTTGAAAAATAAATATTTCTTCTTTAATAAATATTTAGAATTTTTTATATAAAAAAATTTGATTTTTATCCTAAAAAATAATAAAACCATATCTTCTAAAAAATTTCCCTAAATTAGTAAGTTATAAATAAGATAAAATTGTAAATAAGATTGTGTATCTCTTCAGAGCGCGGGCTTAAGTGTCTTTGGAGAGTCAAGTTGATAAAAAGTCTGTAGTAATGGTGAAAAAAATTCGGTGTTGAAAAAAAATGTGTACAAGTTGTATAGAGATAATTTTTTTTCACGGTTGGCCAGAGAGTAAAAAGAAGCGAACAACGACCCCCAGAAGCTGTTGCACTGTACTAGGTAGGACCAGAGTAGAGGTGGTGTGTGTTGAGTCACATGAAAGAAAAAGCTCCGAGTGGGGTTGAACGAGCCCCCGGAAGGGTGAAAGAGCAAGAGCGAGACGGATAAACTTTTGACGAGGAAAACTCGGGGCATCTCAACTAAACCGAACCAGTCGCATGTGACTCTCGGCAACGTGCACAGCCTCTCTTCTCATCTCATATAATAAACACACCAGTTAACATAGTCTTCTTCACTTGCTTTGTCCACATAAAGAGTGATGGTCATCGGAGCTTTTTTTACTGATTTTTTAGGCTATTCTTTTTAAATTAAGATGCGCGATAAATTTTTATTCAGTGTAAGTTTTTGGTTGAGTGGAAATAATGGCTCATTCTTTAGTCTTCTTTGATTTTTTCTCTGGAAGAAATACAAGTGGAATTAAAATGTGATTTTTTCTAGTCAGGAGTTGCGGATGTTAACGAGACCTTACCTAAATTTGTCGAGCACGATGTGGCGATCATCAAGGAAGAAATAAAAGCTGAAGAGCAATTAGATTCACAAGTGTCGGTGTCCAAGTCTTTGTGCGGGTGGTTTTCTTTCAGGCCCTCTTATTTGCAGAAATTTAGGACAGCTAAGTGGGCTTTGTTTTGGCTTTGTTGGGCTGGTGCTATGCAAGGTAATTTTTTTAACAAAAATTTTGATTAATTAATTATTAAAAATTATTTGTTTTGTTAATAAACAAAATAAAAAATTTTTAATTAACATTTCTTCTTTAAAAAAAAAATATCTTGTTAATTTACAATTAATTTAAAAGTCTTTTTTGGGAAGAAATATAACTATTTCTTTTAAAAAAAAATATTAATTATTTTATTAGCAAAATTCTAATTAATTTATTTCAAAAGAAGAAATGTAAAAATTTATTAATTACAAATTAAAAAGTAATTTTATTAACAAATTTTTAATATTTCTTCTTTTTAAACAAAAATTCATTAAATAAGTCATTAAAAATTTTTTTACATTATATTTAGTAAAAAAGAAAAGATTTTTTCCTTAAAAAAATTTTTTTTATAATTAAAAATTAATAAAATCTTTAAAATTCGTTTTTAGAGAAGAAATATTGCAATTTCTTCTTTTAAAAATATGAATAATTTTTGTTTTATTTAATAAATAAAATAAAAAATTTTAATTAATTTATTTTAAAAGAAGAAATATTAAAAATTTAATAATTAAGTACAAATTTTGAAACAAAATTTATTAATAAATTTTTAATATTTCTTCTTTTAGAATAAATATTGATTAAATAATAAATTAAAAAATTTGTTACATTATAATTAACAAATAAAAAAGAAGATTTCTTCTTTTATAAATTTTTTTATAATTAAAAATTAATAAAATCTCCAATATTGTTCTTTTAAGAAGAAATATAATAATTTCTTCTTTTAAAAATATGAATAATTTTTGTTTTACTTAATAAATAAAATAAAAAATTGCAATTAATATATTTTAAAAGAAGAAATATCAAAGATTTATTAATTATAAATTTCTTCTTTTAAAATTTCTGACCCAACCAATTAATTAAGCGTTTTAGTAGCAACTTGTCCCAACAAAACATATTGACATAATATATAATTAAACGTGATTCTGATTAGAGAGATTAAGAGCATTAAATAAACAGAATTAATGGAGATTCATGTGGAGCGTTGACGGTTGAATCCCATGAATTTAGTACCCTTGACGTTATACGGCATAGAACATACCACCTCTAGCCCAGAACAGCTTTTGAATGCATACTAATGGTATGTATATTTACGTTTGTATATGCATTCGATCCCGAACGGTTCTATCGGTAATCCCGAGGAAATAAAACCGTGTAATGAGACTGCCCCTCTTTTTCTTCGCGGGCAATCGATTCCTATCCTCGTGTACAAGCATGAAAACGTGTATCATTAAAATCGGGAATCAAAACAAAATTATCTGAAAGAAGAAATAAAAAAAAATTACATACTTCTATTTTATAGCCGGCTTTTATAATAAATTTAATTTAAAAATTTACTATAGTAAATTATTTAAAGTTAAATTCTAAAAAAAATTTTTTTAATAAATTTAATTAATTTTTACTTATTAAAAATTAAAATTTAAGTCTTAAAAAAAATTTTTTTCAATAAATTTAATAAAAAATTATTTATTTAAATTAAAAAAAAATTTTTTTTTGATAAATTTAATTAATTTTAACTTAAAAAGTTTATTTTTTTAAAATTACGTACTTTAAAAATTAAATAAAAAAAATAAACTATAAAAAAAATTATTAAAAAAAAAATGATATAGTTTTATTTTATAGCAGACTTGATATTATCGTAGATTGTAGATACAAGAGCAGATAGATGCGAGGCAATTTTCGATGGTATTCAGAGAAGAGTAACCGGAAATCCAATTTACTCCTTGCGAATGGAAGACTTTAAATCAAGTTGACTAAAAAAATAGATGAGAGTTTAATATTACAATAAAAATAAATAAACTCGAGCCTAACTTAAGAAGAAATGCGTTAATTTTAAAAGAAGTTTTAAATAAATTTACTTGGTCATTAAATTATCCAGCGAGTGTCGGGCTCAGATATGTATTACGTACATGGGAGTAAAGAGAGTAATGAGCAAGTAAAGTCTCTGACCACGCACTTATGTCTCCCCTTTACTTGGTCTACTGGTACGCCCGCGATCGTAGGCGCGAAACAATGCGATCAAAGAAATTTAAAACAAATTGACGGACAATACGTCTACGCTTTTGTCTACTAATTGTTCGCTAATTTAAACTTTGTTTATCCTTATAATAATATTGTAGATTGTATATTATGGAGTGGATTTGTTGCTGGTATAAAAGTTACTGACATGTTTGAAAATTTTTTTTTTTTCTTAAACTTCTATTTAAATTCTTCGAGACTTGTTAGAACTTTTATAAGTTTTTTATGATAATATTAACATTTTAATGAAACTGAGTTATTATTATTTAAGACGCAGTAGCTCAGTAGAATGCTGGATTTTATGGATAATTAGGAAAATATTTGTTTTTTTTTTTTTATTTGATTAAATCAAGTTTCATTTTTATAAGTTTAAGAGATTTTTTAAATTAATTTAAAAGTATCAAAAATTAAATATTTTTTTTAAGTTGAGTACTTTAGAAAATTTAATTGAAAAATTAACTAGTGTAAATAATTGAGTTAGTAATTTAAAGTTGAATTGTAAAGAAATTTTTTCTATTAAATTTGATTAATTAAAAGTCAAAATTTAAATAAAAAAATTTTGCTGTTTTAAATGACGTTTGTTAAATTGGGATGTACTTTCTTAAATATTGACGTTTTTTAAGATATAAGCTCATCCGGAAGTTGCACTCATCAAGAGCTTTTTCATATATTTTTCATATATACACATATATAATATATATAAATATATAAAATATATGAAAATATTGATGTGGGTACTCAAATGAATGGTCTCGATGAGTGTAACATCAAGATGAGCTTATTTCTTTAAAAATGTCAATAGTTTACAAGATACAAGGTCATTTTTCAATTGGGTTAAATTGCTCTGTACTTTTTTAAATATTGACATTTTTTAAGATATATAAACTCATTTTAATGTTATACTCATCAAGAGCTTTCATTTGAGTACCCACAAGTCATTTCTCATATAAATTGATGTGGGTACTCAAATGAAAGGTCTTGACGAGTGTAATATCGGGATGAGCTTATATCTTCAAAAATTTTAATAGTTCACCAGATACGAGGTCATTTCTTCATAATGACTATTCTGGAGCCAAAATTTTTCTTATTCTTTTAATAATATAAATTATTCAAAATTAAATCCTAAAAAATGTATTTCTTCCCTAACTAAGTCTTCTTATAACAAAAAAAAAAATACTTACTAAAAAAATGTTCTTTTTTTTTCTTCAAATAAAGGAATGGTAGTAAACGGTTTCATAAACGTGGTTATCACGACAATTGAAAAGAGATTCGGATTAAATTCTTCAGAGACAGGTCTCATAGCCGGGGGCTACGATATCGCAAGTTTTGTTTTCTTAATACCCGTCAGCTATCTCGGCGGTCGCTCAAAGGCATCCAAGCCCAAGTGAGTCACCAGCCTAGAGCACAAAATAAAACCAACTTAGTTAAAAAAAACATTAATAAAAATACTTTTTAGATACATCGGCGTGGGAGTTCTAGTCCTGGGTATCGGAAGCCTGCTCTTCGCCTCGCCGCACTACCTCTCTCGAGGAAACCACCAGGCGGGTCACAAGTCCTCGGTGTCCTGCAATCGCACCTTCATCAGCAATAATGAGACTTCACTGTCGGTGAGAGTTGTCCTTATCAAATAAGGTGATTCATCGGCAGCAGACTCCGTAACTCGACTAAATAATTTAATTTTTCCATTCCCCTTTCCTGTAGCAGTCCAAGTGCACCCAGCAGCTCGATGACACTGTCGAGGTCGGGCCCTTCAGCGGGTTCTATCTTATGATTTTTTTCATCGCTCAACTGCTTCATGGAGCCGGTGCTGCGCCTTTTTACACTCTTGGTGTCACTTATCTCGATGAAAATGTCTCTAAAAAAATGTCTTCTGTCTATTTGGGTAATTAATTAATTTTTTAATATTTCTTCTTTTTAAATAAATTATTTATATTGTTTTTCACTTAAAAAAAATTAATTTATAACTAAAAATTAATCAATCATTAATATTCTTCCTTAAAGAAGAAATAACAATAATTTCTTCTTTTAAAAATATGAAAATTTTTTGTTTATATTTAATAAAAAAGATAAAAAATTTTTGATTAAATATTTCTTCAAAATTTGTAATTAATAAACATTTAATATTTCTTCTTTTAAAGAAGAAACATAACAATAATTTATAATAATAAAAAAACATTTTTTAAATGATATAAATTTCTTCTTTTAAAAAAAAAAATTAAAATTTTGGGTACTTACTTTGTTTAATTTCAATAAACATAATAGGTCTAATTACAAATCAGTCACAATAAATTTTATACTTCTTTTAGGAATTTATTACACCATGGCTGTGATTGGTCCAGCGATGGGATATGTGATCGGCGGAGAGTTACTTAAACTTTACACGGATTTTCTTACTACTGATCCCAGAACGTAAGTTGACTTTTAAATCTAAAAAATTACTAAATAATAATTAATTTTGATTACTTTAATTCAATATTAAAACTTAGATAATTTTATTTAATTGATAAATTAGTTTTTTTTAATAAATAATCAAAATTAAACATTTTAAATACTTATAACACTTGATTTCTTCTTTATAAATGCTTTAGTTGATGTACGACAAAATGGAGTCGCTTTATAAAATGGCGACTTCAGCGCGGCGGCAAATTGAAAATTGAATCTGTTTTTGGCGGCAAATTTGAATTTTAAAATTTTTTTTAAATAATATTAGCTTTTAAATAAAGAAAAAAAATATTTTTAATATTATTAAATTGTTTTAAGTTAAAAAATTATGAATTTTTAATAAATAAATATTTTTATCGATATTAAGAAGCAATTATGGTAAAAAATCAGAAAAAAAATGTAACATAGTCTAGGTAAAAACGGTCTCCATTAACTCTGCACTTGAGACTTTATTAAATTCTCCGTTGAATTTATTACTCGGTAGATTCTCGGGTATTTATTTTACTTTTAATATTTAATATTCGCAAAACAGTTTCCATTAGCGGTAATAGAGGACTGAGTCCCCAGATCCCCGGATAATTTAAAAAGAATGATAAATAAAGCAAGCAATGGTGATTGTTGTGTGTGATGGGTGATGGGATTGTATTTATACAATATTTTATTGAATTTGCGGTGAATGGGCCGGTTCTCACGCGTGACTCGACATGAAATATGCGAACTTGAGCCGTAGATTAAATGCGAATAAAGAGAGTTGGTTTTTTATTCCCCCTCGGGGGCCCCTTAAGAGGGAGTGAATAGTTTTTTTGTTGGAATAAGGGTAACAGTGGCGTCATCCTCAAACATTGCATAAACGCCGCTTGACATTTTCCCCATGGGACGTCCACGTTTCCATGCGCTATTAATCTTACGTATTATTCGCTCTGATGCTACACAAGGGTTATATTTAAAACAACTACTTTATTATAGATTATTTATAGTCTTCTTTTGTCATTTATATTTTCCTATCATTGATTTTTAATTATTAATTATTAATTATGAAAAAAATTATTTTTTAAAAAGTTTTACCTTGGATTTTTTTATTCTTCAATGTCAGAATTTTATTCCAGGCTTTTAAGTTCTTTTCAATTCAAATCAAAGTTATGAAAGACCAGGATACATTACCAAATAATAAAGCTAAGTGATTAAGGTAGTCTATTGATATTCATTTCTTGTTTTTTGCTTGGCAATTTATGGAAGCAAACTTTAAGTGCTGAAAAATAAAATTCATGAGATTTTAATTTAATAAATTGGATATTTTTATTATTATTAACTTTAAATTTTTAATAATAATGAAACTAGCAAAAAATTAAAATTTTGCTTTATTAAATAATGAATTTTGTTAAATTACTCTGTACTTTCTTAAATATTAACATTTGTATTAAATTACACTTTACTTTCATAACTATCCACTTTTTCAAAGATATAAACTCATTTTGATGTTACACTCATCAAGAGCTTTCATTTGAGTACCAATATGCATTTTTGATATATTTTTCATATATACATATATATATATATAAATATATAAAATATATGAAAAATTGATGTGGGTACTCAAATGAAAGGTCTCGATGAATGCAATGTCGGGGTGAGCTTATATCTTTAAAAATGTCAATATTTCACAAGATCCAAGGTCAATTCTTAATTATGTATCTAGAAAATAATATAGATAATAATAATAATAATTTTGAAATAATAAAATAAAAAAAAACTTACCCATTTTCAATATAAAAAAATTTGTTATAAATTCCAGCAGGTGTGTTGCCTTTAACAATTCAACTGCGGCAATAAATAACCCGCGAGTGAAAAATGAAAAAAGAGTTAGTCAGCTAAATTAGCGACATCAATCACTAGGTAGTATATATAGCGTATATGTCCGCCAAAATTAATAGTATCGGTGTGTAACTTTGTTTTTAAATCTAAAATCTTGTAAACTCAGTTCTTAATTAGCGCACTCTAAAATTCGGACGCAAAAGTTTCGGCAGATGCCGATGAAAGTTGCAATACAGTTGTAGGTATTATAATGAGAAATAAGTATACGGCAAACCGCTCTCACACAAAGTAGTTTCAGTTTTCCAGCAACAATGTTCTTAGTTTCAAGAGTTTCGCCATAACCAGTAGCTCCCTGGATCCCTGAATCCCCCGACCAGGGAATACTTTAATATCTGGGAGTTTTATTGCCTTTAATAATAAGTTCTTAAGACCCTCGGTGCTATTCATTTCTACTTTTAAATAACAGCGATAATAATAACAAGTTAAGCTCATTTTTATTCATTTTGTAGGATTGGTATGACTCCAGACAGCAATGTATGGATTGGAGCCTGGTGGATTGGGTTCGTAGCGGCAACAGTAGTGTGTATTGTCGTCGCTATTCCAATAATTGCCTTTCCACCATCGCTTCCAGGTAACTTTCGCTATTTCTTATTTCACAATAAATAAATAATTAAATAATAAAATATTTATTGCAGGTTCTGAAGAACTAGCAAAGGAAAAAGTCTCGGAAGCTCATGAAAAATCTTCCGGCGGCACAACAGGAGAAGCGTTTTCAAAAATCCGCGAATTACCTCGCGCTTTAACTGAATTGCTGAGCAACCCCGCATTCTTTATGCTCAATTTAGCGGGAGCTAGTGAAGGATTGCTGATAGCTGGGTTTGCAGCTTTCCTACCTAAACTTATTGAAAATCAGTTTAGCGTAACTGCTAGTTCAGCTGCACTGCTAATGGGTAATCTCTTTTATTTATTTTTATCTTAATCTTAATATTCAATATAAGTCTGGAGAAAAGTCGATTACTGATTAAGACACTTAAGTTAACTGACATGAAAAAAATTTTTTATAATTTTATAGCTATTAAATTATTATAAAAAAAATATTAATTAAATTATTACCTTTAATTTTTGACAGGATTAGTGACTGTACCCGCTGGAGGAGGTGGAACTTTTCTCGGTGGTTATTTAATAAAACGCTGGAATCTTCCATGCTCTGGAATTTTGAAATTTTGCATTTTTTCAACAGCTGCTTGTATTATCTTCACGCTTTGTTTCGGGCTCAGCTGTCCTAACCTAGATTTTGCCGGTCTTACTGTTCGATATTCTGAAACAGATCAGTAAGTATATTTAATTAAATACAATATAAATTAAAATATTTTAATTGATTTTAAACATATATAATACTAACAGCTGATTGTTTATAAAAATTTTTTTTTCAACTAATTTTTACAAAAAATTGTATTTCCTTCAATTTTGAAACAATCTTTATGGTATAGTGTGATATAAATAGAATTTAACATGCAAGTTGCGCGCGCAACAACGGTTGCCTCAGGCTTTAAAAATACTTAACCTATATGTCTTCAATTTCTTAAAAATATTGTTTTTCATAATAAATAATTAGAAATTGTAAAATATTAGCTAATTTTTGTATTATAAGAAATATTTTTTAATTGTATATAATTAAAAATAAAATTAATTTTTACTACAGAAAAATAATGGGATTAGACAATAAGTGCAACAGTAACTGCGGGTGTTCTACAAATAAATTTAACCCTATTTGTGGAGTAGATGGCGTTACTTACTACTCACCTTGTCACGCAGGTTGCGATCGGGAAATCCAAGCTGAAGATGTCAAGGTATCAAAACCTCAAAAAATTTCCAACATTGCCGCCATAATTTAATTATATTAAAAAATTAAATTAGCTACATTTAAAAAAAAAAAAAAAAAAAAAAAAAAAAAAAAATTGACATGTAGAAAATTAAAAAAAATTCTAAATGTAATTTTTTAAAAATATTTTACTTACAATTTTAATTGATTAAAAAAATTTCTAGGTTTATCAGAATTGTTCATGTATCAGCAGCCATACTTCAAACTGGACTATGTCAAATGGCGAAACAGTATCTTATGAAGCTATAAACACAACCTGCACCAGCAAATGTAAATATTTGTGGTTATTTATCTGTCTGGCATTCTGTAACATGCTTATGACCTTCTTGTGCACGATGCCAGCGCTAGCTGCGACATTAAGAGTCGTCAGAGACGAGCAGCGGTCTTTTGCTCTGGGTATCCAGTGGATTAAGGTTAGAATTCTCGGCACGATTCCAGCGCCAATAATCTTCGGAGCTCTGATAGACGATACTTGCATTTTGTGGCACGAAACTTGCGAGGGTCGAGGCGCGTGTCTGGTCTACGACAATTATTGGATGAGCTGGTGAGTAAAATTTACAAATTAATATTGTATTTTATTAAAACAGTATTTAAATAAATAAATTTCCTTAAGGTACATGCTAGCGCTGGCTTTTATCGGTAAAACAGCTTCCTTACTATTCTTCTTCCTGGCTTGGTGGTGTTACATCCCCCCTGGCGGTAGGAAGACTACTTCAGACCCAGACTCAGCGCCCGTGGCGACCATTTTGTCCGACGGGCCCAACGGGAACTACACCGGGACTGAGAATTCCCCGAGTATTTAATAAAAACCTTAGATAGACATTTTGTACCATTTCTTCTTTTATTATTTAAGTATTCTGTTGGTAATTTTGGCTCACAACACTGCCAAGACTGAAAAAAGTAATTTGTTTTATTCGATAAATTTTATTTTTACATTTAATCGGTAAATTATTGTATCAAATAAGGTTATAATAATGAGTGGATGGATGTTGAGTATTTATTGTATTTGATATTTTAAATATTTTTAAGACGTTTGTACCCGTACTTTAGAGTTTATTATCTAAATAATTAATAAAATAGAGTAGGTTTAATGTATTAGTATGATAATATAATATACGTAAGGCTTTATTATTATCACTTTGATAGTTAAATAAAAATTCATTCGCTGATCAATTCTGCGAAACAATGACAAGTTAGAGTAGTTTTTAATTTAATAGACTATTTTATTGGTATAAATAATGGCAACATTGTAAGTTATCTATTAAAAATTGAATCCTATAGTATTATACTACCCAGTATTAATGCTAATACGCAGCAAGATGAACTGTTTATCTTATAGTCACCAACGTATTTCTGAGTTGTGATTCACTCTTTTTATCACTGGTGGTGATAAAGCATTGTGCTAAAACATTCGCAAGTTGGCAATTGAGCAGTCAAGATTTAAATTAATACATTAATATTTTGCGTTTTTTTAAGACAGAGTGTAAGAAATTCACATTGAGGTGAATAATTCTGGTGAGTAAAATTAAGAACAAGACTGAGCGATTCAGTTCTTAGAAAAAAATCAGCATTTCAGTTTCTGATTAATAACTACTCTTAATTTCCAGGTGGAAATTCCTTGACTCAGTAAGTTATCTGTAAAATCTAACTATGGATTTCCTTTCCTGGGCAACCAATTCCATCCCGGTGGTCGGTCATGTCAAGGGAATCGTCCATTATGCAGTCGGAGACACTAAGGGCGGACACCAAGCTATGTTCCAAGCCACCAGAACTGCAGCAGTTGTAGGGGCTGGTACTGCTGGAGCTCTTGCTGGTCCAGCAGGAACTTTATATTTTGGTTCAGTTGCTCAGGTAATGTCCGACAGTGTTGGTACTATGATTCTGGATGAGCCCCAAGGAGTAAATTGGGCTTGTTCGGAAATCGTGAATCAGAAGTGATATAGACGTGAGAGAGAAGAAAGGAAACAACAAAAACGACGTGCTAGACAATAATATATGTAGTATTGATGAGAAAGTTATAATACGTAGTCAATAAAAATTAGTTTTGACAATATATACACCAGGGATGCAAAATATTTCATTTAAAAATTTTTCATTCTTCCTTTAAATTGAAATCAATTATAATTTGTTAAATGATTACTTGATTTTATTTTTATTGATAATGTTTTTTTCAAGTCAGTCATTTTTTTTTTTTTTTTTTATCATAAAAATATTATTAACAATATGCAATCAATAGAATTATTTTTGAAAATATATATATATATATATATATATATTTATTTAATGGGTATAAATGGCAACATTGTTATACTTATTTATTTAATATTGGATACTTCACTTCTATGCAGTAGTACCAATACGCAGCAAAACGGGAACGAAGCTATGTCCCAAGCCACCAGAATTGTAGCAGTTGTAGGGGCTGGTGCTGCTGCATCTCTTGCTGGTCTAGCAGGAATTGTAGCATCTACTGCTACGAATGCTCAGGTAATTTCAGACAGTATTGGTGCTGTGGTTTTGAATGAGCCTCAAGGAGTTAACATGGCTTGTCGGACTGTCGTGGAACAGAAGCCATAGGGGTGAGAAAAAAAAATGGAACAACAGGCGCGGCAGGCTAGAGAACTTCAGGAACAACGTGTGCCAGAGAAGAAAGGGAACAACAAGAACGACGTACTAGAGAATAATAATATGTAGTAATGATGATAGAGAAATAATCTGTAGTCAATAAACATTAGTTTTGACAATATATATATATATACCAGGGTTACAAAATATTTAATTTGAAAATATTTCAATCTTTCTTTAAATTAAAATTAACTTAGTTCTATACCCTATATTGTTTCCTCTATTAAATAGTTAAATAAAAACTTATTCGCTGATCAATTCTGCGAAATATTGCCAAGTTAGAGTAGTTTTAATTTAATATATAGCCTATTTTATTGGTATACATAATAACAAACATCGGAAGTTATCTGTTGAATATTGAATACTACGACGCAGTAGCGTCAATAGTCAGCAGAAATTATTTATACGTTCAAGGTTAGTTTATCTTATACTCACTACATATATTTCTAAGTTGTTTCACTTTTTTTATCACCATAGTGTAGTATTATCGTGCTAAAGCATTCGCAACTCGGCAGTTGAGCAGTCGAGATTTAAAATAATATATAAATATTTTGTATTCTTTAAGACAGTGTGTAACAGAATTTACATTAAAGTGAATAATTCCGGTAAGTAAAATTAAGAAAAACCAAAATTTTATTTCTTCCTTTTTATAATCTTCTCAAGGTTATTTTAATATCAAAATTTACTTATCGCTGATAAAAGCCGTTTAAAAATTTTATTTCTAACCTATTTCGTGCCAAAACTATGTGAAACTTAAATTCTATTGTTAATGCTCAAAATAATGCGCGCAAGCGCGCGAATAAATATGCAATTACATATATTTATCATGTGTAACTTAAAAAAAATCATATTGATCAAATCGTATAAAATTCTTGCTATCTAAATCTTAAAACTTTAACTTTTATCCTTCAACTTTTTATGAAAAACATTATTATCATTGATAATAAATTAACTATATCTGATAAACTTTTTGCAGATGTCTTTGATAAGGAAGTTAGTAGATTGTCTACAAGAAGTGAAGGCTATTGACTACACTGATACTTCTAAAGCTCAAGTGCGTTTAAATAAGAACAAAGCTGAGAACGCGCTAAATTTAATATACCAAATCGGTCTAAAAGAAGAAACCTTCACCACTGAAGAAAAGGGAATCATCGGAAATTTATTAGCTGACACCATAGAATATTTGCAAGTGAACATCGAGAATACCGCCAACGTCTACCGAACAAGACTGAGCAATTCTGTTCTCAGAAAACGATCAGCTGTTCAGTTCCTGCTTGATAACTACTCCCAGTTCCCAGTTGGAAATTCAACTTTGGCTGATAAGTTCCGGGAGGTGAATATTGAAGAAAGCGTCGAGATACTCGACGATATTATTGACAAGTGGCATGATATGACTGATTCTGACGAGGATTCGAGTGACAGAGAAAGCGCTGGTGCAAACGAAGTACCAGAATCCCATACCTGGTGGTCGCTATAAAAGGTATCTACAATCTAAATATGAATTTCCTTTCCAATGTAGTCGATTCCATCCCGGTGGTTGGCCATGTCAAGGGAATCGTCCATTATGCAGTTGGAGATTGTGAAGGCGGGAACAAAGCTATGTATCAAGCCACTAGAACTTCGGTAGTTTTGGGAGCTGGTGCTGCTGGATCTCTTGCTGGTCCGGCAGGAGCTGTAGCAGCTGCTATGTATGCTGGTGCTGTTACAGACACTGTTGCTTCTATAACCCTGGAAGAGCCTCAAGGAATAGTAAAAGGGTGCAAGAATATAGCAGATGATGTGAAAGGAGGGAAAAATCCGATGGGTTCGATAGCAAGTACAGGGTTCCAAGTGGCAATGGATGGGGTGGGTGGTTTAGGAATGGGTGGTGTTTCTAGCGCGACAAGTCAACTTTCAAAGAAAGCTGTAGAGACAGGTACGAAAAATATAGCGAAGAAGGTAGTTGAAAAGGCAGTGGTTCAAGCGGAGATCGCTTTGGTGTCGAGTCATGTTTACATGCAAGCTGATAATCGTACTAAAGATGAAGAAAAAGAACAGCGTGATAGAGAGGAACGTGATAGAGAAGAAAGGGAACGACAAGAACGACGTGCTAGGGAACAGCAGGAACAACGTGCTAGAGAAGAAAGGGAACAACAAGAACGACGTGCTAGAGAACAACAGGAACAGCGCGCTAGAGAAGAAAGAGAACAACAGCAAGGTTCTGATATTCCTGAAAGAAACTCTGGATCTACACAACCTCCACGAAGAAATAGAGGTAATAGAAGACGATCTAGAAATGATGAACCTGGCTATTTTGCTATTTTCAAGAATTTATTGAAAGAACTATTGAATGATATCTTCGGTGTGGAAAGACCATATACAAGATCAAGAGCCTACATTTCTCAAATTTTTCAAAATCTGTCACAAGGACAAATTAATTATTTGTCAGACATAATCGAAAGATTATATAACGGTGGAATCTTAGACGAAGTACTGAGATTAGTAATTAGAATGTTCTCAGAACATTTCCCTGAAGATATATCACTCTTAAATTTCCAAAGTTTGATGGAATTTGTTGCGGTTTACGTTCAAGAAGAAATAGAGTACCGAACTGAGGTTTACAGATCCGTCGAGATGATATGGAGAGAAAATGATAGGTCTGTTGTGAAGATGGCTGCTAAGGACCTCAAAGAAACAATTGTTTCAACTATCATAAACTTGGCTGATATTGTCAGAATGATTGTCGATATTTTTGAGAATCTAAAATCGGGCATCGAGTCTGAACCGGCGGCTAATAATTTGTACCCGAACTTTCGAGACATATTCGCGGCAGTTTATCATTACTTTAAGCACCGAAACGTTCCTGGCGACGGAATTCTGACGATTGGAGAGTACTACGAATGGATAAGAAGAGTTTTGGAAGAACTTGGAGGACAACAACGATACAGAGATTTGGTGGAAGCGCAGACTGCCGGAGATGTGAGAGCAAATGTTAGGTTTGAGATGTATGTTGTTGTATTTGGCAGACGTATCAGGATTGTTGTTAAATTTGAGGGTGATACAATTATATTAGCATCTTGTTTTGTTCGCGATGCCACGTTCGATGATGATGAAGAAGGAATGGTATGGATAGTCATTCGTCGTTTTTGAAAAATTGTTTTGGAAATATCCGTAGAAATTTATGAAGTAATATGTAATCAATAAAAACTCATTGCGACAATATATTCACCAATATTGCATAATATTTCATTAAAAAATTTTGTATCTTTTGTTTAAATAAAAATGAGTCACAGTTATTCATTAAATTATCAATTTTTTTCATTGTTCGTATCCTATCTCTGAGTTCTTGAATGATAACTTTCAATTTTTGGGACCCCGCTGGTCTATTCTTAGTATATTAACAAATTACTAACATTATCACTTATCACATTTAATTGACTAAAATTAACTTTTAATATGAGAATTTTTCGGATCTTTTAACAAATAAATCATTATATATAGGGAATTTATCAAAAAATCCTACTTGCAGAAATTAAAAAGAAATATTGATGCAATTTTTTTTCAAATATTAATATTTGTTTTTTATCTCAAACTAATGAAATAAAGTCATATTAATTAAAAAAAAATCTCTAAATATGCATTTTGTAATTTTTAAACGAATAACATCTATGTTAAACAAGTTTTTATTAGCTATTCGTCTTCATCTATGTATTTATGTATGTAACAGAATCTTTAAACTCGATTTTCGACCACTTCAAAACGTTGGATTACATCAAATCTTTACACACTTATCAAGGACCGATGACAATACAATAATTTGATAAGTTTATCTCATATATCCTGACCAGGATCTTCAGGATTACCGGTTTCTTCATCCAAAGACACGGCAGTGCGTGCGCCAAGTACTAAGGCGTGTACTAACACATGCATGTTAGGTAAATCTTTGAGACAAGTATGTGACTAAGGTTACGATCAAATAGGGATGCTTTGTAAATTTTACAATTAAAAAAATTATACTTTGAGAAAGTAAAATACACGCTTTAATCGTCAATCGAACTAAAAAGTAAAAAATAATTTTCAATGAGTTTATAATCAGAATGATAATTAAAAAAACAATTGATTTTATCGTAATAAAAGAGCAGTTTTTTTTTTTTTTATATATATATATATATATATATTATGTCATCAGTTGTACGTAATATCTAAGTCGTTTCCGCGATATCATAAATGTCATACTTCGGTATATGATATCAAAATTATATCCAAAATTCTTACATCATAATTGGATCGCAAGGGAGATCAATTTAACGTCAGATTTATGTAAAATATTGTAACATTCCTATTTCACGCGAAATGACATAATATTACAGTCATGTGTTCACATCAGTGATATTATATATTAATCAAATCTAGGAAAGAAAAATCTTCCCAGAACAAGTAGTCACTATTGATAAAAGCAATTTTTTTTCCCGCTCAAATCACATTATTTTGCTGTGTGTTGACAATATCGTGGATAATCAGAATGGAATTAAGCAATAACATTTTAAAAAAAATCGAGTTATTATGATGAACTTATTTAGTATCATAAGATCACTTAGTTTATCATAATAACACGATTTTTTTAAAAATTTTGGTTAAGACGTTATTGCTCATCGTTATTGACATCTATTAAAGACTGATAACTGAAGAGCTTCAACGTTTTTACACATTTAGATAAGGTTTTCTATCTTATCGAAGCACATTTTTGTTTGTTTATACTTTATTCAAAGCAATTGTTGCAAGGCGCTTGCAATTGCAGCTTGACTCTTCTCTCGAAATTCAACCCAACAAGTCTACGTTTACTTATACCTTATTAGCTTACTGCGTATTAAATTGAATTGATTGGAACAGTGTGGAATAATTTGAATAAAGGTGACGATTGTTGGTAAGTTCGATCCACAAAACTAATATTTATAATCACTGATAAAAAATTAACTTGAAAATTATTTCGAATCAAGTAAAAAACTTTTGAAACAAAGAAATTTTTTTTGATTTGAGTAAATTTTACTTCATTCAATAATATTTTCTTTTAATTCAAGAAAATTAAATTTTTTTTAAATTACTTTTCTGACGATATTTTTTCTCATTATCAAATCAATTTGTTTCCTATCAAGTTAATTGTTTTTCCAGTATTCTCAGTACTTATTCAAATTATATTAAATTGGCAAGATCAGTACCCGGGCAATCAATTTAAACTTTTTTTTTAAGGTATATTTCATAAAAATTTAACTATTTTTTATTCTCATGGCAATTTATTACACAATTTGACCGTAAAATTTCTTCCTAATTACCTAAATAGGTTTCAAAAATACGGATAGTTAAATAATCAATACGTGCATTGGAAAATAATTAATTTTATTAAAAAAGAAAAGTTGTTGAATTAAAAAATATTTTTTGGTTTAATTAAGTTTTTCTTGATGCCCAGATATAGAGTATATTATTATTATTATTATTAGTTTCAATCAATTAATCATGGTACGATTAAATTGGCTCCACATATATTTCATCTCAATTTTATATTAAGATTTTATCTTATTGTTATAATGGGATTACAGAATTTTTATTCTTGAATCAAGTTAAATTTTTTTTCAGTGTAACTGTATTATAACTAGTTTTGTCATAAAAATATCGCCTGCATATATAGTTTTAAATAAATTTTTGTAAAACTTGTTACAGTTATTCTTTGGGCGATTACCTGGAACGAATTCAAAAAAACGCTCAATTAGTTTTTAATTACATTTTTGGCCATATAACACCACGAAATTTCCCGAAATGGCAACTGAATATTGTAAAAAGATTTCCGTACGTAAAAAATTTTATTTATCGTGTATAACTTTTAAAATAACTGCATCTATCTTAGTATATACAATATATGATTCACGGATATCGGTATCTCATAAATTTTTCTAATTGTTAAGATGCTTGCTATGAAACATCACTTTATTATCATTGATAATCCATTAAGGACAATCATACTATCTTATAAATTTTTTGTAGGCGTTTCCGCATAAATATGAGGGAGCTGGTATAGGATCAAAATGTCCATCACAGATTTTATACGCGAGAAATTGTTGGTCAGAAAAAATTGAACCAAAAAAAGATCAGCGAGTGTCAGAGGAATCGTCAAGTTCAAACAAGATCCTATCAAAGGAGGATCCACTAATTGTCGAGTTAGCAAAGTGTCTGAAAGGTATTAAATCAATAATAAATCGGCAAAATCAGAGAAAAAAGGACTATCGAGAACAGGAAAAAAAGTATCTGGAAAATTTTAAATCATTAGATAAAGATGGAAAAAAGAAGGAGCTGAAAAAATACTTAGATAAATTGAAATTAAAGAAAAATCTAAAACTAGATGAGATAATATCAATAAAGTCTGTACTGGTGCAGACAATCAAGGAAGATGATAAAGAAAATGTGAATGATTATTTATCTGAACTGATATCGAATGACTATTCTAAAACTGTCAAGAGTCAACAGAATTCAGATCGCAGAAAAGCTGAGAATGTGATAAATTTAATTTGCCAAATCGGTTTTAAGAAAGTAAACTTCAGCACAGAAGAAGGTAAGAGAATCATCGGAAATTTATTAGCTGACACCTTAGATTATTTGCTAATTGATATCCGATCCACGTATATCATCTTTCGAACTAGAATGAACAGTGAATCTGTTTTCCAAAAAAGATCAGCTCTTCAGTTCCTGATTGATAACTACTCCAAGTTTCCAGCTGGGAATTCAACTTTGGAAGATAAGTTCCAGAAAGTAAATTTTAAAAAAAGCGTCGGGACCCTCGACAATATTATTAACGATTGGAATAATGTGACTGATTCTGACGAAGACTCACTTGACGGAGAAAGCTTTGTTGATAAGTTAGTACCAAAATCCCATAACTGGTGGTGGAAGTGAATTCATTTTTTTTTTTTTTTTTTTTTTTTTTTTTTAAGGAACTTAGATACGTGGGACTTGCATCCCTCCTCTAATAGACTATTTACAGTACATTTACATCCTCAGCGGCTGTGGCTGATTTACAATCTGCACCCGCATTTGCCTGTGCCCCGCCCCTTAGCACAGTGACCAAGGAAACCACAGAAACCTGCCAGGGCTCGAACCCACGCCTGAGCGACTGTTGTACGGGCAGTTTAAGACTCGAACCGCTCGGCCACGCGGTCGCTTTTTTAAGTAAATTCATTTAAATGTCATTTAATTTTGGTTGGAAGGCTTAAATATAATTGGTGAAGAAGAAGAAGAAGAAGAAGAAGAAACGAAATATAATAATAAATAATGGATATTTTAAGCAAGTTACTTGAAGAGATTTGTAATTCTATGTCGGGCGATGAAAGACCATTGGAGGACAACAAAAAGGTCTTAATTTTAAAAATAGCGAAAAACATGTCCGAAAAACAAATTAGTTACTGGCAAAAAAAATACAGAATACTGCAAAGTAAAAATAATTCAAAGGACGTCTTAACGATAGTGATGAAAATGTTTTCACGTTTGCCGGATGACAGCATTTTGTTCGAAAATTTCTTAAGTTTAATAGAATTCGTTGTAGTTGACGTCGAAAAAGAAATATCAAACGGTGGGAAAGACGTCCTCTTGGAATTACGAAAAACAGATAATATCGACGAGGAAAATATTAAAGCTATGTCTTGTGCCGATATTTTAAATAATAAAAATATTGGTGAAGACATTGTCAACAATTTTAATAAAATAAAAGATGAAATTGAGAAAATATCAACGAAAAAACAATTGCAGTTATTTCCTGATTTTAGAAATTCTTTTTGCGCAGTGTCGCATTATTACAAACACCGATTTTATCTTAATTCTGACAATAAAAAATTTCTGACGGTCAGAGGATATTACAAGCTGATAATTACAGGCCTGAATATCCTTAAACAAGACGCTACTTATAAGGAGCTGTTGAAGAAACAAGAACATTCCAACGTAAACGTTATAGCAAGCATTGTTATGTATGTAAATTCATACGAAAAATGGTGCCAGGTCATAATGGAATTTCAACTCAAATCTCTCATGCTAAAGACGTGCTTTTTTCCATCAAGAGTACCTTCCAACCAGCATAAGGACAAAAAGACCAAAGTAGAGTTCATATATCCCCACGATTTCTTTAACATTTGATAAATAAAAATAATGTTAAAAATATGTAATTAATAGAATTAATTTCGAAAATATATATATTTACTTTACTTTACTTTAATAAGTCAAACTTATACAATTTTTATTTTTTGAAATAACAAACCAAAGAAGAACATAAATATAATTAAAGATTACTATCTAGCAATGGGCTTTTTTTTTAGTTTAAAAGTAGCGCCGAGACAAAGATGGTCGCTGCCAACAACAAAGTTCGGAATATTTGGCAATGATTCGCAATCCCTGACGGTAGGTAGAAGATACTGACTTGTCAGCTCTACATCGTTATAAAAAATGTAATCGACGGTTATCCACTCGCCTTGGTTCGTCGTTGCTTCCATCTCTCCTCGCTGGTTCCGGTGTTTGTATACGCTGTTTAATTTTAGTGAGTGTTGCAATGCTCCAGATGAAAAATGGGCGAACTGGCCGTCTACTACTTTTACTTTCTGATAGTCCAGGCTTTCCAAGTCTACTTCATTTGTACAATCATTGCAATCTCTTACACGCCTATTTGGATCTTCATTTCGATACAGCTAAAACAAATAAATAATAATCATCAAATAATGTCTTAAAAATTTATCTATTATTTCTACTTCAAGTTAATAATAATAATAATAATAATAAAAATTACCATTATTTTTTCATCACCATAACCACGAAGTCTTTTAGTCAATACATTAAAATGTTGACAATTATCAGTAATAAGTAATGAAGAAGGTATTAATGAATTAGACAAACGTCTAAATCCATTTTCATTTAAAGAACGTCCTTTTCCAATATAATTAAAAGACCCTTCGGTAATGAATTTATAAACTCCAGTAAATGGTTGAAGATTAAAATCACCACAGACAATTATTGGATGATATTCTGGACCATTTCTGTAATTAAAAAAATGAATTCAATTACTATTAATTAATTATGAGATAAATTAAAAAATACATACACAGTGTTTCTGATAAAGGCAATCCTGTCAACCTCAGCGAACAAAATCTGCGTCTGCGCCAATCTAACATCATTCCTCTTGGGATTGTAGAGAAGATGAGTGGTAGAAATGACGACACAAGAATCAGGGCTTTCCGTGAGAGAGAATTTAACGACAATACCAACATTGTCGCGATTGAGGATATCTTCACTTGTTTGATGGTACTCTACGTAGACGTAGTCTTCCAATTTGAACAAACTCGGCTGGTACAGGAGCAGCAGCCCGTCTCGGGTGTCATTTGTGCGTTTTTTGTACAAAAAATCGAATCCTTGTTCCAGAAACGGTACCAGGAATTCTTCTAAATGCTCCATTTGCATTTCTTGTATGCATATCACCTTTAAAAATAATTAATTTTTTTTTTTTTTTTTTTTTTTTTTTTTTTTTTTTTTTTTTAATTAAAAATGTCGAATATATTCTATCTCTAAATACATAATTAAGAAATGTCATTGTATCTTGTGAACTATTGACATTTTTAAAGATATAAGCTCATCCCGATGTTACACTCATCGAGACCTTTCATTTGAGTACCCACATCAATTTTTCATATATTTCATATATATTACATATATGTATATATGAAAAATATATCAAAAATGCATGTGGGTACTCAAATGAAAGCTCTTGATAATTATAACACCGGGATGAGCTTATATCTTTAAAAACGTCAATATTTAAGAAAGTACAGCGCAATTTAACAAAATTAATTACTTAATAAAGCAAAATTTTATTTATTTATAGATCATAAGTCACGGAAGTCGCCTAGTGACTGCAAGGTTGCTAGTTAATACTAAAAAAAAAAATAATTTTTTTAAGAACTTACATTAGCTTCTGATTCAAGTATCTCTTTTTGAACTAATAGCTTCCTTACATCCCATTTTAGTGCAACTTTATGATGATTTTCATATAAATAATTATGAGATTCTAATAAATTTTGTGCGAGGATATTAAAGGACAATATTTTGAATGAAAATTCTGTCTCTGAATTTATTGACTCTGACTCTGTAACAATTAATGTTTTTTTTTTTTTTTTTTTTTTTTTTTTAATTAAAGAAGACTACTTAAAATTGAATAAAAATTTTAAGTTAAAAAAATTACCTAAAGAAACAAATTTCCAGGGTCGCAATTCTTTGTACCTTTTGTGCGTCATACCATAGCGAAATTTATGTGGTAACTTTCGGAAATCCTCCATCATATCTTGGCTGCTCTCCTTCGGAATTTCAGCTGATGCTTCAGGTACTGGACAAGTATTCTCGCCTTCAATTACAACTTGATCATGAGAGTCCATTTTTACACGGTTTTTATTAGTTTTATTATAATTAGCCTTAAACTTATTCTCTTTACCGTCGTTCAATAAATTACTATTATTATTATTACTATAACTATAATTGTGGTTGCAGGTCGAATAGTTGGGGGCTTCAACTCCTGATAAACATCTACGTCTGCTAACAAACTGTCGCAGTGATAAATCTGTCATAAATATCTACAACAAATAAATAAATTAATTAATTAATATCAGGGTTGTTATCGTTAAATTGTAAATTAATTTTATTAATTAAGAAATAGATAAGATTTTATGATAAGATTTTTTATACAAGGTTCATTATATTAATTATTTAGGTAAGTGAAAATTTTAAAATTTATGACTGCAATTTTTAAAAAATATTTCTTGAGTTTTAATTTAATTAATTAAAAAATTTTAATAAATTAAGACATTAATTTGTGAGAATATTGGATTTTTTCTTAATAAAAAAATTTGACATTTAGAAAATTAAAAAATTTATCAATTAAATTTTTGTAAATATTTTTTTAGTCAATTTAATTAATTAAAAAAAAAAAAAAAAAAAAAAATTAATAATTTAAAAGATTTGTCAATTTTTTTTTTTTTATAAAAAATTTTGACATGTCAAAAATTGATAAGTGTAATTTTTTAAAAATATTTAATCAATTAAAAAACATCAGTCAATTTTTTGTATTATTATAATTAAATAATTATGAAAAAATTTTAATAAAATAATATTAAAATTAATAAAGCATATTGTTTAATAATTTTAAGAATTTTATAACAAATAAATTATGGCAAAAAAAAAATTAACATGTAAAAATTAAAAAAAAAAAATGCAATTTTTTAGAATAAATTTTTTTGTTAAATAAAATTAAAATTGTCAAGTGACTGCTAACTTTAATGTCATTAAAAAAATTCTAAATTAATAAGTAAAAAAAATGTTTTTTTTAATAAAAATTAATAAATTTGTCAACTATCAGCTGATTTTAATATCATAAAATATGAAACTAAGTAAAAAATTTTTATTTATTGAATTAGCAATAAAAAAATATTTTTAAAAAATTGCACGTAAAGTTTTTTAAATTTTTTACATGTGCAATTATTTTTTTTCAATAATTTTATTTTCATCATAAAATTTTCATGAAAAATAAAAATAAAAAATTGACATTTAAAATTTTAATAAATACTAATTAAATAAAATTAATTACCTTGGATTGTTGATGAGCATTACGATATAAAAAATTATAAAATGTTAAATTAATGAAAAGTTTTGTCGGTATCATTTAATCCAAAAAAATAGCGCACTTTTTTTATTACTGTTATTGTTTTTAAAATAATAATTAAAAAAAATAAATCCTTGACAGCTGATTAAGTCATAATAATAAAGTGAACAATAAATATTTTAATTAAAATAATTAATACCTCGGTTAAATAAAGACAATTGTTATTATTTTGTACTAGTGTCTGGTTTTAAAATTTTAGGTTAGATTCGTTTTTAATGCCAAGTCACAATTGGCATTTTTATTAAATAATTAAATAAATTACCGGAGGATAATTTTAGTTTGCAAAAAAATGTTTATGTGACAGTGAGTGATAATAATGAAAATTAAAAAACAGTTGAGTGTAATTGTTATATATAAGTTGTTTGTTAACAAATAATATGAGTGTCTGGGAGAAAAGATTTAAGTTTACTGAATATATACAACTTGATCATGAGAGTCCATTTTTACACGGTTTTTATTAGTTTTATTATAATTAGCCTTAAACTTATTCTCTTTACCGTCGTTCAATAAATTACTATTATTATTATTACTATAACTATAATTGTGGTTGCAGGTCGAATAGTTGGGGGCTTCAACTCCTGATAAACATCTACGTCTGCTAACAAACTGTCGCAGTGATAAATCTGTCATAAATATCTACAACAAATAAATAAATTAATTAATTAATATCAGGGTTGTTATCGTTAAATTGTAAATTAATTTTATTAATTAAGAAATAGATAAGATTTTATGATAAGATTTTTTATACAAGGTTCATTATATTAATTATTTAGGTAAGTGAAAATTTTAAAATTTATGACTGCAATTTTTAAAAAATATTTCTTGAGTTTTAATTTAATTAATTAAAAAATTTTAATAAATTAAGACATTAATTTGTGAGAATATTGGATTTTTTCTTAATAAAAAAATTTGACATTTAGAAAATTAAAAAATTTATCAATTAAATTTTTGTAAATATTTTTTTAGTCAATTTAATTAATTAAAAAAAAAAAAAAAAAAAAATTAATAATTTAAAAGATTTGTCAATTTTTTTTTTTTTATAAAAAATTTTGACATGTCAAAAATTGATAAGTGTAATTTTTTAAAAATATTTAATCAATTAAAAAACATCAGTCAATTTTTTGTATTATTATAATTAAATAATTATGAAAAAATTTTAATAAAATAATATTAAAATTAATAAAGCATATTGTTTAATAATTTTAAGAATTTTATAACAAATAAATTATGGCAAAAAAAAAATTAACATGTAAAAATTAAAAAAAAAAAATGCAATTTTTTAGAATAAATTTTTTTGTTAAATAAAATTAAAATTGTCAAGTGACTGCTAACTTTAATGTCATTAAAAAAATTCTAAATTAATAAGTAAAAAAAATGTTTTTTTTAATAAAAATTAATAAATTTGTCAACTATCAGCTGATTTTAATATCATAAAATATGAAACTAAGTAAAAAATTTTTATTTATTGAATTAGCAATAAAAAAATATTTTTAAAAAATTGCACGTAAAGTTTTTTAAATTTTTTACATGTGCAATTATTTTTTTTCAATAATTTTATTTTCATCATAAAATTTTCATGAAAAATAAAAATAAAAAATTGACATTTAAAATTTTAATAAATACTAATTAAATAAAATTAATTACCTTGGATTGTTGATGAGCATTACGATATAAAAAATTATAAAATGTTAAATTAATGAAAAGTTTTGTCGGTATCATTTAATCCAAAAAAATAGCGCACTTTTTTTATTACTGTTATTGTTTTTAAAATAATAATTAAAAAAAATAAATCCTTGACAGCTGATTAAGTCATAATAATAAAGTGAACAATAAATATTTTAATTAAAATAATTAATACCTCGGTTAAATAAAGACAATTGTTATTATTTTGTACTAGTGTCTGGTTTTAAAATTTTAGGTTAGATTCGTTTTTAATGCCAAGTCACAATTGGCATTTTTATTAAATAATTAAATAAATTACCGGAGGATAATTTTAGTTTGCAAAAAAATGTTTATGTGACAGTGAGTGATAATAATGAAAATTAAAAAACAGTTGAGTGTAATTGTTATATATAAGTTGTTTGTTAACAAATAATATGAGTGTCTGGGAGAAAAGATTTAAGTTTACTGAATATATAAGAATAAATATAAAAGTTACACGAGTGTCATTTTATCTTGGTTATAAATAATATTTTTTTTTTTTGTAATAATAAGAATAATAATGAAAAAATTCCTTTTTATTTATTCTCAGAAATATTTTTCTTAAACATATTTTTACCTACGGTTAAAGGTTACTATGCTTACAATTGAATAAATATATCATATATATTCTGTAGTATATATTTATATCACATATCACACATGTCTATTCAAAATATATGCGCACTATATACAAATAATATTTTTTTTTTTATCGATAAAAAAGGTCGCGGTAATTTTATTTTATTTATTTGACAATTTACAAATGCTGAAATTATTTTTAACAATAAAAAATTTATTATTATTAATGAAAATTAATTTAGCAGATATTTAATAATTTTTATAACTTTTTGTTAATAAATAAATAAGAAAACAAAATTGACAGAAATTTTAAAAAATTGAAAATGCAATTTTTTAAAAATAATTTATTTGTTAAATGAAATTAAAAATTGAGCTAACTTTATTAATGACATTTATTATTAATGATATTAAAGTTGTCACTTGACAATTTTTTAAATTTTATTCAATAAAAAGATTTATTCAAAAAAATTATTTTTAAAAAATTGCATTTTTTATTTTTTATTAAATTTTTAGATGTCAATTTTTTTTTTTGCGATAATTGGTTTGTTATAAAATTTTTAAAATTATTAAATATGTGCTACGTTAATTTTCATTTATTATTATTATTATTATTATTATTAATGCTGAAATTTAATTTTATTTAACGAAAAAATTGGATTTAAAATTTTTAGAATTTTTCTCATTATAATTTAATTCTTATAAAAATTTTTATTATTATTATTGTGAAAAAAATTTATTTACAAAGGCACTAATTATTTTAAAATTACATTAAAATTAACAGACACCTGAAAATTTTTTTATTTTAATTAAAAAAACAAAATAAGTAAATTTTTATTTAAAAAAAATTAATTAATTAGGTTTAAAAAGTTAAAAAATAATCACATGTCTGTAAATTTCAATATCGTGAATTTAAAATACATATTAAAGATGATTTTGATTTTTTTATTTTATCTAGATTTAATTGTACTGGCGAATGTGCAAAATTATCTAAAATATTAATTGTCTATAATTTTTTTAAGTCTTTGATATTGACGTAAGAGCATTCTAAGACTTGGACATTTTTTTTTCTATTCATAACAATAATTATAATTTATAAAATAGCAAAAATTGTTAAAGATCGCTATCAAGAAGGCTGAACGCTGCTCCTAAACTCCAGCTTAGTTCATGTCCATTGTATTTTTTATAAAGCTGTAACATAAATAACATTTATCAGTTTATTTTTTTTTTTTTTTTTATTTTTAAAATATTTTTCAACTTTTATCAATATACTTACGTTTAATTTAGTAGTATGATCAAGACCAAACGCATCATGTAGTAATACATAAATAAACGTCATATCCAGGCACATAAATGGCTGATCAGTATTAGGATAATTACAAATTTCAACAAGTTTTTTATGGAAGGATTGAAGTGTAATTACACCTCCTGTAAATGGATCTATTAATCCTGCCTGTAAAAAAATTAATTATTCATATTAAAATTAATGATTTTTTTCAATAAAAAATTAAAACAAATTTTTGATTCAATTTTTTTTTAATAAAAAAAATCAAAATAAATTTTTCAATAAAAATACTTCTAAGATTTTTATTAAACATTAACTTGTTAAACTCTTATTAAAATAACTAAAAAATTTCCAAAAATTAAATAAGATTAATTCAATAAAATTCTAAAAAAATGCTAATGTTTTTTTTTTTCCTTTTTTCTCTTGAAACTTATTTTAATTAAAAAAAAAAAAAATCAATTCTAATAAATTAATAAATATAATTTTTGAATTATAAATTTTAAGATAATATTTTTTTTTCGAACACTTATTTTTTCAATTAGAATAAAATTGTATCAATAACTAGGTCTTTTACCTTATTTTTTATTTAATTTTAATGCAAAGGCACAAGCCAAATGGCAAACTTAATACATATTAAATTATTAAATTAAGATAAAATTCATGGATAATTTATAATAGCTAGTAATTTATCAAAAGTATTACACAAGAATATTAAATAATTATTTAACACTTATCCAAGTTAAATTAAAGTTTAAAAATTTGAGACTGTAAAAGAAATTGATTTTTATTTTATATAAGCTTACTGACTTTCCACTTATCCTAAGGTAAAAGACCCAGTTATTGACACTTGCAATTTTATTTTAATTGAATAAAACAAATTAATAAATATAATTTTTTAACTATAAATTTTAAGATAATTGGTTTTTTGAGAACATTTTATTTGTTTAATTAAAATAAAATTGCAAGTGTCAATAACTGGGTCTTTTACCTTATAAAAAAAAATTACCTCAGTAGCTCTGTCATAATAATAAGACACTGCATAAATATTATGCTTGGCCAATCCCACAGGTTTCTCGTCAATAGTATCAATATAATTTTTAACAACCTTGATACACTCATTGACTCTAACAACAGGCCTGTCTTCTTCAGTGACAGCGCCATTCCACCCCTTGACCTTCTTGTGAGTCCCATTAACGGGTCCCTTGACGAGATAATTAACACCTGCGTAGTTCCACTTAGCAGAGACAATTGGATTAACGCACTCGGACCTGACAAGAACCTCCTGAACCTTCGGAGCTTGATCCTTGTCTTCTTGATGATGACCAAAGCCAGTGAGGACTCCCTTCCTGGCAGCCATGAGTCCCATGCCAAGATAACTATAAGTATAAAGGGTCATATTGCGATTGAAGGCGTTGATAGTGTAAAAGTGCTTGTCCAGGACTTTAAGGTCTTCCTCGTCCAAAGCGTAGGTGACCTGGGTGGATCCACCGCCCAGGTCTAATACTGCTGCGGTGTTGTCGTTCTTATAACTGGAGAGTTTTCCAGTGAGGAAATTAACAGTGAACCAGGCGAAGATTCCCTCATCAACGCCCTCCATTATCGAGACGGAGTTCTTGGTGGTAAAAAAGCCCGACTGGCTGAAGAACTTCCGGCACTCTTGGATGATATTGTCCGCCTTGGCTCGCGGAAGAAGTCTCAAGCCTGCTGTGGCCTTCATGCTCACCGGAGTGTGAGCCCAAGCGGACTCGGGAATCACCGCTTTGGCCTTGTCCAGGAGAGTCCGCAGTGTCTCGACTCCAGCTTGCGGGTCGTCGGCGAAGCTGCTGAGTCCTGGCTTGACTTCGGCGAACAATTCGCTGTCTAGAACTAGGTCGTTGTTCAGAATAGAGTTGTGGAAGGTGAAGGCTAGCACTCGGCTGCCTGTTGAGCCTGCGTCTATTATCACCACGTACTGCTGCTTGTGCAGGTTCAGGGACGAGGCCAGCCGGTCGATCATGGATGAGCCGAACCGCAGAGGCTCTGAGTTGAAGGATAGGGCTATGTAGAAGAAGAACAGGATGCTCAGGGTGATTATCACTTTTTTTGGACGTATTTTTAGGAAGAAAGAAGGTACTGCTTTCTTCTGGCGCGGTGGTACGTCCTTCGTGTCTCCATTTGATAGCTGGAATATTTAGTTTTTTTTAATATTAACTGTAAGATTATTATAGCTGGTGACTTTAATAACTTTTTTATATTAAAATAATATGAAAATAAATTTAGCAGATATTTAATATTTTTTTTAAATAAATTATGGCAAAAAAAATTCACATGTAGAAATTTTAAAAAATAAAAAATGCAATTTTTTAAAAGTAATTTTTTTCAACAAATTTGTTTGTCAAAAAAAAAAATTAAAAAATTCTCTAGTGTCTGCTAACTTTAATGTCATTAAAATAATACTAAAGTTAGCCGACGATTTTAATAATTAAATTAGAAGAAAAAAATATTTTTTAAAAATTGCACTGATAGTTTTTAAAGTTTTTTACAAGTGAAAATTTTTTAAAAATTTTTTTGCAATTATTTTTTCAATAAAAAAAAATTTTAAAAATCTTGAAATGTCAGCTAACTTCATTTTTATTATTATTTTTTTTTTATTTTTATCAATTTCTACTTTTTTTTTGGTTGCAATTACTAATACATCAATAGTCTACTCATTTAGAAGTCTATCTATTAAATTACTGTTCTATTTATGTTTTATAATTTTTTTTTTTTTTTATACTAACTTCTGTAACTATTAACCCTGTTTTGACATAATTTGTAACAAAAATTTTTTTAAAATTATCAAATATCTGCTAAACTAATTTTCATATTTTTTAAAAATAATTTCTTGGAACTTATTTGTTTTGTTAAATAATAATTTAATTTATTGTTATTTAATAAAAAAATTGTCTTTAAAAAATTATTTGTTTTTTTTTTCTTGAAATTTTTTTTAAAAATTATAAAATTTTTCTGATCTGTCAGTTTGATAAAAAAATCCTAAAAATGATCAAATGTCTTTTTTTTTTTTTAATTATTACACGTGGAATATTAAATAATTTATTTTTAACACTTAATCATGCTAAAAATTAAACCCTACAAACTTAAAATAATAATTAGTAACCAAAATTATATAACTTACACGAGTATAATACATTTATAAAAAATTCACCATTTAACTTTAACTTATTCCATGAATTTTGTAATTTTGATTAATAATTGCTCATTATTTACACTTATAAATAAATAAAATTACCAAACATTAAACGTCATAACCTAAATTAATTAAAAAATAAAATAAAAAATAACTTAGCAGGAGCGCTCTGAAGTTGTTTCTTTAATTTAATTTAAAAAAGAAGCCAACTTCACGTCAAACTTTCTGTCAACTAATATCTATAGTCTGTTTTGATCACGTGGACATAAAAATTGTTAAACAATTTTTATTTAAATAATTAAATAAATAATCTTCATTACATAACTAATTAAAATTCTTTTCTTCTTTTTCATTAAAAAAAAAAAATTTTTTCTTCAAGATTAATAATTAAAAAAATTTCTTTTTTTATAATAATAATTATAAATTATTTATTAAATAAAAAAATTAATATAAAATTTACCTGTCGTCTACGCAACTCCATAGCGAAATTTAATCCAATGAAAAAGATGAGCTTAACTGTCAAATTAAAAATTTCCCGTTATTAAAATTATTTTATTATTTTTATTATAAAGTATTGAATAAAAATTTAAATTTTTATAAAATATTTATCAAGATTGATGGCGACATGATGACACGAGGTCGCACTAAGGAACTACTTATTTAACAAAATTAATGTAATCTGTATAGTACCTAGTGGTAGTTGTTGACTTGAGACTTGACAACTACAGACAGTTTGTAACTTGTTATTGTATACTGTTACTGTACATGAACTTGGACTAGTGTTTAGTTAGCTAATGGTAGGGAGCTCGTGTCATGATATGATGACAATGCATCAATTCATCATTTACCACCAACTAGATAAAAGTTTAAAGTTCTTAGATAAGTTGTAATTTATTTTAAGATTCATAGAAGAAGAAATAATAAATATCTTCCTTATTTATCAATTTAGTATTTTAATTATTAATGATGCAATGAACTTGTAGGAAATTATTTTTATTTTATTTATTAATTATTTATTTGTTAAATAAAAAATATTTTAAATTATTAAATTAAAAATTCTTCTCATTTAAGAAGCTATTAATTCATTTTAATCCTTTAATTTTATTAAGATATATCTTATAATTTTTTTAAAAAATAAATTGTAAAAAAAAAATTATTAGTAACAATTTTAAAAAATAAAAATTACAATTTTTTAAAGAAAATATTTTTAAGAAATTGCACTTAGAAATTTTCAAAAAATTTACAATAAATTTTTTAATAAAAGAAGCTATTTGTTAGATTTATTTTAATCCTTTAATTATATCAAGATATATTTAAATATTTCAAGTGATAAAAATGTAAAAATAGCAACTAATTGTATAAAATTAATAAATGAAGAAATAAATGAATTTAAAACAAAAAAAATCATTAGTATTGCTTTCATTTATTATTAATTTTTTAATTTTTTTGCATTAGTTGATCTTGAGAATAATTATCCAAAATATATGTACATGGATAGCGAAGTAAATTTGTCTGTTATCAGAGCCTTGAAATAAGTCGAGCGAAAATTAGACGGGAAGGAGTAAATCTCTTTTAGAAGGTCGGGCTTGAACGTTTTTTTTTGTTACTAAAATATCTCGTGCATTTTACAGTATGTCGCGATCGTATGTTTAGATATTATATATGCTCTAGCATTAACTTCAATTTTTCCATACTTTTTTACACTTAGATAATTTGATATTTTTCTAATAAATATTAGTTTGTAAAAATGAGCGAAGAAAAGCCGATGGGTTTAATAAAACAAGCTGTGATACAAATCGGAGCTGGTGGATCAGCTGGCTTTGTTGAAGTTTGTGCGATGCATCCGATGGATATTATTAAAACGCGGTTGCAATTGCAAGTTAAGACCGCTGAAGTTAATCCTTTGTACTACACAGGTATATTTTAATAAAATTTCTTCGGAAGAAATTTCTTGTAAATTTTTTTTTTTAATTTTAATTAAAAAATAATTTTTTTGGATGTATTAAATTTTTATTTCTTCTTTGAAGGTATATAAGATTTAAGTCATCATTTAAAAAAGTTTTTTTAACACTAAATTTGTTAAAAAAAATTGCATTTAAAATTTTTTTGCCGTAATTTATTTGCTAAAAAAAATTCTTTAAATTAATAAATATCTGTTAGATTAATTTTCTTTGAAGGTATCCGTGATTGTATGAAAAAAATGTATCATAATGAAGGTCTAGGTGCATTTTGGAAGGGAATTTTACCACCAATTATTGCTGAAACTCCCAAGAGAGCTTTAAAAGTAAATATAAATTTAAAAAAAATTTTTTTTCTCATTAATCAAAATTAAAATTTTTGATTTCAGTTTTTTACCTTTGAACAGTACAAACAATTATTTACTTCTCGTTCAGATTTACCAATTCCTGTGGTAAAGTATTTTATAAAATTATTTTTATCACTTTTAAATTTAAATTATTATAAAACCATTTGAATTTTAATAATAATTGATCCAGATTCTAGCATTAGCGGGTTTTTGTGCTGGAATAACAGAAGGCTTGGTAGTAAATCCATTCGAGGTGGTAAAAGTCCACTTGCAGTCAAACCGCTCTCAAATAAAGCTCTGTCCCAGTACCTTAGCGGTCACCAGAAAAATAGTCCAGGAGAGCGGTCTAGGTCTGACAGGACTGAATCGCGGACTCTCTGCTACAGCGCTCCGAAATGGAATTTTTAATTGTTGCTATTTTGGGTTTTATCACTCGGCTAAAGGGTATATTCCTGTTAATGAAGATCCTTGGATTGAGTTCTTCACAAAGGTAGTATGACAGTAAATATATGTATTATTATTATTATTATTATTATAATTCAATTATTATCGGCCGCGATAGCCGTGCGGATTAATGCGTTAGTCTGTACAGATATCGTGCCGAGAGGCGCGGGTTCGAGCCCCAGCGGTTGTTAGAAAATTGATTTCAACAACAACCGCTGAGGGTCGCTCTCGTAGCCGAACTGTACTGACCAGGTTTTCTGTGGTTTTCCTTGGTCACTGTGCTAAAGCTTAAATGGGCAGGCACAGGCCAATGCGTACAGCACTTGTAAGTCGGCCACAGCCGCTACCTCGAACGCACTAAGGTGTGGTAGAAAAAATCTACCACACTGAGGGGGTGGGGGGTGCAAAACAAGGGGAAAAAATAAATGTGATAGTTACAAAGGTATAACCAAGAGTGAAAAAAGTGAGGACTAAAAAGTGGAAGAATAAATAAAATCCCCACCCTCTCCTTGTAAAAACACACTAAGGTTGTATACAAGTAAAAATCATATTTATTTATTTATTTAATTCAATTATTATTGTATATTAATTATTGATTATTAATAATAATTATTTAATGGATAATTAATAATTTTTAGGTAGGATTAGGTTTCACAGCCGGTACCTTGGCATCTTGTATGAATATTCCATTCGACGTCGCCAAAAGCCGAATTCAAGGTCCTCAAAATAAAGTCACGTACAAAGGAACTTTTAAGACCTTGAGAATTGTTTATCAACAAGAAGGGTACTCTAATAATAATAATAATAATAATAATAATAATAATTTGTTAATTGAAATTTAATATTAACTTTGAATAAAAATGTCCAGATTTGCAGCATTGTACAAAGGACTGGTACCTAAAATACTAAGACTGGGACCTGGAGGAGCCATAATGCTCATAGTTTACGAGTACATGCATTCCTTCTTGACGGAAAAACTCAAAAGCTGATCAAGTGTTCTATTGACTGGTTCTTTTTATTTTTAAAGTTTTAATAAGTAAACTATAAATAATTCTTACCTCACTAGTGATCTCTGTACATAAATAAATTTAATGTTTTATTGTTTGTACGAATGTATTGTAGGTAATTATTTACATTGAATTTTTTTTAAATATCTAGAACTGAATCCAACCATTTTTCAAGATCTATTGATTTTGTTGGTGTGTTAGTTACTTTTGGTTCTGGAAAAAAAATTATAATTCAAAATTTAATTATTATTATTAATATTAAAATAATTTCATTAATAAATACCTTCAGTATATTTAGGAGTAACTACAGAAGTAATAGAAGAAGTTTTAACAGGCTCCTTTAACGACAATAAAAACTCCAAATCTTCTTCAACAACAACATCATCGTCAATAGACTCCAATTTTGATGACATTTCTCTTAACTTGTGATTATTAGAGTCAGATAACTTCTGCTGAAGTTCTTTATTGCGTAATTCTTCCTCGTAAATTTTTTTTGCTTCTTCTGCTGCTGTGTTAAATAATGTCAGCTGATCCTCCTAAAAAAAAAAAAATATAAAATAAATAGTTAAAAAATTTTATTTTTTTATATTTTTTTAACTGATAAATAATTAATAAAAAAAACTTACAGTAAAATATTTATCATCAACTTCAACAGTTTGATTGAACGGAATGCAGTTGAAAACAGCGGACAAATTTTCAACATCAATAGCCAGCAGATCGCTGAACTTGGAAGTGTCGACGAGCCAGTTTTTTTCCGACTTGAACTGAAAGTACCCGCTGGTCAGCGTTGTGTTGGCCAAGTAGCTGAAGTCATTGCTCGGTTTCGGCGTACTCTCGTCCTGGTCGACCAGATCCGCGAAACTTGCTGATGGCTGAACTAGCGCGGCTTTTCTGACGTAGTCAAACCCGAAGAAATCGTCATCGAACTCATCTTCGTCGGAAGAAACTCCAGTGCGATCGAAATTACGGAGTAGGTAAGGCTTGGCTGGTGACGGCTCGGGTTCTGCGGGTTTGGAGGTGCGTTTTTTATTTTTGTGGTTTAGTTTATCTTTTTTCCGACGGCTGTCCCTATTTTTTTAAATTAATTCCATCAATTTATTTAAATTAAAATTAAAAATTAATAATGAAAATTAATTTAGATATTTAATAATTTTTATAATTTATTTTACTGAAAAATTATTTTTTTTTTTTTAAATTGTATTTATAGTTTCTTTTTTTTAATAAATAAATTTGTTTTAAAAAATTGCATCTAAAATTTCTGTCAATTTTTTTTTGCCACAATTTATTTGTTAAAAAATGACATTGAAGTTAGCTGTCACTTGAAAAATTTTTAATTTTATTTAACAATTAAATTAATTTTAAACAATTATTTTAAAAAAATTGCATTTTTAATTGTTTTAAATTTCTACATGTTAATTTTTTTTTGCCTTTTTTTGTAATTTATTTGTTAACAAAAGTTCTAAAAATTATTAAATATCTATTAAATTAATTTTCATTGTTAAAAAAAAATTATAAAATATCTACTAAATTTATTTTAATTAAAAATAATTATATAAAAATAACTAACCTGTGTTTTTGTTTGTCCATTTTTTATTTAATAATATTTAATTCACTAATTTTCTTTTGTTTATTAAACAGATCGTTGTAAACACGCGAGTGCAAAATGTAAACATCCGCCATATTTTTTTTTACAAAGATAAAAAAGATTTCCAATTTTAAATATCGACAATAAAAATTTTCAATTACCGACAACTTCACAGCATTCGATACCGCAGAATTTCAAACAAGAAATAAGCTCAGTCGTCATTCTCCCGCTGAAGATGGCGCTGAGCAGTCGAATTTCAGCCTCTCCGTTAAAAGTGTCAGTTTCCTCCAACAAACTTACATTTTCTTCGAAGAAATAATTTCTGAGGTGAGTAATTAACAAAATAAATACTTCTAGCATTAAATAGATATTTTAATAAATATTCTGACATGTAAAAAACAATAAATGTCACTCTTGGCGGATAAAATATGAAGGGTGGAGTAAAAATGAAATATTTTATCAGCGTTTTAAAGTAGGGAAGAATCTAGCAAAAACCGCAATAGCAGAAAATGTCTTCCACATGCGGTTACGGAAAACTAAAGTCGTTTAGCGCACATGTTGGGACATTATCTCGGGGAAAAAAATGGAAAACCCGAAAAAATATCATAGATCGTGACATCTTTTGTTCCCGACAAAGACACCTCGGTGTCTGGAGAGATCCAATATTGGAGTGACACGTGTTACAGAGTCTCATAACGTGTTATTGCGTCCATAACAATAAACACCAGGTGACAAAGCGTTAAATAAAAAAAAGGTTACCTAAAAATAACCATCAATTACATCAACAGTTACAAAACACGACTAAAATAACCAATAAATTAATTTAAACCGATAAAGAATGAATTTATGTTTTGTTAAACAAATCCACCAACGTCCAAACTCGCTCCAGTTAAAAGCATACTGACAGTTTATAAGATTATTATATTTTTTTAGCCTTAATAGGCTGATAGCTGATATGATAGTTGATAACCATGTCTAATCCATCACGTGCTGTGGTTATAATACAGAGCATTGTAATAATAACACTCAAGACTGCTCAACCATGATATGATAAGCATTATGCGATATCCGAGGAAATTTATTGTCCGTATAATAATCAACGATATGATTTATAGAGTATTGATCTTCAAGCTTGCCTTATTGAAGAATCACTTGCATAATAATAAATAAATTAACAGCCAATACATAATAATTTACACCAGATCTTATGCAAGGTTGGGATAATTGTCAGCAACTGACATATCAACCAAAAATTCATCCTTAAGATTGATCAAATCAAGGAATATAAATATTTTGGAGGCTAAGGGTCCAAAAATGACTTGGGCCATTTGGATTACAGATGGCGATCCAGAGTCAACTCTTTGACCACTTGTTGCTATATATATCGACGCCCTGTTTAAAAATATTCATTGAAAAAAATTCACTATCATCAGATTCGAATTTTTTTTCAATAACTCCAATTGATTTCAATTTTATCAACGAATATTTTTAAACAGAACGTTCTAATTAGCAAATTGTCTAACTCCATTTTAGAGAATCTTCCATTAGTACGAAAATACAATTAGTTCGAAATTTATTATGACTTTAAAAGACCACTTAATATTAAATAGACGTATAATGTTTTGGTTTAAATCATTCAAATAATTTATAATTGGACTATTACTACATCAAAATATTAAAAAATCAAAATCACTCTCTAAAAAATAAGAAGTTATACCAATTGCTAATTAGATCTTCGATATGTGTATTCAAACCTGGTAAGGTATCCAAGGAAATTAATTGTCCGTATAATAATCAACGATATATGATTTAGAGAGTATTGATCTTGAAGGTTGCCTTATTGAAGAATCACTTGCATAATACTAAATAAATTAACAGCCAATCCATAATAATTTACACCAGATCTTATGCAAGCCTGGAATAATTGTCAGCAACTGACATATCAACCAAAAATTGATCCTTAATACTGATCAAATCAAGGAATATAAATATTTTGGAGGCTAAGGGTCCAACCCAAAATGACTTGGGCCATTTGGATTACAAATGGCGATCCAGGGTCAACTCTTTGACCACTTGTTGCTATATATATATATATATATATATGTGTGTATTCAGGTATGAACCTGGTAAGGCTCAACTGTTATACAGAGCACTATATTATATCATTGGTCGGCCATTTTGGACCACCCAAGTTGCTGTCGGAGCATAAAAAATATCGAGTTCTTTTAGGGCCGCCTTTTTTTCCAAGCCGCTAGCCGGCGGATAGCATCATCTTGTATAACGTTGTTGCTGGGGCGGTGCGTGCGGTGTTTGGAATGAGCCCAGCTATACACTAAACGACCCTGGGTATATCTTCTATATATATGTATATATATATATATATATATATATATATATATATATATATATATATATATATATATGTGGCTAAGGATACCGGGACATCAGAAGATGAGCCACGAAATGAAGAGAAATACTGGAGGAGGAATATAAGATAATGGATGATGAGCAAGAAGAGAGAAAGGTTGAAGATTACCAAAGAAGAAACAAAGACAAGAGCTCCCTCCGGCTTGTACTATACTTTGGCGATATGTGTTGCCTCACTGGACTCCACGAGAAAGATGTAGTTATGTAGTTAAGTAAGGTTAGATCGTTTTCTTTAGGACCGCCATCGTCACGCTAAAACTTTTATTTTTGGACTCTTTTGTTGGATTGTTTCCGAGAAACTTTGTTGCCAGAGTTTTTGTTAATTATTATGTTCTGGAGAACCAGAACCAGAATTAACTGGGCCCAAGCTTCCGGAAGTGGATTAACTTCAAGAATTTATATGTATGTCTAGAGACTAATTGATTCTTCTGGTGGTTTCCATTTGGACGGTTGCATTAATTAGAGCATCTGCTCTCTGATGTTTACGTTGGTTGGAAAGTTTTAAAGGCTGAAGCCGGAATTGTTGATGGAAATTTGATGATGATGACAGTTATGAATAATTTTGAATTATTTATTGGGTATTAAAATTGGAGGTTACGTAGCCCAATTTTGCGGCGGTGCAACAACGCTTGTTCCAACATACGTCCGAATTATCCTGAAAAAAATAGCAATTTAATATAAAAAAAAATGAATTCGATCATCATAATAAATTATCTATTATACATAATAATATACATATAACAACACATCAGCCAAACCAATTTAATTTTATAAAATATTGCCTGCTAATGAGACTGCCTGCATCACGCAATTCGTCACGTACTTGCATCATCATCATTATCATTATAACTCGTAAGTGTCTGTATATATTTTCCGATCATTATATTATTACATTGGATCTTTTATTTTTTCCATAATCCTAGAATATAATCCTCTTCTCTTCATCTTTCATCGTTTTAAATTATAACCATAATATATATTAACCTTTCTTTCAAGATATATATTTTATATTTATTCCGGAATGAATTTTTAAATCCACGGATCCATTCAGTCCTAGTAATTCCATCTGTGGGAAGATCAGAAATTATTATATAGAGATTTTTAAAAAACCACCAGGCGGCGTCTTTGTCTTGATCTTATTGTCCGAGTACCGATCAATCGACAAATTGTCTGTCGGCCCTAACCTCATTTATCTTTCTCAAGGGAAGAGTTGAGAGTTAACCTTTGGGCTTTTTTTTAGATTTTAGATCCGGAGTCTATTTTCTATTGCTCCATCGAGTTTCTGAAAATGAACAAGGGGCAAGTAAAAGTAATACAAAATGTATGTAGAAAAAAAATTAATTTGAATCATGGAAATAATTTTGAAGAATCCCTGGATTAAGAAATCTAATTTAAAAACATCTGATTTGAATATTATATCATTTAAATTAAAATATATGAAAGTCTTGAAGCTAGTTATAGGTTAAAACTTGCAAAATCGGGCTACGATTCATTATTGGTTAAAATTAAGGCGCGCTATTCAAATTTTTAGTAATATCGACGGTTTAATTAGCAATTTTTTAGACGGTGATTTTTAACATTTTGATGTAGCCAATAGTCAAATTATAAATTATTTGAATGATCCAAACCAAAATATTACACCTATATTAGATATTAATGATATTAAATGGTTTTTCAAAGTGATAATAAATTCTGAATTAATTATTTTTTCGTGCAAATGGAAGGTGCTCTAAAATAGAGTTAAAAAATTTGCTAATTAGAATGTGGTAATCATTTGAAATCATCTTTCTGAATCAAAGATATGAAGTGGCTGCTTCTAAATTCTTTTCAATCAGTATTCTTAACCATCAGGGAAGTAGAAGAATTCTTAAACTAAGAAATTTTTCTTGGTTTGAGTAAATTTTACTTGATTAAAGTTAATTTTTTTTTCCTTTGAAAGGTAAATTAAAAAATTTCAACGCTGATAGCAATCTTAGGTGTTTCTCGTGTTACAAGTTGGGTAAGATGGCGCGTCCCCTAAAAATAGTCAGCAGGTGCAGACGTATTTATTGGGAAACAAAAAACTAAATAAAATTAGTCGATTTATCATGAGATAAACATATATAAAAATGAAAATGAAATAAAAAGCAGCCGACCCGAGGGAATAAAATTGATGTGTTAAATAACATTTCGGTGAGTTTTTATGTCCATTTTATATATTTATGTAAAAAGTATAGTTTAACGGGTAACAAATTACAATTTTAAAACGATTTTGTTTAAAATTACCCAGTAAGGTATTTAAATGGTGATGTGTTGGTGATACGAGTCAGGTAGGTTTGTTGAAACCTGACCGCGATTAAGCTTCACAGTCTTTCATGTGTATTTAAGTAGTATTGTTTAAATTTAGTTGATCTTGGTTTTAAGTTGGTAGGTATAGTAGGATAGCGTTTCGATTCTAATCTCTCTTGAATTTATTATTTTGAGATTCCCCTACTACTTTTGGGCGCCAGGGCTAATGTCGCGCGCCAGATGCTGCTGGGTTTCGGTGATCCTTTGGTAGGCGGTGACTTTATCTGGTTTACGAGCGAGTGAGAGA